AGCATATGGTGTACATTTTGAATCAGAGCATGGTTATTGGATGGCAGTCTGAGAGCACCACTGCGTGCATATTATCTGAGAGTGGTGGGACCATAGACAGGGTAATTTATTTTGTGCAAACAAGAGGTGGATAGAGGGCAGACATTTGAAATCAGAACATGCCCATGGATGGCAGTCTGAGAGTGCCGCTGTGGTGCATGGTGAGATGGCTATATGTTTTTTTTGGAGGGTGGTGAGGAGTGCCAGTGGTGAGGAAGCTGATATCCTTATCTTGCAAGTGGAGCATAGACTCATTTTTTGATGAGCTCCACTCGCTCAGTGAATTGCATATAGTAGCTAGATTCAGGCATCATCAAAGTCAACGCACAGTGGCATTCCCACAAGATGTGCACCACTTTCATGAATTATGAATTCCAAGCATTATTTTTTTTAGAAGAGACATGGTAGAGTGAGCTTGAGTTTTTTTGCCCTTCCACTGTGGCAGTCCCAGAGTGCCGCTGTGTGCATGATCTAACAGTGGAGGGAGGTGGCAGATAGTGGTAGTCTCAGAGTGCTGCAGCTCTTATTCACCAGTGGCAGTCCTAGATTGCCACCGTAGACAGGGCCTTTTTTTTTTGAAAGCATATTTATCATGCTTATTTTGGCCTGGAGACAATCACATTGTCAAGTGTTTTTGACACCGCAAAGTTTCTACTTTCACCAGTGGCAGTCTGAGAGCGCCGCTGCATGCATAGTATCTGAGAGTGGTGGGAGAGAAGGGGAGGGATAGAATATTTATGTGGATGGTGAAGGGCATACATGAGCGGCCGTCTCAGAGTGCCACTGCGTGCATGAACGACTTTGATGATGCATTGTAACATAGTCATAGTCAGAAATACAGGATGCGCGCGTAACTTTTGCTTTATTCATCATGCTTATTTTTGGCTTTGCACGGAGTGCCACTGGAGACACGGTCTTTTTTCTTTCTTTCTTCTTGCACTTTATCTTTTGGCTGTGAAGCCATGACAGTTAGTGCTGCTGCATGTAGATTGCCATCATGGACAGGGTCATTTTTTTGTGAAAGCATGAGGCAGGCATTTTAAATCAGAGCATGTCATGGGAGGGCAGTCTGAGAGTGCTGCTGCATGCATGGTATCTGAGGAGTTGGTAGATAGAATTATTTATGTGGATGGTGAAGTGCATGCATGAGTGGCAGTCTCAGAGTGCCACTGCGTGCATGGTCAAACAGTGGTGGCGGCATTGTCAAGGGGGGGGGGGGGATGTTGATATAAAAGGGCATGCATATTTTGGGGAGCCATGTTGGGAGCTGCACGGCGGCCGTCTGAGAGTGCCATGGTATATTTTCATATTTTTGGGAGCCATGTTGAGAGCGGGTATATTTTCAGAATGTGGGGGCGGGGACGGGGTAAATTTTCATATTTTGGGGGGGAGCCATGTTGGGGGCCGCACGGCGGCCATCTGAGAGTGCCATGGTATATTTTCAGATTGTGGGGGATGGGGATGGGGTACATTTTCATATTTTGGGGGAGCCATGTTGGGGGCCGCACGGCAGCCGTCTGAGAGTGCCATGGTATATTTTCATATTTTGGGGGAGCCATGTTGGGGGCTGCACGGCGGCCATCTGACTGAGAGGGCCATGGTATGTTTTGAGATTGTGGGGTTTCATCTTTTGGGGAAGCCATGTTGGGGGCCGCACGGCGGCTGTCCCGGAAGGCCAGGTTTTGAAATTCACCCTTCTGGAAGCCATGTTGGGGGGCCGCACGGCGGCCGTCCCGGAAGGCCAGGTTTTGAAAATCGTCTGGCTATTGAAATGGGACCGTGGGAAAACCTAGGAATGCCGTTTTTTTGGCTGGTCCGGAACCTGAAGGTGCTCATAACTGGACCACCCTCACGGCTGGTTTGCAGAGATCGCTGTTCAAGTGGTCATCGTGTTCATCGGTGGCACCACATTCCAGGTGACACGTATTGCTGGTCGTAAATGGGGCATCTCACTTGCCCTCGGCTTCGTATCCATCCCCTTGGGCACGCTCATCCACCTACTGCCCAACAGACCCTTTGAACGCCTCTTCATCATGATGCGCTTACTCCCCAAACCCGAAGGCGGTCTTCTCAAAGTTCGCCCAGATGTTGAATGGAACTCTGTGATTGAACTTTTGCGTGACAATCTCGCCACGTTCGCTAACCTGCAGGGCGGGCGACTTCACTCGTCTTCATTTGTTGTGAAGAGCCATCAGGCTAGACTGCACGAAGATAAACGTGTTCCTCTGTATGTGTTGATGTTTAGTTTGTGAGATGGAATCCTTAATTTTTTCTAGCCCCTCGTTGATGACTATGATACCGACGCTTATTGCATCTTCCATCGGAGCTGGCTGGGCACCACAATCACGCGGTACACCGTCTGACCCTGCTCGTTATGATCCCTCAAAGTCCTCTGCTGCTCTCTGGGAAGGCAGGCTCCAAATTCATCCCGATACCAAGCCAGATGATGCACTGTATCGCACAAAATGGGGTGATGGCATCATGTGCGTTGTCTCTTGCGGTCGAGTTGTTCTCTATGCTGACGCATAGGTTTGCAGCTTTGATAGTGACTGGTGAATAAGCTTCTGGTTATCGTTTGGAAAGACGTACTGATGATGATGTCTCAGGAATCCCCATGCTGATCTTTAGGCTCAAGATCGTGCTCACCGTATCGGCCAGACAAAGGCTGTCCGAATCCTCCGTTTCATCACAGGGAAGAGTGTCGAAGAAGCTATGTATGCTCGTGCGCGGTACAAGCTCGATATCGACGACAAGGTCATCCAAGCCGGTCGATTCGACAACAAATCAACATAGGAAGAGCAGGAAGAATTCCTGGTAGGTGTTGCAGCAGCTCTCTCACATAACGAATAGCTAAATGAGTGGTATGCAGCGGTCCATCCTCGAAGCAGATCAAGAGGAGGAGAACGAAGAGGCCGGTGACATGAATGACGATGAACTCAATGAGATTTTCCGCACGATGGATCTTCAGCGAGAACGGGATGCGTTGGACGCATGGCGTGCGATCAGCAACAGGGGGAAGCCGTCGTTACCGCTCATGCAGCTTGAAGAGCTGCCTGAATGCTATCAGACGGATGAACTGTTCGAGCCGAAGGAGATTGATGATGCTATCCAGGGCCATGGTCAGCATCGTCGTAATGTCGTCAATTATAACAATGGTCTTAGCGATGAGCAGTGGGCGATGGTACGTCTAGTAGGATGTCGCGATGCATGCATGCTGATCGGGATGTTAGGCTGTGGAGGACGGTGAAGATTTGCAGGAACTCGTCGATCGTGCCCGTGGCAAGAAAGAACGACGCGCTGCCAACAAGCTTCTCAAGGAAACCGATACGCCTGGTCGTAGTACTCCAGCGTCAGACTTGGGTGTCGAGGTCGAGTTCACAATGGGGCATGCGAAGGTACGTGTTTATTCTATCTACTATACATTGATACAACGCTGACGGTGAATATTTGCGGGTCAAAGTCGCGAAAACGACACTATGAGGACCAGGTAAGTCTTCATTGATTAAGAGACATCCTAGGACTCACTTTAGGCTGGAATCACGAGCGACTCGTTCCGTCTCGATTCCTCTCGCCGATCCACCCCTTCACCCTTTCCCAAAGGCCCTTTGGCACCTCCGCATTCGCCTCTGCCTCCTCTGCTTCCGCCTCAGCCCGAATCGCCTCATTCGCCCTGATCGCAACATCGATCCATTGGCGCTTCCTCCCTCGCACGCTATCAAAAGACTTTGAAGCTGCCATTTACTTAACGAGATCTCGTCAATACGTCATACTTATAAGTACACTTGCACCACTTACTGTAGTTTTGTGCCTTGAAATAAATGTGTGTCCTTTTGATGCTTATCTGCGCATTATCGCGCTTGTTTGTCACGCGCTTTCTTTCGACTAAGACACTCAATCAAATAAATGTAAATAAGTGGTAAATAATATTTATTGACCGGCGGCAAGTCTCGAAAAAGGAAGTCAAGCAATGCGTGAATTTACTGATGCGGCACAGAGATCGACGTAGTTCCAGCAAATAGGTGGGAGCTTGACATCACGACAGAAGCTGGGCATCAACAGTTTTTGAACGTTGTAAATGATGTCAAAAGCATGGATGTGAGAACTCACTTATATTCATCATAAATTCACGTCTGATCAGTGGTCTAGAGGAATCGTATGCGCCAGGAGTTTAGTACATGGTTAAACGAGTTCTCGTGTACCACACAGTAATTGTGTCAATGCGAAGTTTTCTTTGGCAGAGAAAGTGGAACTCGTGCTGTTTCATACGCTTATGCAAGTCCCTCTATTCCCTTTCAAAATAGCAACGCCAACTTGAATCTTATACGCAATCGCCCGACTCAGTTCTCAATTCTTGATACCTGCAACACTCGTCTTTTCATGGGTTCTCATGTTCTACTCAAACCAATTCTACTCAGTGCAGACCACCACCCCGCAGTCCATGTCGTCCTCCTTCCAACCCTTGAATCCGTCCTCTACAGTCCAAACATAAGCGACATCCTCACCCACTTCAGTGTCAGACTTTTACTATGCCAATATCGTCGACAAAGTCAGAAGGGAAGTCAAAAATGGCCCAGCACTCCACACCGTGACGCCTATCACGTTATGCTAGACCTCGGTGCAGGTGTCTTTTTTCTTCCACCGAAATGGTAATTTACTATCGAGGGAAGCACTGTCATCCTAAGTTTGCGGTAAGTTGACGAGTAACCCAAGAGTAACTGGAGTATACTGTCGTGATAACTGGACTAGACATGCAGAACTCATTGTCGTTTCAGAGACTGGCGAAAGGGTCGAAAACTCGAAGGCAGCTGCGTCTGCTCAGTGCTGGCTGAAAGTAGTAACCAAGTACTAGTCCCGAAAGGAAATGATGGCCACCCGTTTTCATCCGACAACATCCAATCTGAGTCAAATCAAGTTCGGCGTTCAACTTTCCTATCTGTGATTGCCAATTGGAGCATCAATCGTATGTCTCTCGCATATATGTAATACAGTCTACTGATATACCTATGGCCAGATGGATAGCGGGTATAGCAAAAAATACAGCATGAAGTCTACCTACCTCTAATGATGAAATAAAAAATACGTCTAACCTGCAGGTCGTCACAGTATATAGGTCGTCAACTAAAGAAAGGTGTCATCAACGAAAACAGTCGTCTAAAGAAACAGTCGTTGAAAGAAAGACCCTACACCGGCAGATCCGCTAGGTCAGCTTTTTCGATTATGGTCACGTTCACGTCGTTAAGCTTTTCGTCAGAGTCCGTGCTCCGTCGAGCAGGAGTTCCGGGGTCGCCGTGTGTTGGTTGGGGTTTGTGGTCCGTGCTGCGGTCATAAAATATTGATACTGAAATGATTTCGATGGAGATGATTGCAAAGAGGAACCAAAATGCAGCGGCTCGTCCGCTATACTCATGCGAGCCCCCATGCCTGGCCTCCACGGATGTCTCTATCGAGCTGACTCCAGCGAGGCCAATTGCTGATCCAGATTGCAGAGCCCCGTTAAAGATAGCACCAACTGTGCCTGCCATGGACGAAGGCGCGGCTTGGAAGATAGCAATGCTATAATCACAGCAATTAGGACGTGTTTGTAAAACCACGACAATTTGGACTTACTTTGTGTGCGTATACGTCAGCATGGCCCCTGCGCTTCCTACAAAAAATGCTGGGAAGATGTATGGCCAATATTCTTCAGGCTTTCCCCCGCCAAGCGCCAGTAATGCGGTCGCGACCATGCAAAGGGACAAACCAGTAAGAATAATCCATTTCGGACTAAAGATGCGAGAAAGTGGTCCGGTGAAGCTTATAATGAAGGATGCGACACCTATCGGGATCCTGGTAAGTAAAAAACAGTCTCAATAACGGGCAACTTGGAATGGCAGTGAAGACCTTACATATGTGCAGCCGATGATATCGCCGGCCACTCAAATACGTTTTGCCACAGGGTGGTAAAAATACTGAACACTGTGCTCCACCACAGGAATGGGAAGAGCGCGACGCCAAAAAGAACGGAGAAATTGTGGTAAAACCATGTCCGAGGTGGTCTGGTACAAGATCAGCCAATGGTTGGTAGTTGGTGTAAGCATCTCTAATAACATACATTGCAGCTTTGTCCACAGGTATGATTGTTTCCAAGTAGAAAAACCCGATCACCATCAAGATCGACACGATTAACGGGACCAGTACCATTACGGATGCCCAGCCGTCAGTGGATCCGGATGTCGCAGCGAAGATAAACAAAATTAAGGCAACTATCGGAGCTCGTGAGTGATGCGAAGCCGAGCGTGCTGAAAATTCATACTAGTTAGGATGGTTACGCCGAGTAAGTCAAGACTTTTCCATTTCGCTGCTGCAGGCTCAAGATTGGCTTTTGTGTTTGAAATTTCTGGCGGTATGATGAAGACACACGCCAGAGCGGCTGGCGTAGCCACGATGGTTACAAACCAAAACACGAAATGGTAAGATGTCCACTCGACGAACATTGCACCAATCATGAGACCAAGGACTGTGGAGGGAACCATGATGTTAGTCATGGATAATCAGCTAGTCGAACTTCTCACCGCTAGCGGCGCAGCCGCAGCCTCCAAATAAGCCTATTGCACGAGCTTGTTCAAGCGGATCAGGAAATACATTGACCAGGAGTGTTAGGGCAGAGGGGATTGTCATCGCAGAAGCTGAGAAGCGATCTTCGTCAGCCAAAATCGTCGGACTGGCGGAAATGTTTACCTATTCCAATCAACGCTCTGAGAACAATGAGCGGAATGGTATTATTAACAAATCCAGCGCACAGCGAGATGACAGCGAGACCAGATACACCCCCGACGAACGCAGTTTCTACGAACCCATTAATGTGACTATGTGATAGGTACGGCATAGTACTTACTTGGGTTGTATACGTCGCTAATCCGGCCGCTCTAAACAATGCGTTGAAGTGCAAGGTCAGAATCGATGGGATGAGCACGCACGATGAGCAGAAAAGATGCAAAAGTCAATTGGAATCCACTGATGATCCAAGTGGACTGACTTTCAGTCATACCCATGGATACCTCGAGTGCAGGGATCGCGGAGAAGAGAGCTGAATTATTGAATGAATCTAAGAACTGAGCTAGACAGAACAGGAACAGTAAGATGAGTCTGCGAGTACGAGAATAAATGTGGGGTTCATGATCGACCACCGTTTCAGCCGGGGAGAGAGGCAGCATTGCACCAGAAAATTATAAACAAGACACTGAACCGTTAGTTCAGGAGCGACCAGCTGACGAAGGGGAGGTTGGAAACTCTCTCTGTCAAAATAGATGGATGGCTTCACGTTATAAGAGATATCTAGATAGCCAACCGGAAGATCTAAATTGTGTGCTCCACTCATGTGAACACATGAATGTGTATAAGTTTATGTAGACTATCTTTGGAGAGAATTTTAAGATTCTGGCAGCCTTTTTCTGTATGCGTAAGGAAGGACGTGCAACTAGTAGACTTACGGTGGGGTTCCGGGAAATACGCAGGGAATCCGTATACCCGACGATGATGTAGGCATTGTGGTTCAGCTACACAAACGGAAGTCGGATTTATTTCATGATGAGTGTAGGAGCATGAGCCATTGTACTTACCGTTGTCTTCGACTCAAGCTTTTTGGTCCTTGTCGCTCTATCAATGTCACAGAAACAAGCGCGAGTACTTCACCTCAACAGCGCGGAATTGTGCACCATCACCTCGTATGTGCAAAACAACTCTTCATTTCAAACCGTACGGCCACCGTGATAAGGAGGGAAAATCACTATGCTACTCGAGCTAACACGAGTTTAGAACTGTGTAGCACGAGTCTACGGAAGGCGGCCCAGACTCCAATGGAAGTTCAGACAGTAATCCCAGTGGCCATCGGTAGTGCTGGGGTAGGCAATTGACCAGCAGAAGTGTCAATGGAACGGTATAGAAGACCTCGGTCAATATGCTCCGATTCTTCAAAATCATAAAATTAGCCTTCCAACACTTCATTTCCGTCAACCGGCACCCATTCGTGTAGTCAGGAGGTGTAGCAGATAGGGGCATCCGAGGTGTCAGAGGTCCTAGGGTTACTAAGGTCTTACTAATACATAGTACCACGTGTGTTTGTATCTAGTCGCGACTCACCATTCCATGGCTTCTTGCTCACTAGCACTTTCCAGTAGCGCAATGGCCGTGTCGATCTCACCAAGCGATATATATTTAGGTCCTGCAAGGTTATACGAGTTTGAGGTGCGCAAAATTAGCTTCTAGTTCGGCATTGATACTTCAAGTTTTACACTTGCGAGTTGGTCACAATCCTGAATGCAAAGACCATCTGGACGGTGTTTGCAGGACTACTGCTGGGCAGTAGTAGCATTCAGATCTGTCGTCGACCTTTTCGCCACGGATTGAAATTGTTGGTCATGAAAGATAAGATCTAGACAGGGCCGGCAAGTGCAGCGGTAGGCATCACACGATCGTAAATGATTGATTGATCGTCCATGTGGTACAAGCTAACAGTCTTTCTACGCTACAGGTAAGAAGCTGACGAAGGTTACTGAAATGTTTCGCTGTGATCGGTTCATTCCCTGTAGTTTCAGGCAGAACCGGCTGACTCTTCTGCCAAGAACACTAGATGTGATGTCCTCGAACCGTGACATTTGCGAGACACTTTGTACACTGGCATTAACGCACGTTGTAGATTTCCCGATCTTCTCAACTTGTTTCTGGCCGGTAAGTCCGCGTCTTATGAACACCCATGAACACAAAATTTCTAATCATGCCTTTATTTTTGTTCAGCCGAGAATGCTGCAGCCATGAGGATGGCCAAGCTTCTTTTCGGAACCCGAATCAGTTTTTTGGCAAGTCGCCTGATGTTTTCCTTCGCACTTCGCGTTATTCCTTGTTGAAACGTTGATGCGTGTCTCACGCTTTAGATCACTTATGCTTTCCCCATGTTTTCCGAATGTACATTCATGTATTTATAGTCTACTCGCGCTCCTCCCTGGCTGCGGTATATCCAATATTCTAGCCTTGCACACCCCTTGTGATAACAACTTCCTAGACTCGTGCCAGTCAAGCTGATCCGGTCAATCAAAAAAGGGTATATAGGGTATTCAACCTCCCTGTATCAAAATAGCTATACATACTCCAATTGTACTTTGGCCAACCTATACTAGTTATCGTTATGTATGTATGGCTCGCACACAATCCACATAGGCTCATAAGGACACAAATCGAGTGATAAAATATATAGTAAATGGGGATGAGAGAAGAGTTGAACAGACGAGTGTGATGGAGGCTGTGATAGCCAGATGAATGAAGGACTAATAAAAACCAGGATACATAAGCACTCGACAACCTACTGCGGATGCTGTGAACTTGGTCCCGAAAAACTATGCCCCGGCGCACTAAACGCATACGCAGCATCTGGCGGAGGCGGTGGCCCAGGAGGCGGCGCATACGCAGCAACGCCACTGATACCAGATGAAGATGACCGTCCGCCGACACGTGACGGCCGTGGTCCAGCAAGAGATGGAGGCGCAGGCGCATACCCCTCACCAAGAACTTCCTCGGCATCCATTTCACCCTCACCCTCATACGGATTCCGTAGAGGCTCGGCTGTCATGGCGCTCAACCTATAACTCTGACCCTGCGCGGCGTTAGCCTGCAACTCCCATCCCACGGTATCTGTGCTTTCGTGGCGGAGGGGCTTGGTTCCTAATGTGGGGGTTATGTCACCCGGGAAGGGGTTTGGATTTTCCGGTTTCTTAGGTTGGGGTGCGTGTATGCGTGGGTCTGGTGTGTAGCCTACGGCGCGGCCTTCGCTGTCCCATTGCTGGTAGGGAGGGTCGTAGGGGGCGTCTGAGAAGGAGTTGAGGGGAAGAGTGGTGTCTGAGGTATTGAATACTGCGGAGGTGTTTGCGCCGCCATTTTGATACAGTGATTCACTCTCGGCGTCCAATTTCGCTTGACTGAAGAAACGATAAGATTGTGATGAGTAGGGACAGTGACGGTACTGACCGTGCTTTGCGTCGCTCATACACGATTTGTGGCTTGACACGGTTTATTTCTCTGGTGATATACCACATGGCAGCCACGGTGACCAGGACGGTGATAACACCGACGACGTCGCTGATGATCTTGTTCTTTGAATTGGCAGCCGCTGAAGAAACCATGAGGATACGGTCGTACATAAGGGTAAGGACTTACAGGTGCCACTACTTTCCAATAAAGTTCCAATGTACACAGTTATAAACTGTTTTGGCATAGAGAGGGCTGCTGCCAGCATGAAAACAAAGATGTTCATGCCGCATACTGCGAATAATGCAGTGGTGACTGGACACACGTAAGGCAAAGATTGTATGAGAGAATGGAAGAAACAAACAGTGAGGCGGGATGGCGCTGTAACGGGCGATCAACGCAATCTTGAAACCGCCCTCGCGGACGACTCTTCCCAAAGAGGAGTAAATGACACTGCTTTTCTCTATCTTGTGACCACGAGTTGAACAGAGGTGTTTGAAGGCACTGAAGGAAACAGTAAGGAATGACCCAAACGTCGTAGAAAGTGAGACATACTAAAAGTTTCCTATTTCACCGATGAAAGTGCCAGCTGCTACTATGGCGAAACCAATCCATACGCCCCATACGAGACCACACACGATAGCCAGTATCTCGTGGCCGAAGAGCTGATGGGAAGTATGTTAGTGTGAGAAGAGATGAAGGGTCGATGCGCATACCGGAGGGAACGATATCACAAAGAAAATGGCTATAGGGATTATCCATCCAAACTTGAAGCTGAAAGAAAGGTGAGTGCTATGGTATGACGGGACTGGGATCGACATACTTGTGCATCCAGTTAGCTGCTGGTTGAATTTTATGTACGATTTGGTCATGATAGAATATGAAGAGGGCGCCCAAAACGGCGGCGAGGATTAGAGCAATATAAATAACTGCTTGCCGTCAAACCAACAGTTGATATGTAGGTAGATGTAGACGTACTGATTCGTTTCTTCGTCCACATCTTCTTTTTATCGAATATGGACTTGAAATTGAAGAATGTCTTCTGATCGAGGGCCTGTATCTCACTGGGAGTTGGACTGGGGGTACGAGATATTCGGCGAGCGTCTTGATGAACATCGTTGGAATATGGTGAAGAATAGGGAGGACTTGGGACATATTTTGAATAATTGTCCATTGTCGTCGTGAAGCAAAATGGAGCGAACGAGCGTGTAATTTCTGTGGCGGGTTGATCCTTTTGTTGTAGAGTTGTGACGGTCAAAAGTCAAGGTAAGTAATAACACAGCCGCAATTCCATATGTGTATACTACAGTGCAATTGACGACTCATCCATCAACAAATACATAGCTTCATCTGCATTAGCCGCAGTCAACGACAAAGCTGACCACAGGTCAACCACGAGTAGTGCTATAATTATTGGTGGCCAATCTGGTCAAACTAGTGATGGAATTGCTGATGCGGATCATCATAAACGTGTCACACGGCACTCATTCTATCACTAATTCATAGTCATCGAGGGAATAACCCAGCTACCTCAACAGCATCAGCGGCATCACAACCAACCTGGAATGTACTACATCTTGACTACATCTGTCAACAAACCACAGCCCTCAGCGCCAGCAATAATCATCGGCAATATCAAACATCGGGTTCCTCCGGCCGCTTATGTTTAAATTCATCGAGGAGGACAGGCAACATCATGTCAACTCACCAACCTCACTGCGCCTGCATAGGAAATGCCTACTGACGATATCCCGTCCTAACGGATGCACTGGTTGTTATGGAACCGAGCCACCGACCCCGTCTATTCTAGAAGCAAAATCAGATGTTGTCGCTCTTGCGCATTGAAATTCATTACGTCTGGTGAGCCCGAAGAGCTCAAGCTGGAACACGGACCGCCTTTCGCTTGTCATCAGCTCAAAAAACACGAGCGTGTACGGCCAGTGGCTACCCGAGAGTCTCCAGGAATCAGGCGGTAATAATGCGGTGAAGCAAATCGAGACTGCTGCCTGCAGCATGCTGCGCGGAGCGGCAGCACTGCATTGCTTTGGGTGGTATTGCTAGAACGCAGGGTCGGTCACAATGTGTACGTATCCCCTTTAACTCGCTCCACAACTCGAGGATGTACCCTCAAGAGCCGAGCTTTCACGTGGTCGAGGTCTGCACATTAATGTATCAGAGAGATATACGACTCACTTCCCTGCCAATTTCTCGAATCATTCGAAAGCAAAGACGCCAACGAATTGGATGCGCCTGTGTATATGAAGACCTTTGTACAAGACGCCAGAGACAACAAGCTGACTATCACGTTCATGTTCACTTCGGACGGAATTCCAGGACGTGCGTATCCTCTATCATCATATTCACTTCTCACGATCCTGATTTACTCTAGTCCATGGCTGTTTCTTTAGCTCACACTCCGATGCAGAAGCAGTTTCATGCATTATAGCGCCGGAGATGACATGTGCCCGATAGCAAAGGCTGCGGAAGCGAGACCCATGCCTTTCGTGAAAACCTAGGTCAATGATCAGGTGTACTTTGTTATTTTGTCCCAATATAATACAATCAGGAGTACGTACCTCGGTATTGTTTATGGGATAGAGAAAGACGGCCCGTCCTATTTCACAACCTCACCATTTTGGCTTACATGCTCATCGCCTGTCGTGCCTACCTTTCGGATGCCAGCAAAGATGCAAAAGTAGCCGTCATCTGCGCGGCGATCGAGTTCATCTGGTTTTGAGGCGAGCTTCCTCCAGGTCATACCACCCCGTATTCTTCACACAGTTTTGACTCGGAATCGGCTCACAAATCTAGTGGGAAGCGGGGGACGGAGGATGCACAGGGTGAATGCAAAACGACAAATATCTGGCAACAAGAACAGGAAAGAGAAAGGCAGCAGTACCCACACTCATACGGCAACGGCCGTAGGCGACGGCTTATAGGAAGAAAAATGCAAGTAGTGGGCTTGTATCATAGAGCATGGTCAGCATACAACAATGTAATAACAAAATCATCATGCAGGCGTGATTTAACTGAGATATATGTAGGACAACGGGGGAATGAAAGGGGTCAGGATTACAGAAAATGCAATAAAATAGCAAATCGAGCCTCAAACTAGACACCTATGTGAACCAATACGATCTGCTGCTCCAGTGAAATATTCTTGCGCCGCAATTTCTTCACAGCCTTGTGCAACGCCACCGCCGCGCGCGTGCAGTCCAATCTGCCTGAATCATCTACCATGTTCTCGTAAAAAGCAGCTACAACCTCCTGTGCAACCTCGTCGTCGACAGACCACATGGAACCAATTACGCTGCGAAATCCGGAGAATTGCATTGCCGCAGCGAGATGGATCGACTCATCGGGACTCTTCTCATCGCCTACGGTAGTGTGGCAAGCCGATAAGAACGCAAACTGCGGGTTCTGCCAGTTGGATCGGATGATGTCCTTGATCATCAACGGCCCATCACGCATTGCGAAGGAAGATTCAAATGGTTGTTGTCGATTCGGCATTCCGTGGCAAGCCAGGTGAAGCCACTGTGTATGGTTCAGCGCATCGAATGCACCCTCGACTGTTGCGTCGCTGTCCTCGAGCGACGTGAAGGATGATACGATGGGCGCGAGACGCTGGGTGACAACGACTAGCTCGAGAGCTACACATTCAAGTGGCCTCCCTCCGTCCGGGTTTCCTTGACCAATGGCAACAAAATGTTGCGGGGACGCATCTTGAGAAACCTGCTGTCTTGCACGAACAAGTATCGCCAAAGTGGGGGTGTACGAGGAGATGTAGATGTGAGACAAACTGTCTCTTTTCTTTTCGTAGGCTCCTGCTGCATGTAGAGGAAGCAGCGTGAATTCAGCAGTGGGACACCACCAGATGCGCGAGCCAGGGTGAACATTTGACAACCTAAGGGCTTGTACTATGGGGTCAACAATGACATGCCAAATTTTACGTAGGATGCTGACAAGCTTGAGCTGAGTATCAGAAGAACCAAATTCTCTTGTAAGGGACTGAAACTCAGAGGACAAATCAGAAACTTCGGTCTGCGTGATGTCAATTGGAACATGGACAGGATCTTGGTGATTGAAAACAATCAAGGCGTCGCAGCTGTACTGACTAGCGTTGACAATGATGACAGGGCCTTCTTCAGCCGCCTTCTTTAAGTCGGAGAAAAGGGGAGGTAGGAGAAACCGAGAAAAGTCGGGAAGCATGCGTATGCGTGAAACCACGTCATCCCATTGCATGGTCAGTTGGCGGATTTCCGGAGATTGGTCTTCAACAGGCTCATCGAACGCGTCACGGAGGCGAAAGCTAAGTTGCTTGAACTCTTCTGCCAAGGCTGCGCCGGTGTTACGAGCCATAGAAAGTTCATCAAGGGGTGTGCGGAAGCGTGCCAGCTGGGTCCAGAATACTGCACGGCCTTGCTCCACCAGTTCTACGGCGACTGTCAGCTCGCCATGACGAACGCTGCACGAGAAAGCATCCACAGCAAGCGAAGCCGTGGCCATCCTCACGACATCGAAATGACGTGACGAAGGCGACAAAAGAGTGACATGCTGATCTAGGAATTTCAACGCAGTTTGATATGCAGCTAATGCAGAACCATGGTTCATGTCCTCGGCAGTGATCGCCCATGAGTGAGCAGCAGCAAGATCCATACGAGAGACTGCATGAGATATGTGGGGCAGCTGTAAGAACAAGCTAAATGCTTCATCAAGGTCAGACGGGACGCCCCGCTCAGTGAATCTGCGTTGAAGGCTGACGGCGAGATTCTCGAGAGACCGTGATCGATCAGAATGACCGAGGGGGCGAAGGAGTAGTGCAGTCCGATGGAGCTCGATGCACTCATCAAGGTCAGACGGGGTGGCCCGCCACCAGAATCTGTCTCCAAGGCTTATGGCAAGATTGCTGAGAGACTGTGATCGATCAGAATGACCTGAGGGGCGAAGGAGTAGTGCAGCCCGATAGAGCTCAATACACTCATCAAGGTCAGATGGGAGGCCCTGCTGGTTGAATCTCTCCGCGAGGCCGGTAGCGAGATTGTCGAGAGACTGTGATCGATCAGAATGACCAGGAGGATGAAGGAGTAGTGCAGCCCGATGGAGCTCGATGCACTCATCAAGATCAGACGGGAGGCCCCGCTGAGCGAATCTCTCTCCAAGGCTAGTAGCGAGATTGTCAAGAGACTGTGGTCGATCAGAATGACCAGGGGGACGAAGGAGAAGTGCAGCCCGATGGAACTCAATGCACTCATCAAGGTCAGATGGAATGCCCCGCTGCATGAATCTGTCTCCAAGGCTGTTGGCGAGATTGTTAAGAGATGACGATCGAAGAGAATGACCGGGGGGACGAAGGAGTAGTGCAGCCCGATTGAGCTCGATGGACTCATCAAGGTCGGATGGAACACCCCGCTGCTTGAATCTGTATCGAAGGCTGATGGCGAGGTTGTTGAGAGAGAATGATCGATCAGAATGACCAGGAGGACGAAGGAGTAGTGCATCCCGATGGAGCTCAATGCACTCATCAAGGTCATATGGGACACCCCGCTGCGTGAATCTGTCTCTAAGGCTGAGGGCGAGATTGTTGAGAAACAACGATCGAAGGGAATGACCGGGGGAACAAAGAAGCAGTGCATCCCGATTGAGCTCGATGGATTCATCAAGGTCAGATGGAACACCCCGCTGCGTGAATCTGTCTCTAAGGCAGCCGGCGAGATTGTTGAGACACTGCGATCGATCAGGGTGACCGGGAGGGAAAAGGAGTAGTGCAGCTCTATTGAGCTCGATGGACTCATCAAGGTCAGATGGGACGCCCCGCTGATTGAATCGGTCCCAAAGGCTGACGGCAAGACCTTGCAGAGACTGTGGTCGATCAGAATGATCGAGGGGGTAAAGGAGTAGTGCAGCTCGATAAAGCTCGATAGACTCATCAAGGTCAGACGGGACACCTCGCTGAGTGAATCTGTCTCCGAGACTCATAGCAAGATTGTTGAGAGGCAACAATATGTCAGAATGACCAAGGGGACGAAGGAGCAGTGCATCCTGAAGAAGCTTGATGGACTCATCAAGGTCAGGTGGGGCACCCCACTGAGTGAATCTGTCTCGCAGGCTGACAGCGAGATTGTTGAGAGACGACAGTCGATCAGAATGACCGAGGGGGCAAAGGAATAGTGCAGCCCGATTGAGCTCAATGCACTCATCAAGGTCAGATGGGACGCTCCGCTGAGTGAATCGGTCCAAAAGGCTGTTGGCAAGACCTTTGAGAGACCGTGGTCGGTCAGAATGATTGAGGGGGTAAAGGAGTAGGACAGTTCGATAAAGCTCGATGGACTCATCAAGATCGGATGGGACGCCCCGCTGCGCAAATCTGTGTCGAAGGCTGACGGCGAGATTGTTGAGGAAATGTAATCGATCAGAATGTTCGGGGGGACATCTATTCAAGGCTTCTCGATGCTGTTCCACATCGTCTGCCATGCTGTGATACCACAATGAAGTTGCACGAGGACTGTCAGAAACTCAGGAGGATATAGTCGAAAGCGCAACTGGGCGAAGATGACTGTTATCCACCTTTCATCAGTACAGGAACCAGTTTAAATCGCAATGCGTACGCACATCGGAATCCGATCAATGTCGGAGTACAAGCAGTAGAAACCTGTGGGAGGAAATGATATGCTGAGCGCTAGTCGATCATAACAGGTTCCACGTGTCCACTACGGTCGACAGCTACTAATCCGTTAAAGTATCCCGACAGATCGAAGCTAAGGAGCTCTGCGCCTGTAAACCTGCAAATTAGTGAAGTGTCGGAGGCTGGGGAATGGCTAGTGCAACATGGAGAGCATGGTTTGATCACGATTATGAAGTTCGTGCTTGCTGTGGAGAATGTTGTAATGATGTGTGGACATACCAGTGTTTAGCCGCTCAGCCCCGCTGACGTGCCCGTCCTGCTTCTGTGGTCTTCTTTTCTTTGCCGCTGATGGGTACCTTGACGAGCACATTTTACATGTTTTTGCCACTGCAACGTTCCACATCAAGATTTCATGCCTACGAGTCCTCACTCCCTTTATCCCGGGCAAGGTAGGTATGGTCCTCCGTTTTCAACGTTGTGGCCTTTGGCTGGCAACTTCGAACTCGCATGCTGGTACTGGCTTTGGATGTAGTGGGTTTAGGATTGGGCATACGAGAGCGGTGGAGACGGATGCGAATCATGCGATAGACGATTCATCTGAGTCGAAACCTGGAGAAATTGTTTCAATGTCGTAGTGTTTCACAGATTCTCAGTGCAGTGGCAGGTGACTTACCTGCTGTATGAATGATGCAAATATACTTTACGCCCGTAATCTCCCGTAATAGTCAATATAGATGTACTAGCCGCCAGACCGTCGGAATTAGGGCCCAGGGGTTTGCGTTGTGAACTATTGGACTTACTACTTGATCTCACATGATCACGTTCAGTCAGCCTATTGAATCAGGTGGCTCAAAGATTTCGATAACTTCCGGCACACGGCACGATCACTCCGTACTACCGTGACGAGCCGTTGACGACCTTTTCCTTCGACATTGATTTACTCTTCAACTGAACCATGTGAACACCTCTATCAAATAGTCACGAATAGATAGTCTCGTCTTTCTCTGCATCTACATATAGCTTGATCAAAGCTAGAACGTGAACGCCAGTTTTTGTTGGGCCTTCCCTCCCACCAATGACCACCGCCATCGACAAAGCTTTCTACGACGAACAAGGGTACATCATCATCCCAAATCTAATTCCTCCACAGACGTTCGAGGCCCTCGAAGAGGCCTGTGAGCGTGTTATAGCTAAAACCAGATCTGGATCATGGCCTCACCGGCGCACCGTTGGAAGACAATTCCCTCCGTTCGACGATAGCAATCCGGATTCATGGGGCGTTCAACACCTCATGCATCCCGACCTTGATGAGCCCGCATTTACAGAGTGGTACACCTCAGATGCGCTTATTAATGTTGCGACGAATTTGTTGCAATGTAATGAAGATGAGCTGCAGATGGGTATGTGTGTTGCTTCGCCTGATAGTTTGCTCGATGTTGATGTACTTTTCAGAGCTTTCCAACCTGTTGATCAACCCATTAGAACATGATTTTGCCCTTCGATGGCATCGTGACGACGTACGAGAAAATGCGACCGCTGAAGAGGAAGTTGTTGCTCTTGCACTCTGGACGCATGGTGTGAGTGCTCGTAGTCAATGATTTGGTTGTTCTAAATAACTTCTAGGTCCAATGGAATACGCGAGTACTCTCCAACGTCGAATTGTTGATGATTTATCTGAACCATGAACAGCGCTTTGTACGAGGACTCGTGTCTCTACCTCATCCCAAAGACCCATAGATTCCCAAGAACGGAGCTTCAGAGAGCCCAGTCAATGACACAAGCACCGCCTGCGAATCCCTTAGACATGCCCGGAGCGATTCAAGTCACCTTGCAACGTCAGTTTATTTCTTCTCCAAGTGCGTCTCACCGAGCTTAAATACCAAGCTGGCGAGACGGTGATCTATAATAACAATATACTACACTGCGGAGCATACAACTCGAAACAGCGCCGCGCGACGCTCCATGGTTGCATGGGCGACATACGTGGTGGATCGACAAGAGCCAAAAATGTCCTCCAGCATGGACTGTTGTGGATGACGGAGGACCGCTTCCGTGATCGGTTGAATGAGAGAGGAAAGAGGATGCTTCAGGCTCTCATCGATATGAAGAATGGTGTTCAAGGCGATCTCGGATATTCGCTAGTGAATTAGACGTAGGAAAAGTGTTTTCATCAATTGAAGTTAAACTTAAAAATGTATCTGAGCTGCTTGATCAGTTTCGAGGATGTTGATGGTTGACGCTGTCGGTACTCACTTGAGCAAAAAATTGGGCATGTTTGTGACGTGCCCGTTCCTCTACAGTCGGAATGAAAGTCGCAACATCTGCGGAAGCTGGGTTCACAAGGCAGGCTTGCAGTGCTCATCGATACTGGCACCATATTCATCGGCGCTCAGTTCTATTCGTCGCTGACAGAACCTCATAACAACTCGTTTTAAGCAGTTTTAACAACGATGTCACAAGAATTGCTTGCAGAATCCTTATCAAAATCGCCTACGACGACGACGATGTAGTGAGTCGCTGATGCTGGGAGTCAGCGCTTTATCGAGGCCCTGATAAATAATCAAGAAGGAACTTCCCAACGAGTCAGCCTAGGAATCACACAATTAGCTTTGGTAGCGAGACTGATGAATTCAACGTCACCGTGTAATTGTAATTTTCATTGCATTCTATCGCCGTTTGAGTTGGACTGGTGAAGTCTGATCGTTGTCGTATATGCAAGCTTTTGGAGAGATGCGGAGGAGAAATAACTTATCAATGATCACATAGACATGCAAGTGGGAGAGAAAAAAAAAGAGACGCACGGCACTCGCCGGGCGCCGGGAAAATCCTGTATGAAACCTTAGATTCATAGTTTCCTCGAGGATGATTGCAATTGTATTACTTGAGTCTTTACCCACGAAATGTGGTGAGCGTCCTATTCTCGAGAACTCCGCCAAAGTGCTCAGTTCCGGCCTGCAGGCCTGCCAGAGAAAATACAGCCTCGGTCAAGGACAACTTTGGCGCCGCTAACATTGTAGAATCACCCAGGGCTTGAGATGCAAGGTCGAACATATGCACCCTGTTCGATGCCCTCTCATTTCTCAATTTACACCGACTTCAGGATTGCTATGTACCATTTTGTCTTCACACGGGACTGAAGACATCGCTAGCGCGGTCAAAATGTTCCCTGGGGAACAGGAAGCAAGTGTCTAGCTTAATCAACACTCTTATCACCCACTAATTCACGCACGCTAGAAGCTTGCTATAAAAGGTCGAACAGCGCCCTGGTCGATGCTTTCCCATCCCTCAGTTTACATCAACTTCAAGATTTCTATGTACCAGCCATTTTGTTCTCACATGCAGCTGAAGGCATTGTTGGCACGGTCAAAATATTCCCTGGATGCCTGGTTCTAGGACACGGAGTTATGACGACAGATGAACAGCGGGCGGAATAATTTGCACCCTCGAAGTAATAGTATCCCATGCATCAAGACAGCTTTGCTTGAGCAAAGAACGTTCTGGTACGTCACTACATTATCATCGAATAGGGCAGGGAGAGATATTAACAGGCTGTGCGCCGATGATTGGGCACACTACCCGTTCTTATCTCTGCACTCGAGACGCTGGTGTAATTAATTTCCGTGTCACATCATCGTCCCGTGGGCCCAAGTAATATATCTGAACAGCACAATACATATCACACCATTTCATCAAAGCATGAAGCAGGAGTCACGACATGGGCCTGCACCCTATCTACGGTAGTGTGGTCGTATGATGAAGCTCCGCATGATCTCAATGGTTGATCTCAGTGGTGCGACTCATGCGAGTATTACAAGCGTCTAGTCAGTCGATACCCACTGTGCCAGCGCATTAGGTGTGTACATCTGCTACGTATAACCTTACTCACGAAGGGGCTTTTTTGATGCTATCTTGGAACACAGCACCTCACCGACTGATTTTCAGCGCCTTCAAATAATATTTCGCATGTTTCATTTAAATGAATATTCCCCAATCACGCGCTTTGGTTCAATCGAGGGCTTCTGATCATAAAACTGCTTCTCCGTTCTGATTGTTCTATCGACCACATTTGATGTGATCAATCAAGATTCTCACACAAGGAACGGATATCCAGACTAATCGCTATAAAAGCGTTAGATGGTGGTGTGTCTGCACAAACTCCATACTGCATCTAAATATGGCCGTAGTCTCAAGTGACCCCGCTTGGTGGCCGTTTATCGGTCAAATTAATCTTCTCAGCCGTTTTACAGGTCCGTAGAGATAAAGTGGGATGAAGATGGTGACGTCTCACAATCTGACTTGTTCCGCAGCTGTGTCTTCGGCTGCGGTGGTTTACGACTGGGGTGAGCGAAATAATACTTTCCGAGGGCATAATGTCATTGATATCTTTACGGCATTCAAGCATTAACATTTGGACAAGAGGTAAGTTGCAGTGTCATCGGCGCAGCTGTCTCATTAAAAATGCTTCAACAGTTCGAACTGGTCTGGGTAAGCAGGTCCTATATCAGACCCAAATTGTATAATGCAATTGACTCGGAACAGAAAAAACGCTGGTCCTTCATCACCGTTCTTTATGTTTGTGTACGTTATGTTATAAACACAGTCGACATGTTGTACTAAGTCGACTTCAACATATGCTAGGTTCGCTACATCGGACTATCATACTCCGTGTAAGTTCGCGAGACTACCAAGTCGTCATTTCACTGTACTAACAACCATATCTCACAATTAGGATCGACATATTATGTATGTATCCCAAAATAAGTACACTGCGCTCGTTTATTCTAACTGGTGGCGTGTAGGGAATTTCCCAGTCTCGATAACAGACATAGTGGGTATTCCATACTGATACCTCCCATTCTCATTCATTTACTGACTGCACTTCCACATAGGAGTGAGTGATATTTTCAGTCTCTTGTTATGTTGAACATAACGACTGCAACAGCTGTAAGTTTATGCGAGGCATCGAGCCCATAAATGCACATTAGTAAATTTGGTTTTCAGGCTCTATCATTTACTTCATGGAGACATGGATACCTGTCGTCGTCAATGCTATGCTGGGCGGTGAGCTCACCTGCGGTACCTTACTGAGACTGACTTAACTGAAATATTATGCAAGTCATGATGATGATTCGGATACATGCGATGTATGGACGATCCAAAAAGATGCTCATCTTTCTCGTTATAGTCTTGCTGGCTTCCACGGTTGCTGCCGGCATTATGACAGTCATGGGAAACATTGGTATTTCAGTGGGTAAGCTTCAATTATCTATGAAAACCTAAATCACATAAGACTCATGAACAATACCAGAGGAATTTGTCCTTTCTGGGTACCATACGTGTCTTTGGCTAACTGATGACCTATACCAGGTGCAACTGAATGATGAGACGTTGGTATCCACAGCTATATGGGAGATCCTCGCTTTCGTTCTCGCAGTCTGGGTCGTCATAAAACACTTTCGCGAGCTGCGACAATTTCCGACAGGATCGACTATTAGGGACTGTTTCACGGTGTTAATTCAAAGTCACGCATTTTACTTCGTAGCGTGAGTTTGGTGGTTTGGATGTTATCATCTTGTTTTGCTGAAGTTCCCCATGTGCTAGCTTTGCTGTTACAGCTTGCCTCAGTCTAGGCTCACTGTCTACATATATCATGGTGCGCCAACCTGCGACTAAGCATCTGCATCTATCCACTCATCATCATTTTAATAGTTCCCACCGTCCGTGGGAAGTATTTATTACTCTGGTATTCTCCAAATCGTTCAGGAGTTGCAGATGTTTGTGCTGGGACCGCATTTGATCCTCAGCATTCGCGAATATCACTCCAAGCTTTTGGCCAAGTCCGACGAGGGAACAAGCATGACGACCATTCATTTCCAGGCTGGTGATGATGTGTTGTCTGGCGGAGATGTTTAGTACGGTGATCCAAACGATCAACCCCGGTTATTTGGAGTTTTGTTGTGGTATTTATTTGGTGATTTGGTGATTTGAATTAGGTTTGAAAACCACTGCCATGCTGTATTACTTATTAGAATTACCTACCCAGCCATCCATGAACGACACGTCTTGCGATCATTATCAATGCATGCGGGTAGCGCAGTCTGTTGTTGACATTGTCCACAATGTTTGAAATGATTTTGTCGCCACAGGATTCATTCTCTCGCTTATATGGGATGACAGTGAGTGGGTTTCGCAGTAGCTGGAATGAATAGACTTGACGTCATTTCAAAGTCATTTGCACCTTGTGATACAATGAACAAGCTCCGTGAACACAAATTCACCTTCAAAGACTCGATTTGCATCCTTCACATCTTTCTGCTCTCCTTTGACTCACTTTCATGCAAGTCCCTCCATTCCCTCACAAAGGCGCTGCCCCCGTCCGCCAACTAGCAATACCAATCTTATACACAATCACCATACTCATCCCATTCACTTCTCAGTTCTTTATACCTGCAACACCCGTATTTTCATGGGTTCTCATGTGCTACTAAAACCAATCCCTGCCCACAGTCCACGTCGTCGTCCTCTCAACCTTAGGATCCGTCCTTTACAGTGCAAATATATCCGACATCCTCACCCACTTCAGTATCGGACCTCCGTGCTAATATTGTTAACGAAGTCGGAAGTGAGGTCAAAAAAGAGCTCATCACTCCCCATGCCTATGGCTTTATGCTAGACCTCGGTGCAGGCGTGTCTCTTCCTCCGCCGAAATGACAATCTGTTACTGCAAAAGACAGAACAAAACCACACCGTCAATTACCTCGACCATTTGTGTGTTACTAAATACTTAGCTGTAGAGCCTGACGTGCACATACATGTGAACTGGCCGTACTGCCTGGGTACAGCAAAGACGCTAGAACGCTTCTTATCCTCCCTCGCGGCGGCACTGAAAACATCTCTACCATTCTTTCCTATCTTCTTGTTCCGTACCCGCCTGTAGATATGCCCATGTCTGTCGTCACAATCCCTCGCTACATTCTATCATCTCCGTACGGGTCACAGAGGTGCTGAAACCTGGGGGGATGTTGTTCTGTGAATACGTGCTTAGCGTGATGACGGATGTTATGTGGTGGCAGCGTTTTGGACGCTGTTGTAGAGTATTGTTTTTTATGGATGTCGTCTGGATCGCACATCCCATCGGTGGATTGAAGATGCGAGGGGATGGGTGCAGGGAGAAAGAAGTATTTGGGATAAGGAAAGGGAGACCGAAGAACGTCTGTTTTGGCATTGAGTGGGAAGCTCTGTTGAGGCGTCAGCAGACTTGTGTCATTCCCTCTCCATAGGCTTGGTAAACTTGGGCCATATGAACCTCGGTTATCCTATACATCGCGCCCGAGAATCGTATTTTAAAATTTCGCGGTGCGCTATCGTATTAGACCCTTGATCTTCGAGGCGACCTTGACTCACCGACTATCGAATGTGTGATTCTACCTGATTCTAGTCCCTGGGGCGATACCAGGGGAGTAGCGGGGGTCCAACTTTACGATGTCCATCCCAGAGAATAGAAGCACAGTTGGAGGCAGATAGACTCGGAGACTCATCTGAGAGAACCGTCAGAATCTGATTCCTCCGAGTCACCGAGTCATTTATTCGCGTGTTAAGCGACTTGTCGTCCAAAAAGGTCGGCGATACAGAACTTCAGAAGTTTCTAATTTGAAAATCAAAATGGAGATGAATGGGGGCCGCAAGTTGACAGTTGGGCAATCGGTCCACATATTGTCCTTCGATGCCCACACGCCACTCGTTTGCGGATTTGGATCAATGACCACCTGTGGCGCGACTTTTGCAAAGGAAACCGTACCTGATGCGTGCAAAAGACTTGCAAAAGACAACAGCAACCATTTGAATTTTGAGGATGAGTGATTTTGAGGAGCGTTTCCTGGGTCCTCTTTCAACCACAGGGAAAGATTGCGGCCCATGGGTTGTTCGGGGACAGAGTGCCACAGATATCTAATAGGACCGCCATCAGATCTCATTCTTAAATTGATTATTCTTATGTTTACCTATAGAAGACATTCGGCGATGTCCCTCATATGTAAATGCAAGCGGTGGGAAACGGCCTATTAAGCTTTTAAGTTCTTCAACGCCCACTCCAGTCTCCGATCAGCAGAATTCTTTTGCGAGACTTTACGATGTGCAGAGCGTCAAAAAAAACCCTCAAAAAATAAAATGGCTATCAGTCCACTATCTATATTATTATCAGGGCTGCTGACCTTGATTCGAAATGTCCGACGATCGTGCTACGCTCCTTCAAAAAGCATCGTCTTGTTCCCAAAGTTCACCTTCTTTCCAACATCTTCCTAGGAAGGCCTCGTCATGGTCAATAGTGCTGGCGCCACTGCACCAGTGACAAACACACCTCTCCGCAACTCTGGCTTGCCTGCCGACCTCAAGTCCACCCCACACGCAATCGGCTCCGCTGTTGTCAGCGAACACACCGATACTCTAAGCGTCAAGTACGTCAGATTTTGTGTTCCAGTCACTGTTATCCATACTGAACTTTGTTATTCATGCAGCGTCAGTGATGTTCGTCCATGGACCACGCACGACGGCAGGAATTTCAAGCCATGTGGGGCAGACGAAATGCTGCAGCGGCTCCTTGAAATGTGTGTAGATCCTGCCCAATCCCTTCCCCCCGGTCAGAAGTCTACGTTACTCGATACTTCCCTCGAGGCTGTCTTGCCCCTCTGCAATGGGCCAGGTGTGGCGCAGAAGATCAAGCAACACTTGACTAATTTGTAAGCCAGCATTTCAAGGAACACGAAATAAGACTAACATTATCATCAAGTTGTAATATCGAGAGCGAAACCCCGTCTTACTCTGAATTCGTCGAGGCTGCCAACCTTGCACTTCGTGAACTGAGGAAGGTGGACGTAGCTGGAATACCTGCTTTTCAAAACGACGATGAAACCAACATCGTTTTTCATGTGAATGATCCATCGTTCATACACCAAAAACATCAAGGCGAGAAGTCCAGCCGCAAGCCGGACATCGTCGTCGTTTCTCACCAGACCGCCGCGGATATCATACCGGAGGGAAATTCCAAAGATGTTTACCGGTCTGCGTGCAAGGCGCCCACCAAAGACCATGAGAACTTCCAGTGGGTGGATGTCCGAACGACATTTGAGTTCAAACGCCCGAAGACGCGTCTGCCTCATCCGCCGTCTGCTTACACTAAGGACTACGTGGTTCCTAATGTCATGTACATGGAATATATGCCGGACACGGACACGGACACGGACACGGACACGGACACTGACACTGACACTGACACTGACACTGACACTGACACGGACACTGACGCGGACACTGACATGGACACGTACACGGACACGGACACGGACACGGACACGTCTTCTCAGTCAACAGACTCGACGTCTGCCACTGGTACTGCTCAGACCTCCTGCGAGACCTCGAACGAACGTAAGCCGTCCAGCTTGTATCTCCGCTGCTTCTTTTGACATGTGCAATGCAGTACAAAATATATCCGATCGAATCAGAAGCAACAAGCGTAGCTCCAATCATTTCGGCTCAAGTGGGTCATCCACCAGCAAACGATTCTGGCAGAACGAAGATCCTGTCATCCAGAATCATTTGTATGTTGAGGAGATGTTCGCGGCTCACACGGCGCGCCAGCACGTCATCTCGTTTATAGTCAACAGTAAGTGGACGCTACGCAGTTGTCCTGCCGTCGAACTAATTGCTCATTACAGACGACATCATTTATCTCTGTTGGTTCGATCGTCGGGATACGATTCCATGCGCTGGCATCAACTTCGTTCAGGACCTTCCACGCTTTGTGGTCTTACTCTTCATCATGCAGCGCATGGGGTACAAACAGTGGGGCCTCCACCCGTTGTTCGAACCTGAACCTGGATATGAAGGTGAGATTATCGTCGAGTACGAGGACGACACGAACAAGGACGACCGGGATAAGAGGAAGCGCATCGACCTTACACTGGATTTCAGGTCTGAGAAGCCCATGACTCATTTCAGGGGGCGTGCAACCGCTGTCGTTCCCGTGAGGAGCAAGGCGCTGTCGGCTCTGCCGCGGCGTTCCCATTCTCTCAATGAATCCACCAAATTGGTTGCCAGGCTCTTTTGGCCAGAAGAGGCACACCAGAGCGAGCCCGAGATCCTCGAAGAGGTCTACAAGATTGCGAAGGGTGATCTTGATGTGCTGGGCCATGTTCCAGAGATGGTCTGGTTCCGCAAGTTTGAAGATACATCCACAGCGATAATCAGAAATGCACTAGGAATCGACGATGCGGGCAGCCGGGTCCTATACATCACCGTGTTCAGAAAGCTTCACCCAATCACAACACTGAGCGGTGAGGAGTTCCTCCTCGCATGGTGGGAAGTCGTCAAATGTAAGTGACCTATCCTTCTCATGCTGTTTATCATCCACTCACCACTGCTACAGGCCATCGTGCGCTCTGGAAGAGGGGAGTGCATCACCGCGACGTCAGTCCCAACAGTCTCATGGGATACCGCTTACGCGGTCGATTTATGGGCGTCCTGAATGATTTCGACTTATCGTTGATCAAAGAGTCTTTGTCCTGGATTCGAGGCTCTCCCAAGGGCTTCGAGCGCAGAGGAACGGTACCGTTCATGGCGTTGAACATTCTCATGCCAGGAGCCGGACGAGTCGAGCACGTGTACCGTCATGATGCTGAATCGTTCATCTGGGTTCTCACGTGGATCTGCCTTCGGTATAAAGGGGGCAAGCTTCTCAGGAAGCGCAGACCATTGGATGACTGGCTGACAACGGGTGCCATTGGATGCTTCTACAAAAAAGCATTTTTTTTTGTAATGCTGTCTACGATGCGTCCAACGCGATCGCACAAAGAAAATTTCAAAGTTGCCTTTGAATTCTTACAGGTGATCATGACATTTCAGATCCCATCCACGCCCATTCCAGCGGATGATGAAGTATTCGAGATGTTGCTCCAGCACCACATACTCCAGAAAGTACTCCAACACAAAATTTCTCTTTGAGATTAGGTATGCTTGCAGTTGAGGCAGCGGTGATATTACATACTATGTTGTAGATTTGCTGTATGGAACAAACATCTGCATCGTGCACGGTGCCAATGATTCTTTGGTATTTGCGTGTTCAAACTCGAGGTAAAACGTTCAACGTTCAGGCTAATCTCCACAATATATAATCTTATGATGACTTGGAGCGCGGCGTCCACCTGCGTGTGTCTCGCGTGCGCTTATGTTGTAGTTGAGGCAGGATGCCTCCGGAATGTTCTGTTATATACTCAGGCTATCTTGTCACTAGATTGAATGTAGAACGAACATTGTGCTACGTTCACTGACAACCATATCTCACAATTAGGATCATCATATTATGTATGTATCCCAAGATACACTACGCTCGTTTATTCTCACTGACGGCTTGTAGGGAATCTCCCATTCTCGATAACAGACGCAGTGGGTATTCTGCATCGATGACTGATATTCCCATTCGATTACTGACTGCACTCCTGCGCAGGAGTGAGTGATATTCTCAGTCGCCTTATTACGTTGAACATGACGACTTCAACAGCTGTAAGTTCATGCGAGGCATCAAGTCCATCGATGCACATCAGTAAATTTTGTTTTCAGGCCTTATCATTTACTTCATATCGGCATGGATACCTATTGTCGTCAATGCTATGTTGGGGGGTGAGCTCACCTGCGGTACTCTCCTGATACTGACTTGACTGAAATATTATGCAAGTCATCATGATGATTCGGATATATGCAATGTATGGACGACCTAAAAAGATGCTCGTCTTTCTCGTTGTAGTCTTGTTGTCTTCCACGATCGCATCCGGTGTTATGACAGCAATAGGAAATGTTGGTGTCTCAGCAGGTGAGCATTAATTATTGATGAAATCCTGAAGCACGTAAGACTCATGGACAGATACCAGAGGAACTCGTCCTTTTTGGCTACCATGCATGTCTTGGTGAATTTGACACAAACCAGAAAGACCTGAATAACGAGACTTTGATACCCACCACTATATGGGAGATCCTCGCCTTCATTCTTGCAGTCTGGATTGTCATAAGACACTTCCATCAGCTGCGACAATCTCCGACAGGATCGACCATCGGGGACTGTTTTACGGTGTTGATTCAAAGTCACGCATTTTACTTTGCAGTGTGAGTTTGGTGATTTGGATGTCATTATCTTGTTTGACTGAAGTTCTGCATGTGCTAGTTTTGCTATTGTAGCTTGCTTCAGCCTAGGCTTACTGTCTACATATATTAGGGTGCGTTGATATGCGACTAAGTATCTGCATGTGTCCGCTCATCATCATTTTAACAGTATTCATCGTCTGTGGGAAGTGCTGTTTATGTCGGTGTTCTCGGAATTGGCCAGGTGTTGCAGATGTTTGTGCTGGGCCCACGTCTCATCCTCAGCGTTCGCGAATATCATGCTAAGCTCGTGGCCAGTGTCCGACGAAGGAATAAGCATGATGTCTATTGATTTCCAGGCTGGTGGCGAATCTGGCGATGTTTAGCACAGCCATTCAAATTATCGACGATCAACTTTAACTACAGTCACTTGGATTACTATTAAATATTAGAATTGTCTGCCCACCTGTGACCTATACGAAACATCTTACAATGTTTTGTTCTCACGGTTTGCGCACTCAGTTGCATACTTTCTGCTCTCTTCTGTCCTCTACAGTGCAAACATAAGCGACATCCTCAGCTACTCCAATATCGGACCTCAATAGCGTCAACGAAGCAGATAGGTCAAAAATGGCTTATCTTTGCTTAAGCAAAGAACCCTCTGATACATCACTACTAGTACGTTATCACAGGATGGGGCAAGGAGAGATACTTGTTGGTATTAGCAGTTCGCAGGCTGCGCGCTGATACATGATGATTGAACACACTGCCCGTTCTTATCTATGCTCTTGAGCCGCTGGTGTAGTTCATTTTCATCTCTTCACATCATCGTCTCATGGGCGCAACTAATATATCAGAACAGCACACCATTTTTCTTGATCATCAGAGCATGGAGAGGGAGCCGACATCGCATCGCAGGCCTGCATCACATCAACGGCAGTGTGGTCGTATGATGAAGCTCCTCATACCGGTGCGACCCATGCGACATTAGACTAATCGAGAGCTAGCAGTCTGAACACCCTTGACGGATCTCATTGAGGAGTTCTAGGTGTTACTAGCGTCCAGGCTGTGGACGCCTACTGTGCATTGGGTGTGCACATTTTAGACTGTGGTACGTTGCTGCGTTATGATTGGACGGTGCAACAGAATAATGATCTCCTAGCTATCCGAATGAACTTACCCTGCAGTAAACGCTAGCGATTAGATGATCATGTGCTGATGGAAGTGCAGAACGTGCAGAACAGCATTAGAACACATTCCTTCATCAATAGGTTCTTTCACGTAACGAGGCTCTGCAGTTAGTCTATGTTAGGTATCGTTAGACGACCACTGATGGAGATGACCAGAATGTGGTAGTTTGACAGCACTAGATTTGGAACATATCACTTCGCCGACTGATTTTCAGCGCCTTCAAATATTTCGCACGTATCATTCAAACCCAAAACCTTCCAAACATGCACTTTGCTTCGATCAAGGGCTTCTGATTATGAAACTGCTTATCCGTTCTAATTGTTTCATCGAGAATAGTCTGTGCAATCAATCAAGATTTTTATTCGAAGGACGGATATCCAGACTGGCCGCTATAAAAGCGCTGGATGGTGGTGTGTCTGCATAAACCCCATCCGCCCCATCCAGATATGACCGTAGTCTTAAATGATCCCACTTGGTTGCCGTGGATCAGTAATGGTAAATTTCTCAGCTATTTTGCAGGTCAGTAGAGAGCAAGTTGGATGAAGATGGTGACGTCTCACTATCAGCCTCATTGACTGGTACTGGTTTTGCAGTTGTATCTTTTACCACGGTGGTATATGATTGGGGTGAGCAAAACAATACCTTCCGAGGTATCATTAATATCTATACGGCATTCAAGCATTAACATTCGGACAAGAGGTAAGTTGACGTCATCAGCGCAGCTGCGTCTCACTAAGATGATTTAACAGTTCGAACTGATCTGGGTAAGCAAGGCCCTATATTAGAAGAAAGCTGGATAATGCAGTTGAATCGGAGCAGAGGCAACGCAGATCCTTCATGACCGTTCTTTATCTCTGTGTATGTTGTGCTATGAACACAGTCGACATGTTGTGCTGAGTCGACTTCAACATATGCTAGGTGCGCTACATCGGAGTACTATATTCTGTGTGAGTTTGCAAGGATGACAAGTCGACATTGCACTGTACTAATAAATCATACCTTGCAATTAGGATCACCATACCAAGCATGTATCCCCTCAAATATACTATTCATCTCTTCTAACCGGCCCCGGCAATGTAGTTGGTCTCCCAGTCCCGATGACAGACGTAGTGGGTGTTCTGCACCCATGACCGCCATTCCCATTTAATTACTGACTGCACTCCTACACAGGAGTGAGTGATATTCTCAGCCGCCTTGTCATTTTAAACATAACGACTGCAACAGCTGTAAGTTCATTTGAAGTATCGAGTCCACCAATGCACATCAGTAAATTTGATTTTCAGGCTCTATCGTTTACTTCATGTGGATATGGATGCCTGTCGTTGTCAATGCTATGCTGGGCGGTGAGCTCACCTGCGGTACCTTATCGATACTGATTTGACTGAAATATCACGCAAGTCATCATAATGATCCAGATATATGCGATGTATGGACGATCCAAAAAGATGCTCGTCTTTCTCATTGTAGTCTTGCTGGCTTCCACGATCTCCTCCGGCGTTATGACAGTCGTGGGACACGCCGGTGTTTCAGCGGGTAAGCCTTCATTATCGATAAAACCCTCGAGAACGTTAGACTCACGGACAAATACCAGGGGAATTCATCGCTTTGGGCTACCATATGTGTCTTACTATAGATGATTTCTCAGACCGGTTGGATCTGAGTTACGAGAGTTTGATATCTACCGCTATATGGGAGATCCTCGCCTTCATTCTTGCAGTCTGGATTGTCATAAAACACTTGCGTGAGCTGCGACAATCTCCGACAGGGTCGACCATTGGGGACTGTTTTATAATATTAATTCAAAGTCACGCATTTTACTTTGTAGCGTGAGTTTGGTGGTTTGGATGTTATTGTCTTGTTTCACTGAAGTTCCACATGTGTTAGATTTGCTACTGTAGCTTGCTTCACCCTGGGCTCGCTGTCTGCAAATATCACGGTGCGCTAATCTGCGACTAAGCATCCATGTCTGTCCGCTCATCATCATTTCTACAGTTTTCATCGTCTGTGGGAAGTACGCTTTATACCGGTGTTCTCGGAGTTGTACAAGCGTTGCAGATGTTTGTGCTGGGACCGCGTCTGATCCTCAGCATTCGCAAATATCATGCTGAGCTCGTGGCCAGGTCCGACGAGGGTACACGCATGACGTCCATCCATTTCCAGGCTGGTGGCGGCTCGGATGCGTTGACTCCGGGCGAAGGTGTGTTGACTGGTGGAGATGTTTAGCACGGCGACCCAAATGATCAACCACGGTTGTTCGGAATTTCGTTGTAGTATTTATTTGGTGATTCGGAGGATGTATAGAAGTAGTAGTGCTGTATGCTTGCTAAGGCTTAGAATTATCTGCGAAACGTCTCGTGATCTATATGATGAACTCGATGTTTAGAATGATTTTATTCCCACGGCATTCATCCTTTACCATGAGACCAGTGTTGCGGGCCACAGTGAACGGGCTTGTAGCTGGGGTGAATAGACTTGACAAGTCATTTTCACCTTGGGATACAGTGAAGAAGTTCCGTGCATACAAATTCACCATCAAAGACTCGATTTACATCCTTCACATACTTTCTGCTTTCTTCTGGCTCGCTCTCATGCAAGTCCCTCCATTCCCCTACAAATTAGCAATACCAATCTTATATGCAATCGCCCTACTCATCCCATTCACTTCTCAATTCTTTATACCTGCAACACCCGTATTTTCATGGGTTCTCATGTTCTACTCAAACCAATTCTTACCCGCAGACCACCGCCCCGCAGTCCACGTCGTCCTCCTCCCAACTCTCGAATCCGTCCTCTACGGTGCAAACATAAGCGATATCCTCACTCACTTCACACACCCAGTCCTCGATATCATCGCTTGGCTCCCATACGGCGTTATCCACTACACATTCCCCCTCGTCCTCGCTGCTCTCCTCTGGCTCTTCCGCCCACCCACTCTCCCCGTATTCGCAAAAGCCTTTGGCTATCAAAACTGTATAGGCGTATTTGCCCAAATAGTCCTCCCTTGCGCAGCACCCTGGTACGAAATCATATACGGCCTTACACCCGCAGCATACGGCACACCCGGATCCGCAGGCGGCTTAGGCCGCATCGACGACCTGTTCGGTGGAGATGGCTACAAACGCACTTTTGCTAGCTCGCCCCTCGTATTTGGTGCATTCCCCAGTTTGCATGCCGCATGGGCCACTCTCGAAGCACTATTCATCACCGCCTTGTGGCCCCAGTATGCGAAATGGGCTTGGGCTTACGCAGCCGTCCTCTATTGGAGTACCATGTATCTTAGCCATCACTATCTCATTGATGTCGTGGGCGGTGCCTGTCTTGCCACCGCCTGTTTCTACTTTTTCGTCCCCGAGGAGCTGCGCAATGGGAGTGTTAATGTTGCTGGGGACAAGTACGAGAGATACGATCTCGAATCGAGGAGGGGCGGTGTGGGCGCAGACGAGTTTGCGAGCGATTGGACGCTCAGCGATGAGGAAGAGACGCCTATTGCCTACCGGTCGCCGAATCCTGCAAAGGGGAAGGGGAGAGGACATAGGCATACAGCTAGTATCGCGAGCCTCATCAGACCTGATGAAAGAGCCGGGGAGGAGGGTTGGAGCCCCGTCACCGGTGTTGGGTTCGTGTTCCCGCCTGAAAGTAGGAGGTAGTCGGTTAGATGGATGGTTTTCTTGCATATACCCGGGTTATGATTGCTAGATTCTTGTGCGATTCTAAATCTGCATTACATAGTCCCATCTCAATTTCATAAAAACTGTTTAATTCAACATAAATCATAACCACATGTAAAGAATAAGGTTTCCAACGCTAACACTCCTCTACAGCTCGACGGACATTTACTCCAGCGCAGACTTGATTGCGGATCGACTGCCCCCGTTTCGTTTCTGGTTTGCAAATGAGAGAATGGTGAGCGTGCGCGTCCTAAACGCCTGGAATGAACCCAGGGTTCAATCTGCGTAGATACCAATCGCGATGCACCGACGAACACCCGTGCCGCATTGTTGCGATACGCGCAGAGGGGTGGACCTGGGTGAAAGAGTGTGGCGTGTATGACGTTGAAGCTACGACTCACGCACCGACGACCCTAACAGTCGACGGTAACACTGGCTCTGATTATGATGGGTAGATGGACAAGATATACATGCATGGGCCGATGAGAGAGCTGAGGGGGAGGGATATCGTGCGTGTGCCACACGATCAAGATATCCATATTGATGCATATTGTTGTGATATGCATTCGACTCGGATCGATGTGCGCAGTGCATCGTGATGGCTTTATTGTAGCTCATTAGAATATAGATGATGAGTAAGGTCTGATACTAAGACATCTGGCGAAAGTAGAGAACAACGCACCAGCGCCTGGGTATAGAACCAACGCGATCTTGATAACTTGCACGTCTTCACTTTGCCTTGATTTGATGTCCCCGATGATAAACATGGAGTCTTGAAAGACCGCGTGAATAGATGACTCGGTGCGAATACGACAGGATAGGGGATCAAGGCGAAAGAACTTGAAGTAAGCTTCCTCACCTACTCTATGAAGAATTAGAGAACCGGTAATAAATCACTGGCCGTTAGGCAGCAATAACTTGAAAGAATGGATGCTACGCATGAATGAGACTGAACTTAGACAGGCTCGATGATCTGGGAAGACGCTGATAAATGCAAGTCTGCTAGCAAGTGTGGCATTCACATCATCCAAGTGGCCTACCTGAATCCTTTGTCCGAGTCTCGAATCTTAGATCTCAAACATAAGGAAATTTGCAGGCTTGCATGTCTTCCAAGTCGCCCTTGAAATTTGAAATTTGATTATCAAAAAACCACGTGACTGGTACGCGCCGGGGAGCCGCACGTCACGGCAAAGTTCAAACGCTCGGGCCCGGCTTGCTCGGGGCCCACATGCATTTTCTCATCACGATCCTGAACCATGCGAATCCTGATTCTCAATCCAGTACCCTAATGAAATATAAATATATGTGCTAGCCATGCCTCTCTCAACTGCACCATCAAGTGCTTATTGCGTGCGGCAGTTCAAGTTGAGATGCGACTCGATGCAGCCTTCGGAGTGGTCACAGACCTACGTCTTGGCTTCGTCTGCGGCCTCTGGCCTACGATTATAGCAATCTGGCATGTTCCCTCCTTACTCTTCCAACCACTTGAAATATCCCGCATTTTCATGTCCCATGTATGGGACCTCTGTGGTGATAGCGCTGACGAAGCCGGAAGGGCGGTCAAAAAAGGGCTCATCACTCCACATGCCTATGGCGTTGTGCTAGACCTCGGTGCAGGTGCGTCTCTTATACCACCGAAACGATAATCTGTTCATACAAAACACAGGATACGGCCACACCGTCAACTACCTCGACCATTCGCGAGTTACGAAATACGTAGCTGTAGAACCCAATGTGCATATGCATGCAAAGCTGCGCCGTACTGCCTCTGCTGCCGGGTACAACGAAGATGATGGAACGCTTCTCATCCTCCCTTGTGGTGCTGAAAACATCTCTACCATCCTTTCCTATCTTCCTGCGCCGCACCCACCTGTAGACACACTCATATCTGTCCTCACTCTCTGCTCCATCCCCTCGCCACAATACACCATCTCTTCATTGGCTGCGGAGGTGCTGAAACCTGGGGGTCAGATTTTATTCTATGAACACGTGCTTAGCGAGAGGGAGGATGTTATGTGGTGGCAGCGTTTTTGGACACCGTTGTGGGGTATTGTTTTTGATGGATGTCGTTTGGACTGCCCATCTCATAGATGGATTGAGGATGTTGGGGGATGGGTGCAGGGAGAAGGAGGGATTTGGGGGAAGGAAGGGGAGACTGATGAAAATCTATTTTGGCACCGAGTGGGGAGATTGGTTAAGGCGTGAGCAGATTCGTGACATTCCTTCTCCATAGGCTTTGTCCTTCATAATCAACGTGGATCATTTTGACCAATCAAACTGACCGCCATGTGCGTGTTATTATGTTGGGGCTCAGCTACTTATTTCCTGCATTGTCACCAATGACAGCCGGCTCCTCCGCACGTCGAGGAGCCAATTTTTGGCTATATGGGTGTTCGAACGCCTCCCTAAATCCTGCGAGGCCCACTAGGTGTTCAACGGCGAAGTATTTCCAATGCATGCCTATTTCACATACCGATTTGACATCTCTTGATCAATCACAGGTGTTGGCAGGTCGTGTTCATGAAGTGATACTGCGCCACAAAATTAACCGAGAATTTGGGATCTCTCATCAACTTCTTTGGATTCGACTAGGAACTATCGGTCCGCTATCAGTACTTCTGGACCTTGACTCGAAATGTCCGACAATAGTGCTGCGCTAGCTTAAATAGCGAGCTTCAATCTCGTCTTCTTCATTCCAAAGTTCACCTTTCTTTTCCATTTTCCTAGGAAGGCCTCATCATGGCCAATAATGTTGACGCCACTTCGCCAGTGACAAACATGCCTTCCGGCAACGTTGGCTTGCCCGCAGACCTCAAGTCCACCCCACACGCAGTTGGCTCCATTGTTGTCAGCGAACATATCGATACTCTAAGTGTCAAGTGCGTTAGATCTCCGGTTCCGGCTACCATTATCCGTACTGAACTCAATCAGAAAGGCACTAGGAATTGTCCATACGGACAACCGGGTCATACGTATCATCGTGCTCCGAAAGCTTGACCGAATCACGACCCTGAGCGACAAAGAATTCCTCCTCGCATGGTGGGAAGTCGTCAAGTGCAAGTGTCATCGTGTCCTTTTCTTGTTCTCTATCATTCACCCATTACTCCGACAGGCCATCGCGTCCTCTGGAAGAGAGGCGTCCATCACCGCAACGTCAGCCCCAGTAATATTATGGGATACCGCTTCGGTGGTCGATTTATCAGCGTCCTGAACGATTTTGACTTGTCATCGATTAAACAAGATCATCCCACAGGCTTCGAACGCACAGGAACGGTACCATTCATGTCGTTAGACCTTCTCACACCGGAAGCCACCGCAGACGAAGTCGAACACGTGTACCAGCATGATGTTGAATCGTTAATTTGGGTCCTCATTTGGGTCAGCCTTCGGTATGAAGATGGCAGGCTCCTGAGTAAGGACAGACCACTGGATGAATGGCTGATGTCAAATGCTGTTGGATGCGCCAAGAAAAAGGTTTACTTTATGTTTAAGGGTATAGGTAGCAAAAATCTGCGGACACCGATATCGCATAGTGTGTCCTGGGAGGTTGCAAAGAAGTGCTTAGCGATGGTTTACAAGCATGGAGGCCCATTGCGTCCCGCTTCCACGAACGATGAGGAAGTGTTCCAGACGTGGCTCCAGTATCATGTGCCGAAAGATATCATTCAAGCCAATCTCTTGTCTAGCCAGTAGAGCTCGAGTAGATATACTTGCAGTTGAAGCAGCGTGCCTCCGAAATGTGGTAGTACTACGTACAGTCATGTAGATTCAATGCAGAAAAAATATCATGCACGGTGCCATTCTTTTGTATTTGTGTGTTTAACGTTCAGGCCTATCGAGAACAAACGAGATAGAGCTCGATATAAATCGAACGTGATACATCCATCATGCAACAACAAAATATAAAACGAAGAACTTCGATATAAATAATGTGGTAAGATGTATTTTACATTTGTGCAGTGACACAGCTCATAAGGTAGCCTTCAGATTGCTGCACGCAGCTGTCGAGTATTTTTTCACGGTTCTGTACATCATGTTAATTCATAATGAATTAAGATTGCCAATTTCTATCAAGAGTTATGCATACACATATTTTGCTTGTTCAATATTCTCACTGGATATCATCCCCGGCTATAGCAATATTATTATCTGCGAGCTTGATGGAAAGCGAAGAAGACCACCGAAACGGGACGAACATTAGTGGGGCCGGGGAGGGTCGGGGAAGTTAAACACTAAAACCATGGTGATATGCATCAGTGGACTGATGAACATATTATAAGGCTATAGCTGACCATATATATAGTTAAAAATCACAACAATGTGGCGGTGGGAGTTACATGTAGATATTTGACCTTACATAGGAACGATGAATTTTCAAGCCGGCCAACCGAGTCCTTCTATGCTGAATGTACCATGTTCTACTTGCATCGTCGTGTAACAGAAAGCTGTAATTGAAGCCAATGAAGTAAAAACAGAGGTCTATACGTGTCAAGGTACCGTAAAAGTCGCCACGAACCATTGGCACGAAGTTCTTCCACCACGCGACAATCGAGTAAAAAAAATTGCCTGGTTCGAACATCACCTTTCTCCGTAGATCATTCCACCCAGTATCTGGATATCATCCATGAAGCCTGGTCTGTATAGGTCACTTCGTTAGTTCATAATGATCGGTCTGTGTGCTTGAGCCACACGAACGTCAGTCATTAGTCATAGAGATGTGATCCTCCCAGGAGGATCGAAGGAAACACACCAACAATCATCGTATCAAGAGCTAGAAAAGGCCCTGACCGTTCTCGCGCAAGCCGGAACCACTGCACAGCATAGATGCTATCACAAGGCCAAGAGACATATAGAGTTAGTAAAATAGTGTAGGCAGTGTCCACCTAGGGCTTCACCTCAACGGACAATAACCAAGAACTTTTGAAAAAAATCTAGACATCACGCCAGAGATCCGTATTTCAAGAACTCACGGCGTGTTATCGCATTGGATCATCGATCTCCGAGGCTTGAGGACTATAGAATGAGTGATGCCACTCCCTGGGGGCGATACCAGGGGAGTAGCGGGGGTCCATCTCTACAACTTCCACCTGCAGAGAATGGAAGCACAGTCCGATATTTTGGAGGTAGATGGAGACGTGTGAGAAGACGATCAGAATCAGATTTTCTACATATTCGCGTGTTCACTCGCCCAAAAGGTTGGCGATATGGAAGTTTAAAATTTGTAGATCAAAATGGGGGTGAATGGCCGCCGCAAGTTGATAAACAGATAAACAGGCTATCGGTCCATCCATTGTTCTTCGACGTCCACACGCCACTCTTTGCGGACTTGAATCAGTGGAATCCATATTTGCGCAACTTTCGTCCTTGTGCGACGTATAGAGTGTCAATAAAAGGCAGATAGAAAAGGAAACTACACCTGATGCGTGCCAAAGGCAACAGCAACGATCCATAAGCTCAGCGATTTTGAGACCTCCTGAGTCCTCTTTCAACCGTAGAGAAAGATCGCAGCCCGGTTGTTCGGGAAGACAGATGGGTCTGATAAGACGATCAGAATCTAGATTCCTTGATTATTCCCATGTTGTGAGTAGAAGTACTTACTAGTCATCCGTCATCCGAAAGGTTGGTGGATATGTACATCATGATGAAATCGGTGATGGCCGCCGCGAAGAAATTGACAGCTGGGCGCTGGGCTATCAGACGGGCCATCAAGTCCTTCGACGCCCACAAACCATTCGTCCAATCAGTGAAATTTTTCTACGAGATTTTCGAAGAAACTTGTGCGATGTGCGGACTCCTGCGGAGCGTCAAAAAAACCTTTAGAAAAATGTTCATTGAGAAAGAGATCGTACCCGATCACAGATGGGTCAAAGGTAACAGCAGCGATCTATTGGAGTAATGTTGGAGTAATGATACAAAGAAGACACAACTGCTGCCAGAGACTGATCTGGATGAGGTGGGTCGTGTTGATGAAGTGATGGGTTGTCAACCGTTTGTGCCACAACTTTCATTAATTGTAGCCGCGACAGACTGAGATTTCCATCAACTTCTTCGAATTCAAACACTTGTAGACCTTGACTAGAAATGTCCGACAATGGTGCTGCGCTAGCTTAAATAGCGAGCTCAAATCTCGTCTTCTTCATCCCAAAGTTCACCTTTCTTTTCCATCTTCCTAAGAAGACCTCATCATGTCTAACAATGCTAGCGCCACTACGTCAGTGACAACCACACCTCCCCGCAAGTCCGAGTCTGGCTTGCCCGCCGACCTCAAGTCCACCCCACACGCAGTCGGCTCTGCTGTTGTCAGCGAACACATCGAGACTGTGGGCGTCGAGTGCGTCAGATTTTCTGTTCCGACCTCTATTATTTATACTGAACTTCGTTGTTCATGCAGCGTCAGTGATGTCCGTCCATGGATCGCGCGTGACGTCAAGAACTTCAAGCGATGCGGGGCAGACGAAATGCTGCAGCGGCTTCTGGAAATGTGCGCAGATCCCAACCAGTCCCTTCCTCCCAGTCAGAAGTCCACGTTACTCGATACCTCCCTCGAGGCTGTCCTGCACCTCTGCAATGGGACAGGTGTGGCGCAGAAGATCAAGCAACACTTGACTAAATTGTGAGCCAGCAATTCAAAGAGCGCGCCAAAGACTAACGCCATTATCAAGTTGTACTATCGAGAACGAAACCCCGTCTTACTCTGAATTCGTCGAGGCTGCCAACCTTGCACTTCGTGAACTGAGGAAGGTGGACGTAGCTGGAATACCTGCTTTTCAAAACGACGATGAAACCAACATCGTTTTTCATGTGAATGATCCATCGTTCATACACCAAAAACATCAAGGCGAGAAGTCCAGCCGCAAGCCGGACATCGTCGTCGTTTCTCACCAGACTGCCGCGGATATCATACCGGAGGGAAAATCCAAAAATGTTTACAAGTCTGCGTGCAAGGCGCCCACCAAAAACCATGAAAACTTCCAGTGGGTGAACGTCCGAACGACATTTGAGTTTAAACGCCCGAAGCCACGTCTGCCTCTTCCGCCGTCTGCTTATACTAAGGACTACGTGGCTCCTGATGTCCTATATATCGAATACATGAAGGAAACGGACGCGTCCGATTCGTCATCTGACTCATCCAGTCAGTCGACGGACTCATCCGATCTGTCAACGGACTCATCCGATCAGTTAACGGACTCATCCGATCAGTCAATGGACTCGTCCGATCGGTCAACAGACTCGACGTCTACCACTGGTACTGCTCAGAGCTCCCACAGTAACTCGAATGAGGGTAAGTCGTCCAGCATGCATCTCCGCTGCTTCTTTTGACATGTGCGACGCAGCGCAAAATATAGCCCATCGACTCAGAAGCAACAAACGCGGTTCCGAACATCTACGCTCAAACGAGCCGTCCACCAACAAACGATCCAGGCAGGATGAAGATAGGTCATCCGAGCAGGAGGAGAGGAGGAACAAGAAAAAGAAGAAGGGTTCGTATAAACCTCATCCTGTCATCCAGAATGGTTTGTATGTTGCGGAGATGTTCGCAGCTCATACGGCGCGCCAGCACGTCATCTCGTTTATAGTTAACAGTAAGTGGATGCAACGCAATTGTCCTGTCGTCGAAGTAATGACTCGTTCTAGACGATATCATCTATCTCTGGTGGTTCGATCGTCAGCACGCGATTCAATGCGCTGGCATCAACTTCGTTCAGGACCTTCCACGCTTTGTGGTCTTGCTCTTCATCTTGCAGCGCATGGGATACAAGCAGTGGGGCCTCCACCCGTTGTTCGAACCTGAACCTGGATATAAAGGCAAGATTATTGTCGAGTACGAGGACGACACGGACAAGGACGGCCAGGATAAGAAGGGCCAGGATAAGAGGAAGCGCGTCGACCTTACGCTGGATCTGAGGTCTGAGAAACGCGTGACTCATTTCGGTCTACGGGGACGTGCAACCACGGTCTTTCCCGTAACGAGTAAGGCGCTGTCGGCTCTGCCGCGGCGTTCACATTTTCGCAACAAAACCAACGAATTGGTTGCCAAGCTCTTCTGGCCAGAAGAGGCACGCCAGAGTGAGCCCGAGATCCTCGAAGAGGTCTACAAGATTGCGAAGGACGATCTCGATGTGCTGGGCCATGTTCCAGAGATGGTCTGGTTCCACAAGTTCGAAGACACGTCCACAGCGATAATCAGAAAGGCGCTAGGGATAGACGATGCGGGCAGCAGGGTCCTATACATCATTGTATTCAAAAAGCTTGAGCCAATCACGACCCTGAGCGGTGAAAAGTTTCTCCTCGCATGGTGGCAAGCCGTCAAGTGTAAGTGACCTGTCCTTCTGGTGGTATTTATCATTTACTCACCACTGCTACAGGCCATCGCGCGCTCTGGAAGAGGGGGGTACATCACCGCGACATCAGTCCCAACAATCTCATGGGATACCGCTTACGCGGTCGATTTATCACCGTCCTCAATGATTTCGACTTATCGTCGATCGAAGATTTGTTGTCCTCGATTCAAGGCGGTCCCAAAGGCTTCGAGCGCACAGGAACGGTACCGTTCATGGCGTTAGACCTTCTTAAGCCAGAAGCCATCGCAGGCCAAGTCGAGCACGTGTACCGTCACGATGCTGAATCCTTCATCTGGGTTCTCGCCTGGATCTGCCTTCGGTATAGAAAGGGCAAGCTTCTCAGGAAGGGCAGACCATTGGATGAATGGCTGACGGTAGATGCCATGGGATGCCTCAAAGAAAAATCGTGTTTTTTGACAATGCTGGGGACGGTGCGTCCAACGGGATCGCACGAAAAGAGTTTCAAAGTCGCCTTTGATTGCTTAGACACAATCATCAAATCATTTATAAGCCCAACCGTGCCCATTCCAGAGGACGATGAAGCATTCAAGATATTGCTCCAGAACCACGTACCCCAGAAAATACTTCGACGCAAAATTTCTCTTTGAGATGAGGCAGCGGTGATATTACATACTATGTTGTAGATTTGCTTTATGGAACAAACATCTGCATCGTGCACGGTGCTAATGATTCTTTGGTATTTGCGTGTTCAAACTCGAGGTTAAAACGTAACGCGTAACGTTCAGGCTAATATCCACAATATATAATCTTATGATGACTTGGAGCGCGGCGTCCACCCGCGTGCGCTTACATGTATGCAATAAATATAAAACGAAGAATGTTTTGACGTTGATATCTACGTCGACGCCGTAACTTGATCGTAACGTAATCTGATAAGTTCGATTTTACATCTGCGGTGACACAGCGCTTGTAAAGCAACGTTCACGTTCATGCAGATGCATTCCTGCATTCCTGCAGCTCAGCGACTCAGTATATCATTTTCTCCAACAGGCTTCTACTACCTCATTGCTCGGATTTCCATGTGCGTGCGCATTGTGATTCGAACACTACTGTAGTTTTGCATAGGCGCCTACGTTAAGATGCCTTTTTCAAGTCTTTTCCAGCTTCGTGTAATTGGTGCCGGGCTGGATCGTTGTGAGTATACCTCAATTACTCGAGTGGACACTGTAGCACGATAATAGATATCCCCACAGACATTGGCACCGCTGAAGAGCAAAAGCTTCCGACCTCAGAGGGAGCGGACCGGAAGACGGCAGCCGCGGGGCGGTTGCAACCAGCGACATCTGTTTATGCGTCAAGGCTGTTCGTACTCTCCACTGTTGGAAGGCCGACCTGATAATGATATATATCCAGCACTGCATTAGTAGGGATGGAGCAGACCCAGTACGGGTAAGCAGAAACTTCTGCCGACGCTAATTCCGAGTCATGGGAACTGGAGAATTATGGTAAAGTCGCGGAACGAAACATGATACAAAGTATCATGCAGTCGTTAAACGTTAATAATCGACCACCAGATAGTTGAAGCTACTGAACCACCTCACCAGAAGGAAATTCAATTATGCCTCTCCGTACTACGGACAAGCCCAGCTGGGCTCTGATACCATGATCGGATCACTCGATCACTTTCAGACTGAGACCTTAGTGCCACGTCTGCGCAGTACTTACGAATTTCCAATTTTATCCGTCCCCAAACAATTTTTAGTAGGATATCCGGTGGTTGCACAGGACAGCACAGGACGCGTTGGAGTACAACCTGGCAAGTGGTTCATTATATCACATGTCTTGTCTGGATCACAGATGAGTCAATTTTGATAGAGTAAAATCTATTGACGTGACAGAACAGTCAGCTCAGCCATGGTCAGACTCAGCCTGTCCTATTCCGAATTCGAGGCAAGCAACCCGGTATCCTGTTGACGTTCATCAGACGGCGCTTCAGCACTACAATCTGAAGACCGAAATATTAAACAACTCATAGAGACAAGAACGGGCAAATACATATCATTGTCACGGTAATCATGACAAGACCATTGCTTTGACACATGATCCTCCGCGTCCATCGCCTCGGATAGGTCATGTGGATGGGTGCTTAGCATTTCAAGATCAATCCTCTAGCCCCGTATGCATCTCGGCTGCTGAACGTTGCGTCCATCTGGAGGTGGAGTATTAGGACTTTGATGGGAATGCCGTGCAAGGTAACCCGTCCCACGTCGGATATGAGATGGAGGAATATATCGTTGTCTGGGGCATGCTAGGGCTATAGTATAAAAGGTGAGAGGAGAACGCAGCTTTCCACTCAACTCAACAGAAGATAAATCATCGAGCCCTAGCACTCTCCTCATTGCAAACATGAAATTCATCTCACTCACTTCTATGGTCGTGTCTGTTGCGGTAATGGCTGGCGTAGCCACCGCGTACAACCCTATCGGCCAGTCTTGCGACACCCCAGGTAAGTGCTCTTGCCGCATAATGATGTGTCGCGGGATGTGCAGATAACTTGACGGTGTACTTACGCTTGCTCGCAGGTGGTTTTGGGTGCTCACAAGACGCGAGTATCAATGGCGGAAATGCGTTCATTTATGAATGTGCAGCGACCGACAAGTTCGTCTACGTTGCAGGCTGCGGCTGCTCTACTTGCTGTGAAGCCACGACCAGTGGTGCGTTCTGCACGTGAAAGTAAGCGGTGAGCGCGGATTTCCTGTACCTCTTGAATATTAGTGCTGATGTTGTTTTCGCGACAGAGGTTGTCCGTGGAATAATGTACTGTGGTACGTAAAGGAGATAGTGAAGGAGTGGTCAATAAATATATCACCGCGTCTGGAACCAATTGTGCTGTGTGATGTCGTGATTCAAGGCGTGATTTCCGATGGAATTGTGCAGCATCCCGATTCGTTATCCCTAAATGGACGGTCGAGAGGCACGAAAACTGACAGGCCTCACTCAATTACGGTGTTCAGGCTTTGAACAGGTCTGTCAAAGAGTGAACGAGCTTTGTCCGTGGCAAGACTCTGTCTCACCATTGCACATTGGTAGATATGATGATAGCAGTCGCGATGGTATCACTGTGCTTCGTCGAACACCTAGAAAGGGGTTCGCAAGAAGGACAATCAGGGTGAAGAGCGATAACAAGAAGGAGTGCATAACGTGGAGTGTGATGAGCAAACGATAGACGCGTGGATTGGGTGTGGGAATGTGATAGTCTCCTAGGTTCTAAGATAAGTAGCCTGGTCGTCCCTGCATAGTACTTTCTAAAGAAAATTGTGCCACGGGGCCCCAAGCGCGAATTCGCACGCCGGATCTCGTTATTGTACATGAGGAGGACAGACCTGATCGAGCTTGCTGGTTTGTTTGATCTGAGGCCTTGCAAGCCCAACAACCCCATTTCCGTCTCCTCGAGGCGACTTATCTTGACCCGCCATAATTGGAAGATTACGTGTACAGCCACCGCACCGGGATTCACCGCGCTTACGTAGACTGAGTTGATATAAACCTGATGGGCAAAATGGAATGGTGAACTGAAACCAAGGTATCCGCCAGCTTTGCAATGCGCGGACTGACAACAGTAACCCTCGCTCTCCTCGGCCTCGCTGCCGCCATTCCCGAACCGCAGCGTCGCAAGTCCCTTTCATTTGGTCCTGTTCTCCCTCATGCCCACTTCGACAGCAGTGCTCACCAGCCTGTGCCCGCCGTACTCTTCTCTACTCAAGACAGAGTGCGGGTAGACCCGTACGAGGTAGCCAAGACATTCCTTGACTCTATCGTAGACCTCGATGACGGCGTGAGCTACGTGATCCGCAGCGATAGCTACACGGATCGTGTTACCGGAGTGACTCACGTCTATGCACGTCAGATCGTTCAAGGTGTACAGGTAGCCGACGGTAATGTAAACTTGAACATCAAGGGCGGCGTTGTCTTGAGCTACGGCAATTCGGTGCGTATACGTCATGTTGGTGACGCGTCAACTTCATAAGCGCTCACCCCGTGCAGTTTTACCCCGGTCCGGCTCCATCATCACACACCCGTGGAGCACATCCCCACGCAGAATACTGCGCACAACTTGATTCCGCTCGTTCCCCCTGGTCAAGCCAGAAACCCCTGGATGGTGCACACCCAGAGCTAGAGCACATTCACTCCTCCAACTGCGCAGCCCTCCCTAACATCCACTCCCTCCCAACTTCCTCCTTCGATGACCACGTCCCAAGTCCACAAGATGCACCTCGTGCACTTCTTACTTTCCTTCTTGCAGCTGCACCGTCTCCCGCTCTCGCACAAGACATCCATAGTCGTTTCGATGATCATTTGGCGAGCATGACCATGGCTCACATGTCCGGCTTCCTTCCTCACGAGGCCGAGCAACTCACCATTACCGGTGCTCCCGGAACCATCGGCGAGGTCAAGACCTCCGTCGTCTGGGTCCAGGTACCCTCTGAAGATGGCACCGTCCATCTCGAGCTCGTACATCGCGTTAGTATCTATCCTCTAGGTTTCGCACCCAATATTGACCACTACACAGTTCGAAGTCGAGATGGAGCACAACTGGTATGAGGCCACAGTCTCTGCATCTATTCCCCACCGTATTGTGTCCGTCGTGGACTGGGCCAGTGACAGCCCCATGCCTCTTTATTCCCCTGAATCTCACTCCGAGGATGCTCAGCTCCCTCCCCTCTCCTCATTCATCCCTGCAGGCTCCAACGCCCCCTCCTGCTCCACCAAGAAGGTTGGTGGTCGCTTCAGGAAGGGTAAGGCTGTGGCAGATCTCCGAAAGAGTAAGGCTGCCAAGGAGGGTGCCACGTGGTCCACTGGCCCTGCAATTCCTGACTTCCCCAAAGCATATTACAACGTCTTCCCATGGGGCACCAATGATCCTGTTGAGGCTGCGGAAAGGAAGGCGCTAAGTGAGGGAGATGGTAAATTCCGCTATATCCCCTTTGTGATCCAAACATCAACTCACGCCTCTTCTAGCACCCACAGATTCTCTCCCTCCTTCTTACGGTCGCGTCCAATCCTCTGAGTTGGGTGATAAGCTCGCAAGTCCAGCAGGGTGGCACGCCCTGCCGTGGGGTGTAGACCCCAGCATCAGTGAGGAAGAGAAGGCTACACTTAATGCGAGAGGTTCGTCATCATCTACTTGACCTTTTCGTGCTATAGACCTCATGCGGAACGGTAGGCGAGTTCTGGCGCACGACAAACACCACGTGGGGCAACAATGTCTTTGCACACGAGAACTGGGAGGGGCGCAACGCGTGGATATATAACCGCCGTCCAGAGGGAACCTCTGTGGGTGGTGAGTGCTTGCGCAGCTTGTTCTATCTTTCGTTTTCATGACACTTGTCTGTTAGACGACGTCAGCACTTTAGCAGTCCACTACAACTACCCATACTCCCCGAGCCAGAAGGGCAACTCGGAGGAAAACTTGGCCGATGCATATGCTCACATCGATGCAACGGTGGCGCAACTTTTCTACACGAGCAACTTGTTCCACGACTTGACCTACCGGTGGGTTCTACTCACGATTATTTCTTATTTTCCCATGTGACGAATTGTGACAGGTACGGCTTCACTGAAGAGGCTGGGAACTTCCAGCAGTACAACTTTGGGCGCGGCGGTGAGGAATCAGATGCTGTGATCACGAATGCACAGGACGGCAGTGGGTTCAACAATGCCAATTTCATGACACCTCCCGACGGTCAAAATGGGTGGGTTGTTTTTCTTCCTTGCTCTGATCAATACTTATGCTTTGTGAATCAGCAAATGCCGAATGTACCTGTGGAACACCGCTAACCCCTATCGTGATGGCGACATGGAAGCTGGTATCGTTATCCACGAGCTTACTCATGGTCTCAGCACGCGGTTGACGGGTGGCCCCAAGAACAGTGGATGTCTCGGCTGGGGTGAGGCTGGTGGTATGGGAGAGGGCTGGGGTGGTAAGTTTTGATCGGACGCTCAACAATCAACAAACTCACCGTCTACAGACTTCCTCGCCACGACCATTCGCAGTACTTCCACTTACGAGGACTACGCCATGGGCGCATGGGCTGCCAACCGTCCGGGGGGTATCCGGAACTACCCGTACAGTCTTGACAAGTCAGTGAACCCTAGCACGTACAAGACGCTTGACAAGCCCGGGTACTGGGGCGTACACGCAATCGGGGAGGTTTGGGCGCAGATGTTGTGGGTCCTGGAGCAAAGGCTGATCGCCAAGCACGGGTTCACAGATAATCTGTTCCCTCCCCCGCACGATGCTAACTTTGCCGAGTACGCTGCTTTCTACCGCGCCGACAAGCCTTTCGTCCCCAAGCACGGTAACTCGCTATTGGTACAGCTTGTGTTGAACGGGATGAAGCTGCAGCCATGTAGCCCATCTTTCTTTGATGCGCGTGATGCGATCGTGCAGGCCGATCAAGTGCTCACGGGTGGGGAGAACTTCTGTGATATTTGGGCTGGCTTTGTTGAGAGCGGGTTGGGTATTGATGCTACCGTTAAGGGGCGTACACCGTGGGGTGGAGGTGTTAGGGAGGATGTAAGTTCTTTTCGCTGAGTTACCTATTTGGTGGCTGACGCACGATTATTTTGTAGGGTTACAAAGTTCCCGCTGCATGCCAAAGCGACGACGCACCCTCACCTGAGCCAATCCCTGATGACCCAGAGGATGACTGCGGTCCATTTGGATGCTGGTGGAGGCTGTGAGCGTGTGCGAGAAACTTTTAACTGTTTCGCATCATGATCGATATCCATATACACGATTGGAGACGCACGGCTAGATGATAGTGATATCCAGACTCTGGATAGAATATATATCCGTATCTTGCTCCCATGTAATCATGCGCTAGCTTTATTTTGGTTTTGTTGCGGTTGCACATAGTTTTTGTATGATAGTTATAATTGATAAGATATGATGCATCGCGGGATGAATGATAGATGCTTGATGTTGAGTATAATTAGTTGAGTGACTTGAGCTTAAGGATTTACCTGAGGCTGTTTCACGTGAGAGGATGCTGCAGGGAGGGGAAAGATGCGGCAGGAGAATAATAATATACCCGTGCTTGAGGGCGCAAGCAAACGTTCGACACCTGGACCAGGCCAGGTACCGTGAACGGGGACCTTAAGTTCCGGTGTTGCACTTGGTTTGTGGTCTCAATATTCAAGCTTGGCGAGTCTGAACATACAATTCACTCCCTGGCAGCTGGTCGACTGATGTGCGAGACATGCCATAGCCCTCAAGTGCGCGTAAACTGCGCGCGTAGTTGTTTGGTGGATATCCAGTGGATTCGTGATGAACGTTCTTGAAGACGGCATCAACGACAGCTTCTAGATCCATGATGCATCAAATGAAAATAAAACGCGAGCCTCGGGCACGGAACAGTCAAATTCGATCATCGGACCCGGGATCCGACCACTATCTTATCTTCATTCGTAGACATCGTTTCCGCAGTCTCGAATTCTTCTCTTCAGAAAATTAATGAGCTGCGGGATATATCAGACTAGAAGCAACATAAAAAAATGAGCCGCAGCAAGAGTGAGAGTCCGATGGAGCTGGGATGGGGGTGAGGCATGACTAACGTTACGTTACGTTGACTGGAAGAAGCTTTTATTAAAGAGGGGCGCCGCCGTCACGCCAGAAGAGTTCAACGTGAAACACTGCTGGCACAGTTTAAACGCTCTGGCAGGTGTCCTCGGGTACGACGTGATTTATCCAGGGTCACCGACAGGTGGGCGGACCTGGACCCTGACAAGAATTCGGAGTCAAAGAGGTTTGGAAACAACCGCGGTAGCCATCGAGCGTGGATAAACTATGGACTGCCATCGAGCAGATATAACGCCGTATCGAAGCAGATACAACAGAGCAGGGCGTTATAGAAACTTACTGTGATCGGACAATAACGGCAGCAACATAATGTGCGCCCGAGCGCCTTGTTTTGCACGCTATCCCTTTCCGTAAACTCCACACGCTGCGTTGTACTAGGTGCAGGTATTAGTATCATCCATACTGCGCCAACCCAGCTCTCCACTCTTACAATGCAATTTGTAGTAATCAATGTGGCGGTCTGTACGGGTCTTACATATCCTCATTCTCTGACTTACAGTGACGTTGACATTTGTGCAGGGTGCCGACTGTACCGGAAGCACTTGGCATGATGGATTGTTTTCGGGCCAAACCGAGGCCAGATCAACTCCCACTTCATCCCACGAAGTTTTGGTCGTGATCTCGTATTCCTTTTTGAGGAAAAAAGAAGATCCAGATTTGTACAGTTCGCCTTGTTCCGCGACCATTTCAAGTGCTCAATCCGATAGGACTCCTGTGGGACTACCCCAATGTAGTTTATTTCGGTTCACTGACCCATCCTGTGCAGACCAAAACGAAATATCAAGCACACATGGGAAATATAAAATGGAACCATGCATGCCGTTCCTTTCATCCAAACCAGACCGTACTCCCCCTCCATCACAATGCGCGATCTACCCATCGAAATCATCAACACTGTCGTCCAGAATGTTTCCTCCGTGACTGATCTTCTCCAGTTGCGCTCTTTAAACAAAGCGTACCGAGAGCTCGTCACACCCATCGCATTCAGCAAACTTCACGTGAAAAACAGCATCCAGAGCGCACAAAACTTCCAGCAGATCATTGCTGCCGCCAACCTTGCTCCCTATGTTCGGGAAGTCGTCTACGATTTTCGCGACGATGAATTTTTTCAATTTCCCCCAGAAAATATTGGTGAGTTCGATTTCCTTTTGTTTATGTATAGGAGCTAATTATAGAATGTTCCTGCAGAAATCGAGGACATGTTGGAAGTCGCTGACCTCGAGGAAGCCTTGACCGAGGTTTTCTGCGCACTCGATAGACTCCCCAGACTTGAATGCGTCGCCGCGAATTTTTGGCCAACATTCATCTCCCAGTCTGGGAAGGAAATCCGCGAGAGCCCATTCTGGTTTACGAGTCGGCAGCTCACGGTTATTCATTCCATATACCACGCCATGAAAACGTCTCGTATGACATCCCTCTCTCTCAACAATGTAGTCATGATGCCTGTTTCATGCTATGACTTTGTCTCTACCCTCACAAACTCGCCCCTGTCCCATCTTTCGCTCTCTGTCGTGCCAAACGCCGATATCAGTGCCTGGTCGGGATCCAAGGAGATTAATGGATCACTTGGCGCACTCCTGCCCATTTCCAATCCCACACTCAAATCACTCGAGCTACGTAGCCCCCAGGGCCCCTACCACAGCCTGGAAACCAAGCTTTCATCATTCCATTACCCATCACTCGAATCGCTCGTGCTCGAAAATACCGTCTTTGATCAGATGCCCTCTCCTGATGGTGTCGAAGAGTTTATCATCCGCCAAAAGAGTCGCTTGCATCATCTGGAGCTGCAATCATGCGCAAGCTATGTCGCAAACCCGTCAGTCGATGCCAGGCTGTGGTCAAGCATCTGGCAACGATGCGCGGCTGAGCTCACCAGTTTGAGAGAGCTTGTGGTGGACGGCGACAGTGGATATGTCGTACTCGATGCTGAGTGGGGCTACGTCACTTATAAGCCGATCAGCACAACAGTAGCTGAGGGCGACTCGTCGAGCTTGCAGATGTTCCAGGATGCCATAGTATCCGCTTGTAAGGTTGTGGCATGAACGTGTAGTTGTATCATTGATTTACTTGCTCGAACGCTTTCGGTGGTTTCGGACACATTGTATAGCATTTGCATAGGGCCTTATCAGGGGCGTTTTGATACCACGGAGGCAACTTACATCATTGCGCCAGTGAAAATGTACATTTGAAGTTTGTTGCTTGGCGTCTGAGCATCTTTCCGAGGTCACGGCTCCATATCCTCGACTCCCACAGGACCTTTGTTTCATCAAAAACGTGGGCTCATCTCCGTTGTAACTTTGTCAGAAATATGTAACCTTTCTTTCCTCTTCTGACGAACGAGTTCACGCTCGTGATAGGCTGCCACGAGCCCGTGCCTTCGGTACTAGTAGGCGGAGCGCATCACGCTTGGCTGAGTGATGCCAGGTGAGAGGTCGTACTGCACTTGTCAAAAGACTTGCATTGCTTTTACGCGACATCATTGAAGAGGCGTCGTGTAACAACGTGTCGTCCTCTTCATTCTCAGGATATCATATGCATTCACGATCTTGACGTGTCACAGCCAAGCTATCCCCACAATTAATAACTCGAAACTTGCTGACAAGAGGTCATTCTGTAAGCACAAGATAAAATATAATGTCACCGTCGGGCATCATGGTCATAAACTTTAAATATTTTTAGGGTCGCGAGAAGAAACTCACACTTTGCATTTTTGGGACTGCTCACACCTGCGATATCTGCTGACATAATCTTACCGTGTGGTATTTGTGCAGGCTCCATCGTCCCTGGGCTTCCAGCGCCGCTCGATAGAACACATCGCTCCTGCACTTTACAAATCCCTCGTATACACACCTGGCTCCTTGTGTTTTAACACCAATGTACGGCGTCCAATGCTAATTTGAAATATCTCTCAAATTTGCGAATAAGGTTTATCACGGGGTCCAGATCGAAGGCTCCTAGCTGCGCACGGCAAAGGTCTGCATCGTACACAGTCGTCCGTTGCGTCGACGTCTCAGTTGGAACTTCTCATACAGATCCGAAGTCCTTCTTCCCCGCTTGCCCTACTGATTTCGTTTTAGGTAATTCGGAAATACTTTTTTCTTTTCAAAGTCCGGTATATATATATCCTCAGTCTGATCGCTGTTCTGATGTAGACGAGATACTTTGTTGGATATTACGATATATGATCATATATTTCTTCTCACCAGTTTGTATATTTACATCCACACATGTTGGGGATATCAGTCATCGCCGCAGCTGCGCACAAAGGCCTCACACGTGTTGATGAGCTTGCTCCGGACTGCCTTTGAAAGGATATACAAAGAGCGGGGAGACAAAGTCACTATCAGATCGATCATCGCACACTGTGATTCCGATCAGCGCGTGGCATGCTGATTTCAGATCGTCGCTGGCAAGGGTCTGTGACATGTCACAGTTCACCAGTTTTCAAACCTCGCTCGCTTTCTTCAAACACGTGACGTAGATATAAATAGGACAACTCTGGCTACTCGTTTTGTCGCTCAGGGCCATAACCTGACCCCGATTTCGCTGAGCCTACCCATTCGACCATCCAAAGGCTCACACTCCAATTAACAAATGTACGTCAAATAGGCGGTCATACTGTTTATGTGGATAGTTAGTGTTAAATATACGCAATACGTGTATGAGAGATGGACAGAGATCAAGATTAAAGAGATGCCAGCCTGCATAATAATATACAATCCCGGCTTTTAGAGAGTACGAAAGCTGCTATGCTCTATGAGAGGCGGGGGGCGCAGGGAATAAACCAAAGAAATAAGGGGAAGCAGCATGTCGTACCAGACGCGCCAGACGCAAAGGAAACAAATGATTCTGAAAAACAACGGGCGTTCGACTGAGATGTGTCACGAGTCGGTAGAAGAGAAAACGCATAGAGGAAAGGAGATAAGCCGAGTGAGGAACGCCAAAATGGGAATATAAACAATAGTCGACCAATAAGTATAATTTTTACTTTTTTACCAGGGATCCAGATAGTGAAGGAGACAGAGTCGACAGGAAGCGAGGAGGGGTATTCGACAGCCAGTAGGGATGGTTCATAAATCACATGTTCGAATAAGCATAATCCTTTTGGACTGTTACATTTTGAACGAGGGTATATCTTTATTGTTGCGCAACCATGATAGGGACAGCTTCAGCCGAGACAGCAGGATAACTGATCTGTACTTGTGCTTGTAGAGCCTGCTGCTGGCGCAAGTACTGCTGTTGTGCGGACGAGTAAAACATCTGTTGCTGATATTGCTGAGCATACGTCGATGTCATGTGTCCGCTTACTGGCGTAGAGGTTCCGCTCGTCACCGGTGTTGAATGCCGTGAGCTTGCATTGCTACTCCGTCCATGCGCATGTTGTAGACATTCGTGCTGTCCACTGGCAAGAAGGGCCAAGCCAACTGTACCATGGTCACCCGAATGCTGGTAGTGATACCGTAAACCGTTCATGTTCTTGTATCGGCGTTGGCAATCACTGACCCCACAAGCAAAGGGCCGCAGTCTGCGCTCTGCCTCCCGTTCGACTTCACGCATGTCACCCTCTGTAATTCCCTGATCGTCCCCAGCAGCCTCGCGGGCGGACCGCTTGCTAGCCAGTAGTGCTTGTACTTGCTCGAGGTCTTTTGGTGGCGCAAAATTACAGCTCCCATGAGTCATATGGTATTTGAGCCCATTAGCTTGCTTGTAGCTCTTATTGCAATTGGGCTTCGGGCAGCGGAAAGGCTTCGACAATAGTAATGATGACGCAGGGCGAGAGAGCGTGGTACTAGCACGCTGATTGACTTGCTGTGATGTGAGAACTTTGGGAGAAGTAGGGGAATCCGAGGATGCCGAGGAATGAGGAGCAGCCGCGGGGGGCACCAAATGGGGCGAGGCGCTTGCTGGAGATGGCATGCGAGAGACTGAAGGAGTGGTAACAGGGGTATTGCATGTGGAGAAAACCACAGCTGGAGGAAGACAGCCGTAGGGACTACCCGGCTCACTGACAGGTGTGACAGGTGCGTGAATATCATCGCTTCCGGTTGAGGAAGGAACAGTGCCAGGCATTGAGGATGAGAAGTCAGAGTAACCAGCGTAAGCATTAAATGCATCGGGTGCATTTGCCACATTGGGAAGACCGTTTCGAGACGGTGGGAATGCTGAGCCATGCACAGAGCGGGAAGGAAGCACAGTCGTCGTATCAAATGCCGACACGGGAAGATGTGGGGACGCAGGCTTCGACTGTCCAAAGTGGTTAAACGAATGAGTAGGGTGTGATGACAGCGGAGTGCTGAGGGGAGTGTCAGGGGGCGTTGGCGCGTTTGACATGCTGCCCTGATCAATATCGAGTTCCATGTCATCAGGATCAAAACCACCTTGGTTGTAAGATTGAGGGTGCTGTTGAAGGTCTGAGAAGTAGGACGTAGTCGTGTTATGAGGTAGAGAAGGAATGACTGGGAACTGAGGGTGACCAAACGGGTCAAGCACGACAACATGAACCTCCTCGAAATGCTGTAGCAGAGCGTGCAAATCATCTAGCTGTAGACCACAGCATGTGTAATTGCGACACTACGAGGGTACAATCATGAGACTGGCACAGGCTACTTCGGAATGCCACGACTCACCATTTCGTCCTCCTTGTCGAAGGCACCGAGAGCGTTCAGAATTGAACCACGGTCACTATCGATAGAAGATGACAACTTGGCACATTTGAATTCGTTAGGGCTGCATGGACGAAATTAGCACATTTACATGGTAAGCGAAGTATTAACTAACTCTAATGGACCTAGAAGTTGACCAGGGGAACAACCAGGGTAGAAACGGCTTCCAAATGAGCCCGCACGCCACGATATTGGTGAGCCTAGAAAGTAAGACCTGGCACTAGTACTGTTGTTACCGGTGAATGAACCAGACGCCATGTGGAAATCAGGATGATTAGGAGACTGGAAAGCGATAGGTTGGGATGTAGTGGCCATGGCTACGGACAGTGAGATAGAAGTTGGGATTCGTGTATACTACAGATGTGGGTAGCCTACAGCTGGTGAAGGAGGTATTATAGATGGTGAACTGGTGAAGTAGTGATGTGGTGTAAGGATTGTGCGAGTTGGGCGAGGAAGAGAGGGTACTATCGGGTGACTATCGGACAAGCCTATTTAACTTGAAATCACGTTGTAGTCAAATGCGGATCATCCTTTCTACACGATTACATAACCAATTTCCTTTTTAGTCCGATCAATCAGAATCTCGGCCACCACCAGCCGGACCTCCTTTGTCACCGGCCTCAATTGGCGCCGACCAGCCCTGCCTCGGTCATATGCAACCGTTCCTCGAGCTCAAGTTTGTTTATCCCTTCTCCGCGAACCATACACTTCAACACCGCAGTCACTTCTACTACCACCATTCATCACTACCCAGCAGATTCAGAATCTTGTGCACATGACAAATTACCAATAATCAACCCCGGAACATGGCTTTCAACTACGTGCCACGATATATTATATTTCGATCATGACAATCATTGGTGACTCCCATCAAGACGTTCATGGCTGCCTTTTCGCACTGTTATTACCACTACAAATCGCGTTGACGGTCGAGTGAAGCCTTATTACTACCTGTTACTACTGACTACACGAGGCTTTAAGCGTCTGCATGACTCATAACCTAACCTTGATTATGTAGTTTTCCACCTGCTCGATTCGTTGCCGTCCGGTTCTCTACTTTCATGATCAAGGCTCGACTCCACGCTCGTGTGCACTACCTCATCATGGCTATCCTGAGAATCCATCCTCGAATCGGTACCGAATGGTGGCAGAACGGCACATTCACATTATACATCTCCGCGTCTCCCACTAATCTATTTGCTTCACATCAAAAAGTAGTGTTTGTGGCGATTATTGATAAGCTCTCTTCAAATGCACCCAATAACGGTACTACAATTACTTGCATGACCCCATGCACCAGAGCGCTACAGAGCTACCAATGAGGATGTTCATCAGCTTTTTGCACGGCGATCTGTATATTCGAAGCCTCAGCGGTCCCTTGCTATGCATTATTAGTGGGTCCCTGCTCGCATCCAGTTTTGGATAATTCTGTGAGCTACCCCATTACACAACGCACGGCGCCCTATGACCCTAACCTAAATCCAAAAGCTCTCGAATCATCTTTACAGACAGAGATTACGGGATAGTACATCCGTAACATACTACAGGGCGGTTTCACCTCACCAAAACTTCTATTCGTGACTCACTGAGCCATGACCCTAGCAAACTATCACATTTTACGATGGTAAATATATCCATGCAAGGAACCTGGACACGACTTATGTCTAGTAGCCATCTTGATCTTTACTTCGCTTTACTGACCAAATTGTCCGCTCTTTCGCATAAAGCCTTGGCCCAGATTGAGCACAGTGCTGATGTTCTTGCATGACATAACATCATGTCATTACAGGCAAGGCCCTTCTCTCGTAAGTGTTCCTTCTATCTATCTAAGCTACGCCTATTGTGTGCTGGTCCTTCAAGTTTGTTCCCATTCATGCAAATTCAGTGGATCATCCATAGATCTTGTCATGAACCACTCGTTGTGATCACCCTCCCATATCTCTGGAACCGAAGTCTCGACGGTATTGAACGCACTAGCATAGTGTGGAATTCATGTCCGAACTTCCATCTGCTCCACGGAGCGTTGCTTATTGTCAGTTTACCATCCGCCAAATCTCCATAAACTTTCTCCTTGTCCCCACTTCCATCAGAAAGCAATTTCGGAACCGTATCCGTATTCGAAGTGGTCCGCTCTAATTGAGCAGATAGCCATCGGCCTGGCTCGTTCACTGATCTCAGCTTTTGATTGTTATTATGACCTACTGTCTGGCTGGTCTATTTTTATGTCCAGCCCTGCGGGACATATCGACCGCCCTCCCGAATAATTGCTGTGTCGTCATCGCCATGCACCTTCACTTCAAGATTTGGGAGATCATTACTCTTAGGAGTCGGAAGCAAGTATAACCGCGATAGAAGTGTCCGAGGAGTCGCCGGGCAGGCGATGGGGATGTCTTGCAGCTTGGGAAGGTCTTAATAGGCGGAGCCTAAGTGACAAGCAAAAGACAAGGCACCAATGGGCACGCAGAGGCCTCATGAACTAGGATTTCCCATCGTCGCCGTACCTCGCCAGTCGACTTGCAATCATACTCAGCATCTCGGCCAAGATTGATTTAAAGATAACGAGTCTGATATTCACATACCACATACTGCTAGTAGGTGATGTAACGCTGTGTGGAACGTGCTTCAAGATGGCGAACGCGATTGCAAACACGTTCCAATTCCATGACACCATTTCGACTGCCAAGGGCCTCGTCGCCTGCACAAAATACGGCACCGTACGAGTATGACAGTGCACTCTGATGAGAATCATGAGATCGAGTATGTTCTTACGTCGCCATCAAGGAACGTACGACTAGAATCTGACCCAGTGCTCTGGCTAGATAAACCCACAATCGAGGAAGGTGTCTTCATTTGTAACTTTGGGTAACGATAGGCAAGCCTCGGACTCAAGAACCCCGTCTTCGAGGACAGGTGTCGGATTTGCCCGGTTGATGCGCCACTCCGAACTTCGAAGTGTTGAGTAACTAGAAGTTCTCTCGTTCGGCCATGGTGTCACTGCTTAGCCTCAGACTCCCTCAGTCCTCGGTGACACCCCAGTGACCCCATCATGATACCGCAGCCCCACTGGTGCCGGCAAAGGCCCTTCGCAGCCTTAATGAAATTTCTCCCCAGCGCTCGGTATGGGGCGAGATGGATTCTGGGCATGATGAAGAATTGGCCCCAAACATAGACCTAAGCCGGGGAAGTGAATCATGGGGCAGTGGTAGCCTAGTAGGTGGGTCCAGCCTCGTTAGCGTAAGTCACATGATGCGGTTTCAAGTTCATGTATCAAGCTTGCTTACTAGTGCTCATTACTACTAGCTTGGTTGTCCATTTCAATTACGTGGAACGTGCACCTACTGGCAGCGCGAACTTTGAAATTCCTTTGGTAGTTCAGCTTTCTTGATCCCATTTTGTGATGGTGAAACGTGTCCAGCCTCGTCAATGTGATCTGTCACTACATAGCCTGAGCGTGGATGGCCAAATATAACTTATCATCGCATCTCACCAGCCATAATATCTTCACACCCACTCGTTGTCGTCCTGATCAAGGATCTTGAGCATGGATATAATCTCAAAGTTCGTAGAAACGGGCGTTGCGGCCATCAACTTGAGAAGTACGTCTTCTACCTCTTAGTATGGCATAGTTTCATTCACAGCCGACTTGCTTTCCAGCTCTAGCAGCATTCGTGCCTATTCTAGATGAAAGAAAGGCAGAGATAGAGAAGATAGAACGCAAGACTTTTGTATATGATGACAAGCGCCGCACCAGAAATGAGGTTTGTGACGATCGAACCTCCAGATACCATGCTCCTGACCTCACGCTATGCATTACTTACTCGCAGCTTGACGTCTATTACCCGCTAAACTTGACTCTTACTAAGGGTGGGAAGACACCAATCCTGTTTTTCGTCTATGGAGGTGGATACAACAGTGGATCAAAAGAGTTTCCTGAACCATTTTCTATGGGGTATCGCGCACTTGGATCTTTCTTTGCACAACACGGTTTCATCACCATCATCCCGGACTACAGACTTACTCCGGAGGTCAAATTCCCGGCTTCATCCGAAGACATCCGTGATGCAGTCAATTGGGTTTGCGCCAACGTCGATGTCATTGGCGTACCCTCGATACCCGCTCCTGATGTAGATGCTATATTTATCATGGGCCACTCAGCGGGTGACGTGCACACGAAGATGTTGAGTCTTTACCCACCGGTATCGAGTACCGTACATGCTCGATTCAAAGGCGTCATCTGGTCTGGTGGTAGTTGGTTCATGGTTGACGAGAAGAAAAGATTCAGGATGGAGGTTCCCACAATGCAATACATTGGTTCTCAGGAGCAACAGAAGGAGAGGGAGCCGAGGGCGCTTTGGAATGCTCTATCTGATGAACAGATCAAGGACCATCCTGATATTCTTCTTGTCAGGGCAGAGCGAGAGCCTGACTGGCTATTGCTGTCGTGGGAAGAGATCATACCGGACATCGAGAAGAGGCGTGGAGAGGCGCCCCAGATGATTATTGGCAAAGGCCACAATCACATCAGCCCTAACTGGGCTTTATGTTCCGGTGAAGGAGAAGAATGGGGAGAAGAAGTTGTGAAATGGATGAAAGCTAGAATTAACTAGCCTGCACGTAGTTTGCCTGAATTTCTCTTAGATCTTAGTTATTACAGTCACCGAATTCAAGATGTTCTTTCCATGTCAGTTTCACGTGACTAGCAAGACGCGTCAATTTTGGCATTCACCACTTTCAGTTTCAACGTCAACGTTCATGTCGCACCCCTGGCAGAAGCGCCATGCCTCCCGCTCTCCCGCTCCAAACATTACACCAACTTCCCCTGCGCATCGCTTTCTTCCTCCGTCGCACTATGCAGCTGCAGCGGGCGTACCTTACGATGCAAGCCGGAGCCGTGCTCGCGAATCGCGTCCTCAACCGCATACCTCGAACACTCCGCCGCTACCCTCGCAGTCCTCTCTTGCTTCTGCTTCCGATTCGCACTCTCTCCATGTCGACTACCCTACCAATTACAGGTCTAAGCGTAGAAGTCAAGTAGGAGATCTGGGGCTTATGGAAGCGCACTTGCTACCTTCTCTAAAGGATACGATCGATCGTATGACAAGGCCATCATCACAGCTAGGAATGCCGTCTCCATTACCCAATGAGAACCTGCAGTTGGACCATCGATCTAACATTGGTCAGTATTATTCACACCCCCCGCCCAAGCTTACAAGGACGCCTCAACTTCCCTCTACTTCGTCATGTTCGCGAGATACAAGTCACCAGGTTCCGGTAGCACAGTCAGAAGGTTCTTCACGTCCCTCACGCAGTGCTTTGAGACAGAAACCGAAGCCCATTTTAAAGGCTCAATCCCACGCTCCTACAATGATTCCATGTGATCGACCTTCCGATCGACCTTCTGAGGCACCTCGGTCCGTCAGCTTAGTGCGCAGCGGAAAACTGGACTGGACTTCTCCCATGGAGGGCTTCTCTCCGAGGCCGCCTTTCCCCCACAAACAGAAAAGTCAACCACTTCATCAGCCTTCAATCACGACCAACATCACCCCTGGCAGAAGAACGGAAAGAACTCGTGCTCGCACAGACCCTGGTGCACCGCATAATTCGGCACCTTCAATTGGTTCATTGGCTACTCCCCAACCAAAAAAATATCGATCAAATATTCCTCGACGTGTTGCACCACCACTGCTACGACACGCTCCACGAGAGAGCTCCCAAGATAGCCTGACTGACGCGGAACCACGAGCTAGCTCAAGCCTCCGAGGTCAGAAACTGGCCGCTGACAATATTTTTGTCTTCCCATCTTCCAGTTCAGAGAGCGACGAGACCCCTGTCATGTTCTCAAAGCAGCCTTCGTTTGCACAAGGGCGCCTCTTGGCTTCTAAGGCACCTGAAAAGAAAAAAGAGCGTTTCGGTCTCGGGTTTGGATTCGCGGACTATGGGGCAAAACTTCGAGGCATGTTTGCCGACAATTCGGCTCATTCGATACATTCAACCACCAGTGAAGGCGAGAGCGCCGGCAATGACGATGGCAGCATTCAGGATAACGAGAGTCTCTTTTCTGACCGTGCGGATCAAGGCGGAGAGCGAGGCGACTCCACAATTTCCGATCGATATTCCCTGAGCAGTGCTGGATCAAGTTACCCAGCTTCGGAAACGATGGCTGATGGTGATGAATCCTCTGATCGACGAAAAAGAGAACTCCTTGGACTAGTCGATGGGTTGAACCCTAGTTCTCAAGATCACCCAGCTCGAAGCGAAGAGAGCGAGTATTTTGGCGAAGAAGGGCTCGCTATCGGTGGCTCTAGCGATTCGATCCATATCCCGAACCCATCTTCGTCGGATAAATCGTTCAAGAAGGAGAACGATTCTGGCTCAGAGTATTCTTTTGACGACGAAAATGACGAAGGCCTCCGATCGTCTACCCCTAGAGATGGACATTCTCATTCCAAGACAGACAGGGCCTCCAAAGACAACAAAGCAAGCAACCGGTGGCGTTTTGATGAACGAAATAGTAGGTGATTCTACGTAGCAACGAGCTCTGAGGTTAACAGAAGTGACTGTATCAGCGAGGAAGTCGAGGTTATCAGTTGAACGGCCGTCTTCAGGGCACCCTCTACTCTCCCCCCGTCGTTCCGTTCATTCGACCTACTTGAACTCACAGATATCGCATCCATCAGCGGAGATTATGCCTAACATTGACATCGGTGGTCAACGATACTCCTCAGAGCTCACGCGCATGATGGTCACATCAGACGAGGCTGCAGTGCGCGAACGCCAGGCGTTTGGACTTTCTACGTCATTTTCTGGCTCCGCTTCTGATGAACCCTGCCTCACGCATGCCGACAGTGACATGTCGTCAATCGCCGGAAACACGTGGCAATTCGAGTGTGAAGATGATGGCGTACATACTAATTCACTCCTCAATAGACTGGCAACACAGGAGTTCGAATCCTCCATGGAGGCTCAACCCACACAAATTGACTTATCCTATACATCATCTGAATCATCTGTTTCTGCCGCATCGATGTCATCAGTAGCCCACGAATTCTTGCATTCGGATCGGACAAATGCACATCGGGATCATCGACGTTCTTCTTCAGATATTTACGCGTCTTGGGAAGACTTTCGTCTGCATATTCTGGAACAATTCGGTGAGGTAGAGGTACGACGACAAGAGATTGTCTGGAAACTGGCGGAGTCAGAGGAAACTTTCGTAATCAACTTGCAGAACATGGTACAGCTCTTCATCCTTCCTCTACGCGTCCGAAGTACGAAAGTCTGGGTTTCTGGCGTTCCAGACGACGTCTCGAGGCTGTTTGACTGGCTAGAAGACATCGTACATCTCCACACGAAATTATCCGCCAGCCTCATCGGTCTTCGGGATGTGCACAACTCCGACCTGCAGTGCGTCGGGGAAATTCTTCGATCTTTTATGGCAAAGCTTGAAATATATCAGCCTTACCTGGTAAAGCTAGAGTTTGTTGCAACCAGAATCGAACATCTTGTCGCTCAGGAGAAAAGTGACATCGGAGATTTTATCAAGCTACAAGAGCGCTCCTCCGCATGCCAGGGATGGTCATTGGAGAAATATTTGGTTGAACCTGTTCAGAGGCTTTCCCAATACCCTGATTTTTTTCATGTGAGTCGGTGTGTCTGTCTACTTCTCATGACTGAAATTAGATCTTCTAGCGGCTCTGGCACGCAACCCCGAAGTCCCATCCCGACTATCTATCAACACTATCTGTTCTTCACTCTGCTAAACTCACGATCCGTGTTCTCAGCGAAGTCAAAGATCGGGAGGACGAGTACGAGTTTGTCAAAGATATGTTCTCACGTATAGCGCACGTTCCTTCCCAACTTCCTTGCCGTGATAGGCGTCTGCTGATGCACGGTCCTGTCGCATGTGCCAGAGTGGAAAACGACGATGATCTACCGGTCATGCGCCCTTCCACCAACGTGCACGGTTTTCCGGAGCCACTGAAAAGCCCATCTCCTGATTCGCGTCCACGAAATAACGAAAGACTCTCGAATGCGCTGAAAGGTTGGCGTGGGCGCAGTGGGTCAGTACAATCTACAGCCTCGACGACAGCGTCGCTACAATCCTTTCGTACTGCTCCATCATCATTCGACTTCCGATCTGAGCCACAAGCGGGGCCCAGAACTAGCCCTTTGCTTCGCGTCGAGTCTCCGGCTGTTGATGTTCAGTTATTCGTTTTTACAGATTTAATCATGATGACCTTCGCCGCCAATCGCCACGATGATTCCCAGCGCACTTCTGCAAATTTGCGCATACTCGAGGACTTCGGTCTCTCCAGAATTCTTTCTGTGACGGACGAGACAGGTAAGGACCTCGAAAGACAGTCACTTACAGAGCTAGCACTTATATGATCTAACCAGATAGAAGATCATCCATCTCACTAGATTTAGTTCCACTGACTGCTGAGGAGCTCGAGAGAGGACACGCAAATTCAAAAGGTCGTGTCTTGACCGTGTCGTTGTCACACGGCACTTCTCGATCTTCTGTATCGGAGGCATCTATGCAGTGCGCCGTTCTGAAGGAATGGTTGGTACCACTGAGACAATGTTGTCAGCACACTTTGAGGTCGTTGTCTTCGCCATCCGCGAAGAGCCACCTGGCTCATGCGTCGAAAGAATCTGAGATCAGTCAATCAGTCTTATCCATCCTCGCATCAGGGTTGCCATTTCCTAAAAGTCCTTCCATGCAGTTACATGGTGTCGAACTAGGACAAGCAGGGGATGCGGAGCGACAGGAAAGGGAAGAACGTGGGTGGTGGTCGCTGCGGTTTCACGAGGTCCTGCGAGAAATACAAGGACGAGAAGTGGCACTTCGATAACAATGTTGGTCATGATGTGTTCGTATATTTGCTTTGCATATCTGCGGGTCGTAAGATATGTATGTTTTACTTCCAGTATATATATCCCCATTTTTATCTTGTTGCTAAGGCAGCAAGAAGGATGTCGGTGTCGACTTTTGCAGCTGAGATAGGAAACAGGGTAAGCTCATGCTCAGGACTAAAGCCGCTACTTACCTTTGAGTACAAGTTGCACAAAAATCTGTGCAAGATGAGGACATTCTGTCTCCAATCGACGCATGTTTTCGAGAGACAGCTTCCACAATACAGCCTGCTGCTCTACGACCACTCGTGCATTCCGTGGCATGCCCGACAAAGCAGAAAGCTCGCCTGCTAGAGTACCCGACACCATCGACTCTTCGATGACGGGGCTATGCTCTGCAAACTTGTATGATGCCCGCAGGATGCCTGACTCGATGATATACAGGCCATCGGGGGTATCATTATTCTCCCATAGGACAAAACCGTCTGGGAATGTGAATCGCTCAAAGTACGGGGCGATCTGTTTGAACGTCTTCTGGTCTACGTCGTGATACGACGAGAACGCGTTGAGAAGGGTGTTGTATGGCTCAGAGGAATTCTCTGCATCCTTGTCGAGAAATTCTGCTGGACGATGAGAATCGGTTCTGTTAGGTAAGATGATAAACTGACCACCAGCGATCGTGCGCTCTCCAACGTCACGAAGTTGCATTTGCCTCGGAGATCCCGCCAAAGTATCGTCGAAGGAAAGGCTGGTATCTCTGCGGCCAGGAAGCGTTATTGGAGTTGTCCATGACTTCTGGGCTCTAAACCATGCTCGCAGATATGCATTTTCAGTCCCTGCAAACAACATTGACAATCAAGTTCGTGACATAAAGAGATAAAACTTACATTCCATCGCATCATTCAAGGTCTCAAAGACCTCGACAGATGGTTCTTGGAGGATTCCCACACAGCTCAGCGCTTTGCCACAGAGGCTGTCGGTAGTAACACCGCAAAACACCAAAACCACGCCCTTTGCAGCGAGCAAGCGCTGCACACGCACGAAAGCTTCTGCGGCAGACATGTCCACCCCTACCACAAGGGACAAGTCGACGACGACGAAGCGGACGGGATTTTGTTGCCAGGTAGCGTCTTCGACGATGTTTCTCAAAGTCTCTTCAACATGGGCGATAGTGCCAAAGAAAAGGAATCCTGGATGCTGACAATTAAATGATGCTACAACGCAAGAAAGGTTTCACCCGCCTTGGAGACGAAGCACCCTTGTCTGCTTCGACACTTCTCGAATGTACGCCCTGTGTGCAGCAGGCCGCCTGACTGTGGAGATTGCTGACTCTCCAGCATAACATGCACGTATGCTCCTTCTCTGCGAGTTCTGTATCACGAAGAAGAAACCTATCCAAAACTATGAACACAGTCTACTCTGAAAACATGACATACTCACAGCTGACGACGATGCCAAACAGGACACCAATGACAAAGTCCCATGCCGTCATCGTAACCATGATGCTGACTATCGTGATGTACTCCATCCTAATGCATGTTTATGAGCTGCATATCACACTGGTGTGCAAAAACTGACCTGCTAACTCGGTGTCGTGTATCCCACAATGCCTCCTTGACGAGGTCGATGCCGAGCACAAAGATTAGGGCACTGACAACCATGATGGCTATTTGAACTGTTAGAAAAGTGAGGGTATGGAAATTATGCCACATACGAATATACGCGATGGGGCCTGTCCCTATTATTAGTAGGATAAACGTAGCGACTGCAAGCAGGAAGCCGGCAATACGCGTCCCGCCGCCCACGCGGTAAAACCTGATAAATCAGTATGTGAGCTATCTTATTCCACAGCGAATGGCAGTTCGCCTCACAATAAGGTGTTCACGTAGACAAGATAGTTTGGTCTGCAATGTATGAGAAATCACTGGCGAGCGTTAGAGGAACACGCTTACACTGTGCCTAGAAACCCGGCAAGTAAATTTGAATACCCATGTCCCAAAAGCTCTTTGTTAGTGTCGACGTCTTCATCAAGGGACACCGCTGTAGATATGTTAATGTGCTATTCGCCAAACATCCAGATTTTGATAGAACGTACATAGCGCAGGAACATTCAAAGGTGGGTGCAAGATATTGAAAAACAACCTGGACGAAACATTAGCGAGGCCAACAACATGGATGATGGAATACGTGCAGTGCAAATTGTATCGGCAGTGTTGTCCATAGGGGTGTAAATCGGATCAATCCAAGATCTGCTCACGTCAAAATGGAATGAGCCCTGAGTTCATCTGATCGATGGAAATTTTCCTACCGAGATACGAATAAAATCCATACCACCTGTCCTCCCCACCACCAGTTCCCTCGGCCATATCGAAAAGCCAGCCATCCCTCCTCAATGCACCAAGATCAAGCCGTGCGGCCGCAACGACCACATAAAATACAATTGGTATAATCATGAAATCTGGAACGTTCATGCTTGAAGTGAGCAAATAATGCCAAGGTCAGTAATCTGGGACGTACAGATAGGGAACACAAGTTGATGTTTCCATCGCATTGTGATGAGCCTCAGAAGCACTGCCAGGACAAGGGGAGGAACCCATTGCGAAAGGGCGTGTGTATTGAAAATGAAGTACCGGAGGGTCTCCAGCGTCGGCGGATCGAGTGCATCGGACGGGAGACGCGTACTTACTGTGAGGCTGTTTCACGTTGAAATTTGTTCGATATGGTTCACCACGATGACTGAATTAGAACATACCCTGTAAGTATTAGGAAGATGCCAACCCCTCCAATACATCTGTGCGTGACGTCAGCGCCAGTCCCGCCAAGTCAGCAAAAGGAACTTACCCAACAAGAATATGCCGCGGGAAGAACCCGATGAGCCCACCCAAACGCAGATAGCCTAGGAGAAAAAAGGCCAGCCCTACGCAAGTCACATGGGTGAGTGAACACGCGACAATTAAACCTAGATGCGACCTACCGGTGAGTACGGACGAAAGCGTAAACGCCGCAATCGTTGTGGCAATGATCTCTTTCGGATACTCGTCTCCGATATCACGTGCTATAGTGGACGCAAGGATGTGAAAGAAGGGCTACCATCAAAAAGGAAATTAGAGAAAGTTCGAGGTGTGCAAATCCGGGGTAACGGAAGCGATCAAAGAAGCAAACAAACAAACAAACAAGCAGGCACAAGCAAGGTCGACACGTGCTCGTGTAAGGGAAATAGACGGAAACCAATTAAAACGTAAATGAAGCACACGTACAACAACCTCAATCATCATACTGCCATTGGCACCCGCAAAGCTGCTCCCTCCAAAGCAATACACGAGTTGTGCTACCACTGTGCTGTTTGTTGTAGAATATAAAAATTCTGATCAGAAGCAATGATTTTGAACGATAAAGACGACGTACGATACAAAAAACATCGACACTCCCATCCCACCTAATCCAGCAAAGACACCAAATGCAGGGAAAATGATCATTCCATCTGCAGCGACATTGTTAGCAGCTGATCCATAATGATCGGAGATGAGGGGGAACAGGAAGATGTCGGGCGGCATACAAATATAGTTCATATTATGTATTAGTAGGTTAGGCAATAGCCGCCAAGGGTTTTGAAGGTACCATCAGATCGCAAGAAATAGCGCGCCAAAGGTGACAATTCATCAGAACGGCTTACATGAAACTCCATCAAGGATATTGAGCAACGTGCCCAAGAGCACAGCAGGCAAGCTTTTCAACACGGTGCGCACTAGTTCTTGGGGGTCAATCTTATGTGTCTCGCCTATAAACCCATGCACGAAGCTTGAGAAACGTTTTGAGGACATCGAGCGCTTCCAGGGCGCTGAGGCATGACCATTAATGGCAGGCACAGGACCATGTGGGGGAGGAAGCAACGGAGTATTTTCTGTGGCCGAAGAAGAAACAAAACGTAAAACTTCTGGGCGAACGTTGCTAGTTGCCAGAAGGGTGCGATCCACAGAATTATGGTTAACTGTGGAAACAGCCTGCTCTGGGTCTGCTAATGAATTGAAGTACTGCCGCCTGTCAGTTTTATGCAATACTGTTGGACTTGGCGAGCTCGAGGGTGCTCCGTCAGCATGTCTGGAGAGCAAAACTGAGAGTGCTGAAGCCTGAGGTACAATAGTGGGATGAGACACGTCTCTCCCGCGAGGAGTTGCCATGCCAGGCGACAGATCACGATGGGTAGTTTTGGAGGAGTCGAAAGTGGAAGTGGAGGCTGAGAGATCAGAGTCCTGGGCTGAGAAGTGTGAGCTCCTTCTTGTATATTGTGAGGAGGGTGCAAAAGATGCGGATAACGGAATATTTGGGAGGGACCCTGGTCCAACGTGCGTGACCAGATTATGACCAGACGGAAATATGAATGAATCGCGTGAAGGCATGTTCCTTCGCGTAAGCTCAGATGGGAAAGGTAGCTGTTCGGCTTCCTTTCGACCGTGGGTCGAGGGAGAAGACGAATGTGCGATGTGCCCTGCGGTCGAAGACAGGTTCTGCATCATGGGGGAGGGTGAGCCCCTGGAAGCAGAGAACAGCATATTGGAAAGCTTGACGGTGCTTGCGCGGATGTCGTCTTGTGAGTGGGGAGTGACCGACATAAAGGAAACGTAGCTCCTGGGTTGAAGTAGTCTGCAATTGAATTTGACAAGTTAGGAGATTGAATGTAAAGAAGCATGATGGACAGGTGACCGTGTTTCAACCACATTATAACGTATTATGTTGTTATTGAAACTTACCCAGCTCTGTGCAAAGGGGAATCATCTTGCGGTGGTGACACTGTGCGTATAATTTCGTGCTTGGTTGCGTCATTCGCATGCTCGGGTTCTAAGTTATCCCCAAGGCTTCGCGAAGAAGTTGATCTGTCGCTACCGGCATTCGCAGACATAAAAGACACAAGTAAACGGATGTCGGGGATCAGATAATGAATTCGAGTCTCAGGTCTGTCAGTGTCGTGAGTAACCCAACTAGTCGTCCTGGATGAAACGGTTAAGCGAGTATCCGACTAGATTATGCAATGTTTTGTGAATATTTTATAATTTCGATGGTGTCTGAATCCAGATTTACATAATTAAGACCATCACCTTGGCCAGTCACCGACAACCAAAACCGGAATATTCCGTTATTGATATGTACCTTATAGGGGTACCTGCGCAATGACATCCTCATGACTCTGAAAATTATGTATAAAGAGGGCACCTGACAGGTCGGTTGTGCGGCTCATCACTGCTACGGTACAATTGTACTACTATACACAGATGCCGGTGACCTTTAAGGTTGCAACGTTGTACAACGGGCAGTGCCGTTACTTCCCAAGTCGAGATTTACGGGTACCTTCTTCCATTACAAGTGATCCCAGTCAGGTGTCACGCCACTGATCATCAATCATTTCTCTTTTAATGGGGAGATCATACGGTAAGTCCATGCATGTACAGAGATGAATAGTATTAGTCTCACCGGGTGACCTGCCCTCGTGCAGCAGCGAAAAGAAGACACCTAACAGAAGCTGCAAGATCCGAGTAAGTACTCTGAACTTTGAATCAAACTCAAAGTGAAACTCCAACTGACCGTCACGTTGATCATGACAGCCCCAGGATTGTCACCTGGTCACACAGGGTATCTCCATATGTTTGAAATTGCTGCTGCACTGCTTCGGCTAACAGGAAAACTCCATCTCGGAACTTCAGCCCGTTGGGCCGGTCTGTCCTAATTTGGCTATCCGGAAGCCTTCGATCAATAGCAGATTTCAGCTTGATCATGGACAGAGAGGTTCTAAGAAAAAAACGGACAGGATCTAGAACAGACTCCAGGACGTACAACGGCATTAGCCGAACTTCCAGGTTCCTTCCTTGCATCGAGAGGCAGCCACGCCCGTTACCATTTCCTTATTCAACAAGTCATGTCACTTCCTGGTACCACCCCACCGGACACGGCGCTGCATTGGCAAACAACATTGACTAGGCCTAGCGTGGAGTTTGATGTCGAGGATGAAAGTTCACGCGAGGAAGTGGATCAGGTCAGCTGCTGAGGAAACTCAAATCACGAATTTGGCTCAAGCTCGTGGTTTTTTAGGATGTGGCTCCAACCGAGGCGGACATAATGACCGTCACAGCAGAACTCGTGTTCAACGAGATGCCAAGTCATCTCATATACATTTCTGACGACTATGAAACTACCCTTATCGATCGTGAGACTCTGGTGGATCTGTTCCGTCCGGAACTGATCAGCGTCTGCAAGGACCTTGTCTCCAAAGACGAACTTCCTGACGTGGTCAGACAGAAATTGAGATATGCAGCCCTTTCTCACAGATGGCTCAGTGTCGGGGAACCAACATTTCAGGAGATGTCCGTCGAAAGGAACCATCAGTCTACAAGGCCTGGGTTGATCAAGCTCCGCAACTTTTGCCAAAAAGCAAGGGAATACGGCTGTCGCCTCGCTTGGTCCGACACTTGCTGTATCGACAAGAAAAGCAGTGCGGAACTAGATGAGGCCATCAGAGCCATGTTCAAGTGGTACCGCAATGCGGAGATATGTATAGTTTTTCTTGCAGACTCTTCTTCTATCTCGGACTTTTCGGAGGAAGTATGGTTCCAACGCGGTTGGACACTCCAAGAGCTTCTTGCCCCTCCACGTATCAAGTTCTATGGCAGGCATTGGGACGAACTCAGCCATTCGCGCAATGACAAGGAAGACCATTCCATGCTAGAAGCTCTTGCTCGTGTGACGGGGATATCTCGCCAGAATTTGCTATATTTCAGTCCGGGGTTGGTCTATGTTCGCGAGAAGATGATTTGGGCGTCCAAGCGGAGAACGACAAGGGTGGAAGACATCGCTTATTCCTTGATCGGAATTCTGAATATCAGCCTGAATGTGGCGTACGGAGAAGGAGAGCGGGCATTTCGCCGCCTGATGGAGGCGATCATCCAGGCCTGTCGCGAATGGCAGATACTGGCGTGGGCTGGTCCCCATTCCCCATTCCAAGCCAGCATCCCCCGTTCTCCTCTGGCGTACTGTGCTTTCGCCGGAGCATCCACCAGTATACTTTTACCCAATCGCTATATAACAGATCGTCCCTCCAAGCTTGGTGACCCTTTTTTTACGATGACGAAGAGAGGCCTGGAGCTGGAAGTTATTCTGGTAGAGATGATGCTGCAGCAACCGGCACCACGACGGCCAGGAGGAACACAGAAGAAAACTCAAACTATCCGCCTCATCTCCGATTCTGCGGACTTTTTTGACGTCACAGCCCAGTGCGACATTACCTTCCTACCATTTTCGCAGTGGGCGGTCGCTATCGTGAATTACCGAGCTGATGATTCTGGAAAGCGTGGTGGTGTTGGAAAACTTAAACCCGCGAATGACTACTTGTGCTTCATACTTGGATCTAGTATTCATAGTGCGCATGGAGGGTGGCAAAAGGTTGAAACGCAAAAAATTGTGACAATTCGCACCAAGAGGGAGGTGTACCAACGAGTTGCGACAGTGTGGCTTTAGCATTCTATCTGCTCGCTCGCGTTGTAACATATCTCTATCTGTACAGGACAAAGGTGTCTTACCTGAGTTCTCATAATCAGTACATATACCGTCGCTGATACTGAAAGCTAAGCTTTCAGTATTTCACCTTTTGGTGTAACGGCTATGCGTGGCGGCGGTCTGACCATGTTACAAAAGGTAGCATAAATCACGCGTCTGCTCTGCGGATGGTGGCTGAAGCTAAGCGCTGATGCCTCTTTTTTCACACACGCAGCTGCTTTACGCCGTATGAACGCATTTAGACCAAAGTTGCATCATACCTTGTCATGCATGAAATAAGCCCAGCGGTCTGACTATATATATAGTTGACTCCTTCGTTACCATGTAACTTCTTCCACCTGCCCGCATCCATTTGAAAAGCTTGTTAAGCCGTCGACAGCATACAATCTTGATACATCCGTTGGTCTTGATAAGCTACGTAAATGGCTATCGAGGAGGTCTGCCGCATATTCCAAGAGTACCTGCGGGAAAGCATCCCGCATCGGTTAATCGCGATATCAAAGATGGAGGTCGTAGAGCAGCAATGGGTGGAGGAGTTATATATGCCGTCTATCAGGGCCGTGACGGAGAAAGATATAGAGCAACACACGTTCTACCTGAATCAGAGAAGGGATGAAGTGATCAGAAACATTGTGAAAGGCATTGTCAGATATGCCATTCTATCTCACAGATGGTGCCGCGAAGGAGAGGTGACGCTCCAGGAGATGACATCGGGTAGTACAAAGCTCGGGAAACCCTCGAGTTGTCACAAATTGGCAAACTTCTGTCAGAAGGCAGCGGAGTACGGATGTGGTTTTGCCTGGGCAGACACATGCTGTATCGATAGGTCCAATCCCTCTCCAGAAGAGCTCAATAAAGCCATGCCTCGGATGTTCAGGTGGTACCGCAATGCGCATGTCTGCATTGTATACCTTGCGGAGTCACTCACATTGGACGACTTCCTGTGCGACTCTTGGTTTTTACAAAGCTGGACTTTGCAAGAACTCCTCGCCCCAGTCAGAGTCAAATTTTATGGGCGAACGTGGAGACCGATCAATACACGAGCCGACAACGATAAAGCTGACCGGAAGTTGCTGGCTGCGCTTTCCACTGGCACCGGAATTCCGGTGCAAGACATCCAGTGTTATTGGGCGGGGACGGAGAGAGTGCGTGAGAAGCTGATGTGGGCATCTCGCCGGACTTCACGACTAGCAGAGGATGGTGCTTACTCACTGTTGGCACTTTTCGACGTGCATATGAACGTGGAATACGGAATAGGAGACGAAGCATTTGGTAGATTGATGGAAATGCTTCTGCAAAGAAGCCAGGAGTGCGATATGCTTGCCTGGGCTGGAATAGCATCCACCAAATACGTGTTCTTGCCACCATCGGCACAGGGGTATAGCGTTCATTATTTGGACGAATCCTATAATCCCAGTCACGACCACTACGGATTGCGAGGAGACCAGGATATGAGTGTCGTCGATGGGCGGTTGAGAGTAAAGCTCCTGATGGTTGAGTTACATGAGGCAACATTCGGGAACGAAATACCTTTCTTGCAGAGTGGCTACCATGCATGTGCACTCTTGCCAAAGGGGCTGCCCTCCAATGTGACGATAAATCATGTGTCCATTGTTTCCAGCAACAATATGCCTTGGCGTCCATCCAAATTGGCCCTCGGAGTTGTCGATTACAGATGGACAAGTGATGATGAGAAGGGACTCGTGGAAAAAGGCCGCACCCATTTCTGCCTCCTCTTTGGAGCGGATGATACACAGACAAGTTGGCAGAAGCTAATGACGGACAAAGTGGTCACCATAAAGACTGAAGACAGCATTAGACAACGTCTAGAAACTATATTGATGTAATTTAACGACTTACCATTGGTATCATGATTTTGAATTTAATCAGTCCCAGTCTAAGAATGTCTAACATTGACTATTGAGATTTCGTGATAGTTCAGTTCCGTCGTGACTGTGACAACATAAGAGTTGTGATTTAGTCACGCCTAGTTCTGAATGTAAATGTACGGTGCTGGTGAGGCTCAAACGTTCGACAACCATGTCCAACACCATCGCACTGCATGTGTTTTTCTTTGCACGATATACCAGCCACATCTAACGAAAACTTAACACAGGTACCCGCTATCGAACTTTACCTTTAGGTGAGTTGTGATGTGAGTTTGCGGCGATCAATTCTAAGTTGCGAATACCAGCACAAAAGAGGCACAGCCTGAAGAGGACCCTTCCGTATCTGCACGTCTCCAGCGTCTCCAGAACAACTATGAAGACTTCGGTATGCGCCGCACCGTCGAAGGAATCCTTGTTGTGCATGACCACGGACATCCGCACATCCTAATGCTCCAAATTGCGAACGCGTTCTTCAAGCTGTACGTTTCTATATTCGATCGCACTTTCATTCTAATTGGTTGATCGTGTATTTAGCCCCGGCGACTACCTCAAACCGGGCGAGGACGATATTGACGGACTCAAACGACGCCTCGACGAGCGCCTCGCGCCGCCAGTCGAGTCCAAGCAATTCAACGCGTCACATGGCGTTGACAACGAGTGGGAGATCGGTGATTGTCTTGCGCAATGGTGGCGGCCCAATTTTGAGACGTTTATGGTGCGTTCGTCTTCCTTGTAGCGAATGAGCGATGCTGACACATGCTCGTAGTATCCATTTGTGCCAGCACACATCACGAAGCCAAAGGAGTGCAAGAAACTTTATCTAGTTCAGATGCCTGAGCGGAGTACGTCAGACGGTCCTGCCATACTTTTCATTCAACTTGTATCTTCACTAGAGGTCCTTGCCGTGCCGAAAAACATGAAGCTCCTTGCCATCCCCCTGTTTGAGCTGTATGATAATGCTGCACGGTTCGTCTTGATAGCCTTAATAAGCTTGAGGATGCATGTTTCATATTGGTAACGTCGTATAACTTTAGATATGGTCCCCAGCTCTCCGCGATCCCGCACCTACTGTCAAGGTAACCGCCCATCCAAGCTGCACTAGACGAATTCCATGCTTATGAATACTGCCTGCAGATACAACTTCATTTATCAGTAAACTTCGAATGAAAAAGTTGGTCTGGTTACTACCGCAGCACCATATATCACGAGAGATGCATTATGTTCCTTCCAACGGAGCTAATTTTTGCAGGCCACAAACCTGGTGTAGGTACATAGTTCACAGATGAATCATTTATTCCTCTATTACTGTTGTAGCTCTCGAAACTTTTGTTGCCCATGTTTTTGTAGTGTAATGTGATAGACTGATTTCGTAGTAGTCGACATATTTGAATCTCTCGATGAAAGGCGCCGAGGAGTTAGCCGAGAGGTCTTTCTTTGAGTGGAGGCATGATGCAAACGAGGCTTGTTGCCTCCCAGTAGCCGCCGTCCACACATAATTCATCGCCGCTCAAGACATTTGTATTACTCTACTAACTACCTGCTGACCCGTTCCTTTCAACGACCCAATCACATACCATGCCTCCAACGGATCTTATGAAGAAATCACCTACTGCTACTACCACTAACTCGCCCGTAAATGTCAAGCTTCTACTAATCGGGAACGCTTCAGTAGGGAAAAGTAGTTTGCTTCTACGCTTCTCGGACGAGCAATGGCTCCCTGAGGACGAAGCGAGTGCAACGATAGGCGTTGATTTCCGTGTTCGTTTGTCATTCCGTGCTTTGGCCAATTGGAGAATGAAGTCGTGTCCTGACCCTAGTTGGTATAGGTGCACAAGATGGAGGTCAACGGACGGAAAGTGAAACTCAGTATATGGGTGCGTTAGTTCTTTCTTTCCCTTGCATCTGCATGATAATGATGTCTGTTCTGCAGGATACAGCTGGCCAAGAACGATTCCGTACGATCACATCCTCATACTACCGTGGTGCTCAAGGGATCGTACTTGGTGTGTTCTCGCTCGCTTTTATGAGATGAAGTTTCGGAGGCCTGATAATGCTGTGGTACAGTGTATGATGTAGCAAACCGCGAGACGTTCGAAGCGCTTCCGAAATGGTTTTCAGAAATCGACACCTATGTCTCAATCACAGTGCCGAAGATCATTGTTGGAAACAAGGTCGATAAGGTACTTGCTTTTTCCCTGATCATATCTTTACGTACTCTTGTTATTCTCTGGACCTCAGTCCTTTTCATCGACCTGCTTGCACTGCAATTGCATCGTTATCATGGAATCTCGCCTACCTGTTTTTCGTCACCCACACTGCCCATCTCGTTACTTATTTCCTGCCAACCGCTGACACCATTCCAGGAAAACTCTCGACAAGTGTCCACGGACGAAGGTTCCACTTTTGCCTCTCGTCAGAATGCCCTCTTCGTTGAGGCCTCTGCAAAGACGGCTATAGGGGTACGCGAGGTATTCGAGGAGCTAGTGGCACGGATTCTTGAGACCCCAGAACTATGGGCACCTGTTGCACCGGAAGCTGGTGTAAGTTTTGGGAAGCGGGGTGAGGAGGACGGGATGCCGGGAACGATCAATATAGGGCGTGACACGACTGCACAGGACGACGGGAGCTGCGGATGCTAGATTCTGTGTTTAAGCGGCTGTCACTATGATGCCGCTTTGCATGCGACGGATAGAACCCACGGGGGTCGGTGCGCCCGCTAGTGATATTATCGAGTTTTGTGTACGATGCTGATTGCTGTTTGTGCGGATAGATCTGCCTCGGACACGACTGATATACCTTGATGTGCCTACGTACTGCACTCAATTCATGTACTATAGACACGCGGGCCATCTGGAGGAATCAATCCTTGTTACATTTACCATCGCCTTATAGGGGTAATAAGCAGACTAGTGGAATCTCAAGGTGCGGAATGCTGTGGGTTGGGTGAGCACGAGGCATTCATATAACTACAGCCACCTATTTGTTTCTAAAGAATACGGCTGTGATCAGAGTCGACACCAGGAAGCAGACTCATTGTCCACGCGAGTATGCATGCGGCAATCACCAGATCACACATCAGTACACACGATGGGTGCGCAGTATAAGCCATGGGTTGACCATATGTTAATGAAGATTTGGATGAGTGCATCAATGATATGACGGTTCTCTGAAAGCGAAGTAGCCGCTGATACGCATATAGCCATCTAACCTTTGGGATCTGACCTCAAAAACCGGCATCGATCATCGACAAAATATTACATAATACAATGAACTCAACCGTTAAACTAGTTAAACTACTCTGCACGGGAGACAAAGTGAGTTTCGCTGCAGATGTCAGTTAGGTCTAGACTCGTCGGGAAAGGGTCCAGGTTGAGTAAGAGCGGACAGTAGCCGAAGAACAGCCTCGTGGTACTTCGCCACACTGCGGCGGCGTGGTCACAGTATTGATTCCTCCAGAGCCTCAGATGCATGTATTAATACCAACGTTGTCTCATCATCCAAAAGGGCAGACCACAGCCCTTCGTCTTCACCAAATACCTTCCACTGGATTTCGGTTCTTTGCACAATCATAGAACCGCCAGTGATTACGCCAGCAAAGGTCACATTTCCATTAGTTGGGGTCTGCATGATATTGATGCCTTTCCAGAGTCATATGTCGAAGAACGTCATCATCATTGGTCAATCTGGGGTGGGGAAAAGCTCCCTCATTAACATGATTTGTCACAGGGCCAATGCTCCTACTTCGAACGACACAACCGGTTGCACAAGGGAAGAGAAAGGGTACACATGTAATCTTGGGGGACAATTATCATGTCAAGTACACGACACAATTGGTCTCGAAGAAGGGTTTTGGGGCTTCCTTTTCGCCCCGAAAGCAGAAAAGCGGCTCAAAACGTACTTGAAGGATTCGAGAAAACCGTGGCACCTTATGGTGTACTGCATACCGGGAAATCGAGGCCTGAAGAAATCGCATGCGCGTAACTTTAAGAAGTTCAAGTCGGTGGCGGACAAACTAGGTGTGCCGGTCGTAGTGGTCGTTACCCATTTGGAGGATTTCGGAGGTTCTTTGAAGAATTGGTGGTTGGAGAATCTGGATACTCTCAAAAACCTCGGTATTCCGGACACTACTAAACATGCATGCGTCACTGCACTACCCAAGGAAGAACTGGATAAATATTACAAGAAAGGACAACTCTACGATGATTCCTGTCGAGATGTCAAAAATCTTATCAGAAGCATTCTTTGGCCCAGCACTGGTCACCGGTAGTGGGGCACCTAGTACTAATGATGGCGCAGTCCGCCAGTACCTTGCGATTTTCACAGACATGCCACTTACTCTAGAGCATCACTCTGAAGTCATAAATAGTATCCGAACTTCCTCGCTTGTCAACCTAGCATGCTATTCCTTACTGGTACATGTATACTACCCATTGTTAATCACGCCTAGCTACCTCCATCGAAGTTCTACATAGGTGCTATATTAATCTATCGCTAAAGGACTCGATTACGTAGTCCAAGTCCATCATCATCACTGGTTGTCTTCGGCCGCAATCATGCTCACCTAAAACCTTCATGTCTTTCCTCATCATTACCGCTGCAGATGTGTCCAGAATTGTATCATCAATCCACCACTCTAGGCTTGAAAATCTGATGGCTTTCGTATTTCATACCTTATCCTCAGGTTCTGGCTTCGATGCCCCGTTGCGTGAATCAATCACTATGGCGCAACACAATGCACTTTTCATGCCCGCACGAGTGCAGGGATTAGGGACCAGCATCAAGGTGGTCTCAATTCCGCGTCATCTTGTCGATCAAGGCGGGCTTCCTGCGTCCAGCCTGGTTTTGGACGAAACCACGGGCGGCATACGTGCAATCGTGAACGCGAGGCAACTAACAGCTCTTCGCACAGCTGCTGGTGCGCTTTCAATCCATTTCGATGAACAACCATAGAAATCAATTATACACATGAGCAGGTTCTCTGCTTGCTACGCGTCTTCTCTTGTCTGTTCGAGACCCAACCACGTTCCTCGCTTTCGGAGCTGGCAAGCAAATTGAGGCGCACGTGGATCTCCACCTTCGTGCCTATTCGACTATCAAAACTTGCACGATAGTCAACAAGTCAGACAATCAAAGGCTGACCGACCTTATCATCCGCCTAAAGTCAGCTCATCCAACAGTCACATTTCAGTCTCTAATTTTGAAGGATGACCTTACTCGACTGGAACAAGTTACCCGTGCAGCCAATATCATATGTACAGCTACATCTTCAAAGGAGCCACTTTTCGAGGCGAAATGGGTGTCTCCAGGGACACATCTCAATCTCATTGGGAGTTACACGCCTGAAATGGCAGAAGTCTCTTCAGAATTGCTATATCAGGCTGGAAAAGTGGTTGTGGACTCAAGAGAAGCATGCGCGTCTGAGGCTGGGGAGCTCATAAAGGCCAAGTTTAATGAAGAGGACATGGTTGAAATTGGAACGCTGGTCCATTTTGACAACGACTCGCCGGATGCTGACTACAAGAAGGTTCACGCGTTGTGCGACGAGGTAAGACAGGCTGGTAAAATCACTATATTCAAGAGCGTGGGGGTAGGATTGCAGGACGTAGCCATCACGAATATGGTGGTGAATCTCGCGGGAGAGATTGGTACTCTTTTTAGCTCCTATGATTAATTTTGATGATCAGTTTTACTGAAACAGTAAATTCACAAATCTACATTAGGCCTCACTAGCACTAGCTAGCGCAACCTGCTGGAGAAATTCAAGGGTTCTCTGCTCGCTGGGGTCATTTACAATTTTCACAGTTAAACAGACATAAGCATACCTTGTACATGTACAATTCACATTCTTACAGCACGCCTCCAAAGATTCCTATCATCATGGCACTCCCCATACTCGATTAAAGACATCAAGAACTTGATCAACCATGGTTCATCAAATGTTCACTCGTCAATCCCACATTCGTGTTTGATGTTATTATGAGGGAAACGACCATAGCTGCCCTTTATTGAGTGATCACGTGACGATGTTTTCTGAACGGAGGGAATATGCTCGGAGCTCCTCATCAACTTGAGTCAACCCTCTCGAAATCACGCTTTTCCAGGGTGGGATAGAACAGGCCGTATTTTTTCTTATGGAAAGAGCGCGGCTTATTGCATAAACTAGCTGAAGCCTGAACACATCGAAGGCGAAGGGTAACCCGTTCTCCAAGTCAACTCTGCAGCATGGTTCAAAGGCGACACCCAACACTCCTGCTGGGACGAAGCATTCTCCGCACAGACAGACAAAAAAATGTATGTCCCACACTCACCATCAACACTGAGATTACGCCCGCAGGCTCTCGCTCGACATAACTTTCCCAAACCACGCCACATACAAAATCCCCCAACATGGCATGAGCCATTCCCTCCAAAACACAACAAGCCCCACCGCAGGATACACAGATCCCTTCTATCTCTACAACGCAGACGTCTTGGAATACCTCTCAGACTCGCCGACCTCTCTCTATCTCGCTTATCCAAGCTCATTTTGCAACGTCTATAGTGGTTGTTTCAAATGGACTTGCGTCGGAAACGTGGATTGATGTTGCTCATGTGGAGAAAGCCGGCGTAGCGATGCACTGGATATTCGAGTTCCGCGTATTCCTAGTACCTACTCCCAGGCCCAGTACCCACCGATATCTTCACACAATACGCACACCTAACGGGAACAGCGCCCCTCCCAGAGGTCACTCGGCTATCACCAGTGCCGTTGGAACTAACTTATAAATTATACGGGCCACCGAAACTTCATGACGGGAGGTCCCACAACCGCGTTGTTGATGATTGTTTACGCGTTTCAATTGCCAAGCTTCCGCTCCAGCCAGTTGCCAGTTGCATAGCCGCCCTTTGACTGGGATAATGCTTAATTTACATGTGCTCTGGAGAGGAAAACCATTGTGGTTTGTAGCCTTAGTAACTAGTTCGAGTCAATGCTTGTAGATGGACGACACGGGCAGTATAAATACGCAGAACGTCGTTGGGCTCTCACTGCTAACCCGTCTGCAATCCAATGGTAAGGCATTGATCTTCCCTGATATTCTTTCTGCTGACAAGTCGTTTAGCCTGAATCTACCACACCCTTGCACACGAGCCCACACTTTGGCGTCTTCGACGATTGCGTCGAGTCAGATACCACCAATAGTGCCACTGACCCAGAAGACGAGCACACACTCGCTGCTTCCGGTGACCTCTCCCTCAGCCCAAAAGAAATGCTTGGCTTTGTTCTAAATGACATTCGTCGCCGTAATCGTCTGCGTTTGAAGGCGAGGCGTGAGAGTGCCCAGTACAGTCCACAGGTGCGCATGAGTCACGTTTGCATGATTAGTTACATTCTTATTGATGGTTGCGACATAGGATCCGGCTGGGAAATTCTGGGACCCATTGACTTTTTCACTGATTTCGATTCCTTTAACACCTACTGAGTATTTCGACAGATATGAACACTACTGCGTGCGACGTGCTGAAAATTTTCAGCGTGCACAAGCAGAAGCTGCCTCGGCAGAAACCCGATCTCGTGCAGCTGACTCAGGAGAGTCAACCTCTAATCACTCGAGTGCTTCATACGATCACGGCCCGGAACAATTCGTTTCTGAAGTCCCTGAACCCGGAAGTCCGAAGTGAGATGTTGACGATGGAGTGTAGTTGTATTATATGCTGTATAATATCCAAGACCCCTTTGAATCCATAATCATGCCTTGAATTGTAAATGTAAGCCGGGGGCCCATTACATAATTGCGAGCAAGACTGAGATATGTAGATGGATTGTGTAAACCTTAAAGTTGCCTGCCTGGCAGCTGGAGGATCCAGTGGTATTTCGGTTGAACGTCATCAGTTTGTATAGCCACACTAGATCGAATACCAGACTCTGAGACACGCGTCGGTTTGCACCTTGGACATAAGAACGTACTTAATCAACCCTAGCGCACGAAAAAAACCTTCTGAATCCTGATCCAGAACCCAAAGTCAAGTAATAAATTGTCTATACAACCTGTCATCTAACAGGAATGCAAAAGATCATCATCTATATGATTGTCGTGCAGAGTCAGCAATAGGTAGATGCTCTGTCACGTATACATAAATCAAGCCTCGAACCTTGACCACGTGCACCAATTACAAACACCAACCCACAGCCCGCCCAATATCCCTAATACTCCTGCGATCACTCAACGACAAGGCCGTCGCCAGACTTTCCCGCTCCTTATCCTTTCGGCCCTGTAGCCCGTATGCTTTAGCCAAGTAGTACCAGGCCTCAGGAACGTCCCAGCCAGGTCCCCGGGTGAGGTGGCCGAGTAGCCCAGCGACTAGATCAGCCTTATCTGAGTCAACTGTGCCGGCCGATGACTTCGTGGAAAGGTGGATGCGACACAAGTGCACAGATGCAGCGATATCATCAGGCGATATGAACAGGGCTTTTTGAAAAGCTTCTAAAGCCTCTGTATTACGATCTAGCACCATGTAGTATAGCCCAAGCTGTGTCATGATTAGTGAACACGCATAATAGCAGACATGCGATATACGCACCTGCACCCAAACAGCGGGATTTTCAGAGTCTTTGACTTCTGCTTCTTGGATTGCGCCTTTGGCTTGCTCGATTTTACCAAGTCGTCGGAAAGTGGCAGCAGACATGGCCCAAAGGTCGCTTATAAGCTTGTCGTCTCTCGTCGCGTGGAGTATAGGTGTTTCCTCCTTCACCGGAGGAAGCGGGGGAGGTGGAGCGGGGGGTGACTCGATGGGTGCGACAGCTGCATTATGACGAATCAGAGAACGCAGCCGGCGGCGGGAGTGTATTGACGACGCTTGGTAATTATGGTTCTGTAGCACAGCATGAAAGTCTAAATCATATTGTGAAGAAAGGCGTGGTGGGTAGAGTAAAAAATAGTTTACCTGGTGCAGAGCTTGTCCTCTTCAAATTTCCGTTGCGCACAACGCCATTTCCGAGTTTCCTCGAAATGGTACTGATCTTTGCCTGCCCTTTATGGACGCGGGCTCTCAGCATCTGTTGCACTTTCCTACCAGTGCCATCTGCTGAAGAGGAGCGTCTACCCTTCAGCGAGTCCTTCTCATCCACGCTGAGTGTAAAACGTCGATGCGGCTCTGCAGGCGTTGCAGGCGTAACAGTGATTGGCGGAAGCTCCGATGATGGGAGGTCTTGATGACCAAGAGAAAGACCCAGAGATCCATGCTGGTCTGTACTAGGACCTTTTTCATCCAGTGGGTCCTGCGATGGCTGATGCAGCACTGATGACGTTTGTGTAGTCCTGGCGCCAGTACCGGTGTCCATTGACGACCTCGCTGATCCACACAAACCACAACCAGATAAAATCAGTTCCATACAGCCCGAGGTGGAATCAAGAATAGGGGAAGCTTGCTTCCTAGACTCACGCTGCGTCTCTGTCATAGACCCCGAAGTGGAGGGCGACCCTTTGCGTTCCGCGACCCAGCCAAATACGTCAACCCACCGCCCTTCTGCACCCTCAGGGCCTTCTATGTGTTCGGCAAGTGCCATCTGTGTCATCCTGAGCTGGAGGGCGTAATCGAATGCGTCACGGGGAGAAGGCAATGGGTGGTCCGGTAATGGTCGGAGGAGAGTGGCAGATGGTGGTATAGTGGTTGCGTGTGGTTCAAGAAGCCTCTTGTGCTCACATGTCGGAACATCAGCATCATTCAGCGGTAGATGTGCAGTTGGGAGTTTTGAATGACCTGTCACTTGGGCGTGCTGATGGTCTAACTCAAAATCTTGAGCCTGGATACCGTCAGCTAGAGGTGCTTTCACCACGATGTCATTAGCAGTATTTTCCGCGTCCTGCTTCCTCTCGTCTAGTTCTGCGCCCACTTCTAGAACACTGGCCGCCTTCTCCCACTCGCCGTTAGCACTAAGTAACAGACCGAGAAGATGCCAATGTCGAATCTCATCAGCATCGTCTTCAACAGCTGCACGAGCGGACACGATCGCCTCGTCCAAGTTTTGCGAACTTCCAGGTAAAGAAAGTGCGATCGCGAGCTGATGGTGCGCAGCAGGTGTAGGGTGGATCGCAACAGACTTCAAGTAGGCAGCGAGGGCGCGACCTAGGCGAGCCTGTCGGGTGTAGGGGTCCTGTTCTGATATAACATAAGATTTCAGTCATGGAATATCGAAATATCAGAATAGACACCTACCTATTATTGCCAGTGTTGTATAACATATGCCTTCGGCCAATGCGACTCTCGCCACCATCTCCTTGTCATCCTCATCCAGCCTCGTCTTTGCCTTTTCGATCATGTCCCCTGCCTCCTTGGCATCGTCGATACCATCTTGGCGTGAAATGGAAAGACGACAAAGCATCCGGGCACCATCGATAAGCGTCTCAACCCAATGACGATCCGTGTCGAAGTCATTATCCACCCCCGCTTCCCGTGCTTTCGAAACGACCTGAACGTATAACCTCAGGGTACGTTTAGCCAGCTCCGCATCTCCGGAAATGGAAAGCAGTCGTGTCATGTGTCGATAAATACGATATGAGTTGAAGGTGAGCCGGGTAGCCCACCAGAGCATCTATATCGGGTCAGTGAACCGATAGAGATCCAGCCAACGCAATCTTACATCGAGAACCCAACGGACAGGGTCAGACATGGTTCCATTGGTCTCCCACACTGCCACGCACAAGTCTACGAAATCCTCCACTTTGACGTTACGTTCACCAGCCTTGGGGAAAGCAGTGCAAGTTCCTAGAATTGTGCGGTATTCATGGATGACTGAGCGAGCGGTATTCATCCATTGGGGTGGTTTTGCTGATTGAAGTGGCAAATTAGGGGTTGAAGTTGATGACGTCTGATGTTGGATGATTAGCGCTCGGAGGTGGAGGACTGCGACTGTGGAGCGGTGACCTGTGCGAAATGTCGCTGGCCAATGCGCGCTGCAAGCATGATAATGGGTGAACATGGTCAAAATAAGGTCATCGTTCTCATCCAGGCAGCAAGACCGCGAAAGAATAGATATCGCCCTGAACATGAGACGTTCTGTCCAGCGCCACAACTCACGGTAGTTGTCGAATGAAACGGGAGATGAATACGTGGCAGCGAGTGTTCGTGGTATCTCGGACTCGATATTACTCAGAAGTTGGAGGGCGGATGAGTAGGCTTGAATGGCTTTCTTGGGTTGTGATAACTTTTCATAACACATGCCTATTGAAGTGAATGTCAATGCGGTGAAGTAAGTGATGGGAAGGCATACCTTGTAAACATGTGCTCCTTATGGATTCAGTGATAGCCCAAGCTCTCCCATCCTTGATGTCAGCTGTCGAGCCAGGATAGTCAGCAGAAATAAAACTACCGGTCCATGAAGATGAGGTTTCGGCGATTGATCCAGGTATCTGGAGTGCGGAATTATCTGAACGAGTGGTGAAAGATGGAGGTATATGACTCTGCGCCTCGAGCAGCTTTGGTACTTTGGACAAGTACGAAAGGCATTCCGAGAATTGGCCGAGGGCATACGCGTAGAGCGCAAGGGCAAGATGAAGAGACTATGAGACCATCTTTAGTATTGCATGCAATAGGGATGGAAAATGAATTACATCGAAATTCTTGCTGTCCAGACTCTTTAATGTCTCATACCCGCCTCTAGCCTCCTCTATCCGCTCCGGTGGTAAGAGACACTCGTCACCAAGAACGAGCTCGTCATCATTTTCTAGACCTAGCTGGTCCACGTTCTGTGTGTCCGCTCCGAGCAGTAAAAATAGAGCTTGAGTTTGTGATGCGACCTCTGCCACGTCTTGGAAACCTTTACAGTGTTTGTTGAACTTGCGCAGTATATGAAACCAAGACAATGGGGAGCCATTTTGAGCTGTTCCTGGTGAAGGAGATGACCATTGACCTGCAGTGAGAGCGGCCCTTAGTTGAGCCCAGTAGTACTTGTCCTTTGCATGGGCCATGTATGCTCATCATCGTAGGATGGAGTCCTTATGACTTGAAATTCGACCCCCCAAAAAGTCAACCCCCATTTTTAACCATCTTCCTTTTTTGGCCGTATGGGCGTTGCTTGTAGCTCTGCCTTTGCATTCGGTCAGTCGTTCGTTGTCTTGTTTCCTGTATGTAGACATGGCTTCGTCTTCTCCACCATCGACACCACCAGCACTGACGCCGGATGACACTGGCTCAGCTTCTACAGACTCTCAAAGTCATGCAGAAGCAGCAGTCAAGAACTTGAAAACGCGTCGTTCGACCGCTTTCTACCCTAACATGAACTCTGCCAACAAACCAGTGAAGCCATTCAGCAGAAGCGCAGCAAAGCGTCAGAGCGTCATGACACTTGGAAGCATAGAACATCTTCAGCACTATTTCACAAAGACAGGCATCGTCGCCAAGCCCAAGTGTGTATTTCTTTCTCACATCGACTTTTTGCTCATACTGTGTCAAGCCCATCGAAGAAGCTCAGCAATCAACTCGTCCCAGCTCTTGGTGGAATTTCTGCAGCAAAATCCGCTAAAGTGTCATTAGGCAGTCTAATGGAGTTTGAGTTGCCCCCATCACCAACTATTCCGCAGATCCAGCAGCCGGCTTTCCCTCCGTTTGTGAAGACATATGAAACGGACCCTGAAGCGTTCCTTCCAGGCGTTGTACAAGACCTCATGGCTGTTGCAGACGCATGGGGCTTGTCCAGTAGTACAAACGACGGTCCGAGACGCGATTCTGATCTACTTAGCCCGCACACGTCCAATACTCCCCGAGATCGCTTGGATATCCTCAACTTGCTCAAGATCACCACGCGCGCCATTCGTTCAGTGCGCAACTACGTGATTACATTACCTGACGATTCCGCTGGAACTCTCCGCAGCCAGTACCGCAACAAGGTCACGGCAAGTTCACCCCACCCGAAAAGAAACGCACCGCACCAGAAAGCCCAGGCAGATCCCCTGTCACTTGTCCGCAAGTCTGCGTTGGAAGTTTTGGCTGTTCTTCGCGAACTCGAAGAGCGCTCACGCGTACCTCTATCCGACGAGGTTTATGACGTGCAAAGCGATCATGGTTCTATTCCTGATCACAGTGGTACATCACCATCGCGTGTGGCGTCACCCGCTGCGCTTTCAGATATGTCCCATGATCACGATCACGACCTTCCTATAGATCCAGACATGTCGATTTCTTTCGTGCACGTACAAGGTCGACAGGAATCCGTACCGGTATGGGAGGATGACTACTATGACTCGATCATGAATGAAGAGGAAGGAGAAAAGAGACATCACTGGGACGACCGTTTGGTACTGGGCGGGGGCTGGTTGTACAAGCAAGACATGACGCTGACTGACTTAGTGAAAGAGGAGGAAGTTGTGCGGCGGTATGTGGACGTGGTAGATGATGTTCTATTCGGAGAGGTCAAGGAGGGCAAAAGAGGCTGGGAACGAGAACACGAGAGGTTTGTAAAGAAAGAGAAAGAGAGCCGGTTGAAGAGTAGGCGCGTTAGCGCGGGTGACGCAGATCCTTTTCGGTCTTCATCCTCGCCTCCATCGTCCAGGCGGGTGGTATCGACCGGTTTGCTAGATTCAATGCAGAAACTTACCATGATGGAAGAGAATGAGGAAATGACAGCCCTTTCTGAGGAGGAAAGCGTGGATGAAGATGATTTGCCCGAGTGGGCGATGCGTGGATCCTTTGCTGAACATCCATTGGGTTGGTCCTTTAATTACTTAATTCTCCCAAAGCTAATCGAGTTCTGGCAGACCGAGCACATGCCCTCATCTACACTCTGCTTCCGGAACACCTTTGTTCGTTGCTACCACCTGCGACAGATAGAAACGCATTCCTTCTCGCACTTTCGTCCGGCCAGTTTCTGTGCATAGCATACAACACCGGAGTCCGGTGGTCACGTAAGCCCTGGGGTTTTATTTCGCCCGATTCTATCCATGATATCGTGGCGCTGGAAGCTGCGGAAGACGAGAAAGAAAAAAGTAAGACTGGCTGGACGTTTAGACGAACAGATAACCTTCGATTGTGGGCTGCGTAAGTTTTTTTTTCTCTTCTCCAGGTTGCATTTCTTGATGTCAGCCCGTCATCCATCCAGCGCACTAAAAATTCGATATCTCCTACCAATGATCGTACCCTCCGCCCCCAGCCAGACAGATCACCAACTCAAGCCTTCACATAGCACGCCAGCAAACTCCCCCTCGAAGATACGGTTCCCCTCCACAGAACCCCCGATCATATTCGATCCTCGCCTCGTTGCGCGCAAGGACGAGGGGTGGGAAACGATGCTCCAAGATACCCTGCTTAGATGGGTGGAAGTCGTTGTTGATGAGCGAAGAGGCGAGCGGTGACTTGGCTCTTCTCTCATCTCCGCTCATCCTTCCTCTTTTCTCGCGTGGATCCTTCGTTATTTGGGCTTTTGGCAGTTTTATTTCTATTCCCTCAAGACTTCATGAATAATCATACTATTTCAATCACACCATGCATCTATATCCCTATTACTACCTGCTCTCTTAGCTACTCTATTGCAGCTGTTTACTGTAGATGGATATCGCATACATACCTAGTACTCAAAACACTATCACGATGTACCTCATTTATTTCAGAAATTCACTACAAAGGTTAACGCAGCACAATTGATGTAGTGTGTCGGTATTATGCGGTGGAACTTTTGCTGGCACTTGTGTCAAAGTTTGCATTAACTTTGAACGTTTGAACAGAGCACTTGGGAAAAACTATGAGCGTGTGTAGTTGATCCAAATCTATGTATCAGTAACGATCAAAACAATTGTGACTCCGCATGGGGATGATAATCGCTCACGCAAACATGTTATCTCTAATGGAACCTACAGAGGATTATTCTTTCCCTCCCGTCTCTTTTAAGCCTCTTTTGACTGAGATTTCCGGGCTTCTGAGGTCGACTTCGTCGACGCTTGCAGTGGCGGAAACCACAACGGGTGGTCTCGTGTCGGCTTCCCTGCTTTCTGTATCTGGAGCGAGCAAGTTCTTCGTGGGAGGAGCGACAGTGTACACCACAAAGTCACGGAGGACTTGGGCAGGTTGGACCGATGAGAACTTGGTGAACTACATGTCTGTTTATCGCAGTGGCTCATTACTGTCAACCGGCTGCTAATGGACTGTCCTGCCTAGTGGGCCCACACCGGAACTCGTCACAGAGCTTGCAGCGAACGTCAGGGAACAGATGGATGTCACGTACTGCATCGGGGAGTCGGGTGCTACAGGTCCTACTGTCCCGGGACCGCCGTTTGTTCATATGTGGGCCTCACTATTCTCCATGTCGCTGATACCTCGACATTGATTCTTACGACTTGCAGAGCAGGGCAAACATATATTGCCGTCGTGTCTCATGAAGGTTTTGCGACTCGTGTCGTGAACACAGGTGTCGCGGATAGAGAGAAGAACATGATGGCTTTCACAAAGGCAGCCTTGGTGCTGCTCAGGGACGTTCTCGCAGGAGACGTGAAACTGGAGCAGCAGTGCCGGCCTGACTCAAAGAGTACGGAGGCTACGAAGCTTTGAGCATTTTACGCCATAGTATCAGGTTTCAAGTTCTCCATTTCACATGCCATCGTCACCCACTATACTCTACTGCAGCCGTCGCATACATATTGCATGCATACTTACCTAAGCCTGATATGTCGTTGATACGTGATGTGATCTACCCCAGATGTCCTCCCGGCCATCATCATCATTCCTCTTCTCTTGACAATGTTGCCAACAGCCTCGAAGGCAGATTTTAGCAGCAGGGCATGGTTTGCGGAGACCATTGTGCTACACTACTCCTCTGTCCTACCGTCTTGGGACCGCCAATTGTCCATGTGTGAGCCGCGTTACATATTCCCGCACTGGCCGATGACTTGACGTTAACTACTATGGCTCACAGAGCAAGGCAAATATATATTGCCATCGTGTCTCGTCAAGGTTTTGCAACTCATGGCGAACACAGGTGTCGCAGCTTTTACTCAGACAACCTTCAAGGGTGATGCTCAAGGACGTTCTTGCGGAAGACGTTGAACTGAAGTCGCAGTGTCGACCAAAGGGTCCAGAACCTGCCAATTTTCGGGCTTTTCACATCACCAAGGTGATTGTGCGCATATAACGCCATACAATAATGCTTACATCACTGTCTCTTTACCTTGATCATGGCCTCGGTCTCCTCCGCACTCAGCATACGTCCTTGCAACTCTTTCTCCACCTCCAACCCAAGTTCTTTCACACGTTCACGGTCCAATCCAATTAGTGCAATGTGTGCCCCTGGCTGAAGGAGTGGGTAAGAGCCTATCCGGATATTCTCAGGCTTAACGCGATTCTGTAAAGCTGTGAGGAATGGCGCAATGGACGATTCCGGAAGTCTTCAAGAATGATCAGGAGTTTGATCCAGCAGCGGTGCAGGAATAATGTCAATGACTTACGGAGTAAATACTTGAAGCCGGAAGGGACGTGCATCTTCCGTGGGCAAAGGTAAAAAAGGCTTCAAGTTGTCCAATAGCTTCTGGAAAAGTGATGGGATTCCTGGAAATATGCATAGCTTGCCTTCCAGTCGAACAACAGGCTGAAGATTCATCTTAGTGCATGATACCACGCAAAGAGATGGGAATGCACACAACCCAGATGTCGCTAGCGACAAGAAGAACCTCGCCAGCTTCCGGAAACAGTGCCATACGTCTACGAGCGGTGCGTTGCTCCTCGCTCTGCTGCGTGATCCATGTGCGGTGTCGGCTGGATTCTTCCATACGCACGATAGTTTCATCATGGTATTTGAGCTCTTGTCCGAAAGACTTTGCGAGCGAGGCATATGTGATATCTCAAAATGAAGGCATTCAGACCTCGGACTGTCATAACGGGTTGATGTACTATACCATCGTGAGTGGGCCCTATACCACCAGAAGTGATGACGAAATCATATTTCTGGACCATCCTTCGGCTAGCCTCAATACTAGAAATCCATGTTATCCCATCTGATGACGACAAGGACGGCTTTACTTACATCTCGAGCTCGTCGTCTGCAATGACCTCAATTTTCTGGCTGCATTGTTGCCCATGAAATAAGCGGGGATAGAAAGAATTGCTGAAGAAACCCTCACAGCTCAATACCATTCTCAAAACAGAAGCGCGCAAAGTAATTCGAGTTACGGTCCAACGTGTTCCCATTCAGGATTTCGTCTCTAGTGTCGCCATGATTTTAGAAGTGTGCTTTACCACACAAGATGGGACATACCCAATGATGAGAGCAGCAGCAGTCTTGATGTACCGTCCTTCTCCAAGTGGATTCTTCGGAATTGGGGAAATTGGGAAATTAATGACCGGAGCCGGAGGTTTTGGAAGTGGTTTCTCTTCAAGTTGAGAAGCTCCCGCAGCCGAGGGGGGCACTGGCGATGATGAAGACATGATCTACACCGGTAACCGGAGCAAATAAAGTATCTAAGAGTCAACTGATGACCGACGACAGTTAAATAATGTCGAAGAATGGGGGTGAGAGTTGACGTCGAGCGTCAGGCTGGAAGTCACATGTGAGATTCGGTAAGAAATGGTACTCCTTACTAATTATAAGTAGGAGACAAGCTCAAGATAGAGGTCGGGGGGCCGATCCCGAAAACCAAATACTGGATTATGAATTGCTAGTCACCCATAGCCTGAGTCAAGCCACATACAAGGAAGACCAAGTTGTAACTACAACTTGAACACACCTGCCAGCGACCTTGTCAGACTCAGTGCGACATTCATATATAATAATAATATCCATGCATGACTGGCCAGGTACGCAAGAGTCGGTCAGTGCAGAGGGACCTGACAGTGAGAGGGTTCTAAAAAGGCATGCGGGGGGTTGACTGCAATACATATGACGTAAAATTCGCACGATGTGTTGGAAATTTTGGTTGTAGCTATATTCAAGCCGAACATTCTTGCGCGTCACTGCCGTCTGTCCATTCCTCCACCATGGCTACTACCTCTTCAACCTCCTACTTCGAGAGAATACAGGACTTCGTGGCTGAAAACAAAAAGGTAGTCGTTATAGGAACAGCTGCTGCCGCGCTCGCTGTTGGAGGTGTCATTTACTATGCTTCCACTTCGCGCGGTCCAGGCGGTGACTTGGAGAAGGGTAAGGCGAGAGATAAAAAGAAGTCTTCAAAGAAGAGGAAGACCGTCAATGATCCAGACGGCCCCCTACTTGAGGAGATAAAGCCAAAAGTTGCTGACGAAGGTCAGTAATACTACAATTTGGAAGCTCGTGCTCACCACCAAATAGAGGATGCACTATCAGTGGAGGAGATCGCCAAAATGTCAGTGGAGGTCAGTATTTTCGATGCGCACTTTATCTGTTCACTTCAACATGAGAATTTCACAGGAGCGCACAACGTTGGCAGGTACACTCAAGACACGGGGTAACACGCTTTACCAAAACCGAAAGTTCCAGCAGGCAGTAGACATGTATACGCGTGCAATCCAGGTGGCAACCAAATCAGAGTCCGTGTACTACAGCAACCGTGCGGCATGTGCGTTCCTCCCGTCAATATCACCGTGACGCATGTCTTACTCGCTTATCAGGTTACATGAACATGACACCCCCTAAGTATGATTTGGTGGTCCAGGACTGTGATGAAGCGTTGCGTGCTGATGCCAGCTACGTAAAAGCGCTGAACAGGCGTGCCAATGCTCTTGAATCTTTGTCCAGAAACCAAGAGGCTCTGCGGGATTTCACTGCTGCCACTATCTTGGATAAATTCCAAAATGAGTCGGCTGCACAGGCTGTAGAACGCATCTTGAAGAAGATTGCCACCGAGAAAGCTGCTGTCATCCTTAGCGTGAGTATGACAATGAGGGAACAACCGATACATACTTACTCATTGGCGTTTAGACACGCGAACCTCGACTTCCCTCATTCACGTTTGTTTCAGCTTACTTTGCGGCATTCCGTGTCCGTATGTACATTCACTTCCATCATTTTATCTCTGCAAGCTAATCTTGCACAGGACCCCTACCCGCACTTCCGGAGAACCCATCAACTGGTGATAATACTCTTCTACTCGCATTGCAAGCTTTAGCAGCTGCCGACTATGCGCATGCTGTCTCGCTCGTGAATGAGGCAATGGAGCAGGGTATTTCATGGGAGATTGGCAAGGCCGAAGCTCTCAACCTTCGCGGCACTTTCAAGTCAGCTGCTCTTTACTCTGAAATGCGCCGACTAAGTTTTGTATAGGTTCCTTATGGGTGACGTATCTGGCGCTAAGGATGACCTGTATGAATCCGTCAAAATCTATCCCTCCTTGACACAAAGCTGGGTGAAGATCGCGAGCGTGCACATGGAGCAAGGCGAGGGTACGAAGGCCTTTGAGTGTTTTGAGGAAGCGATCAAGCACAACCCCCAGGACCCCGACATCTATTACCACCGTGGACAAGGTGAACAATTTGTTTCCTGCATGGCCAACCGTCACTCATAGATTCGTAGTTCTCTTTATCACCAATGAGTTCAAGGATGCCGCAGACAACTACACCAAGTCCAGCGAGCTTGATGACACATTTGTATTCTCGCATATTCAACTTGCCGTCGCCCTGTACAAGATGGGTGAACTCGCGCGCAGTATGGCGACTTTCCGACGGACGATGACAAATTTCCCTCAACGGAGCGAGCCTCAGAACTACTAGTGAGTAGCTACATTCGATGATAACTTTCATTTAATGACTTGGCAGTGGCGAGCTGTTGTTGGATCAACAGCGTTTCGTGGATGCCGTTGATAAGTTTGATCGTGCTGTGGAGCTCGAGCGTGCTAAGTATGATTTTTCTCTTTCTCTCCAATACATTGACTTACTTCCACTCAACCAGACCTCCTCCGATGAACGTTCTGCCTCTTGTTAACAAGGGCCTTGCCATCTACCAATGGAAACAAGACATCGCTGCTGCAGAACAGTGCTGCGATGAAGCCTTGAGAATTGATCCTGAGTGCGAGCCTGCAGTCGCCACGCTTGCCCAATTGTCATTGCAACAGGGCAAGATTGACCGCGCTGTTGAGATGTTCGAGAGGCAGGCGGAACTGGCGCGCAGTGAGCCAGAGCTGATTAATGCCCTTACATACCAATATGTGAGTCGATGTGAGCGCATCTGCTCATTCTGATCTAATCAGGCGGTTTACAGGCAAGTACGGCACAGTTGGAGTTCACGCGCAACTACCCCGAGATGGCGGAGCAGTTGGCACAGATCGCAAGGTCGATGGCAGTGTGAAAGTGGATATTTACTTTTACCTCCTCGCCCTGTTCGCCGCTGTCCGATTATTTTACAGTGCAGAAGAAAGGGGTTGATGGGGTCCCGGAGGTCATCTTGAACATCGAAAGGACTAATTAGATTGCTCAAGTTATCGGTTTTTAATGCTTAACACATCTTTCTCCTTATCTTCTAACGCACAATACCACGCTCACTCCACTCATTCCCTCTACTGATTTGAAACTTTGGCACGATTTAACAAAACATCCCGGCGATGAGCTTGTAGATAGCAAGCACTACAAGCATTTCACAGGAACATGAGACATCCTAGTTCATACATGATCAGGAACTCGCCTGAGACACTGCTTCCTCGGGACATGGCCTCGACAAACCACAGAGTTTCACAGTCAATCGTGCTCAAACACCGTCCTGCTGTTTAATCGAGCAGTAGCTGAGCTCTTGAATCTCGTCAGATAACAACTTAATATGATACGACCGGTGTCCTTGATCTCGAAACTCTCTTCGATGACAAAGCATTGTAACTTCTCGAAACAATTCGAGGGATACCACAGCGTTCCTCGAAATTAAAATGCCGACATACTTATGGATGATCATCAGAATAACCACGAGCGATACCACTGCGACCTTGCTCTAGGACAGATGGAGAATCTTCTCCAATTTTAGCTTCTAGCCCTTGATAGGAGCGGGAGTGAAGAAACAATGCTGCGCCACATATCATACGAGGAACATCATACGGCAGCAGATCACTCACCTGCCGCACTATCAGCTGATTTTAAAAGAGCACCATCTTGGTTTCGAAGAGTAAGAGCAGCTGACGTTTCCTCGGTTACGGTCTCATTGCCTTCAGCTTTGGGATGTAAGATGCAGTTAAGTACGTCGAAAGATCGTGCTTACTGCCGTAGCGTTTTGCTTGTCGATATTTTCCAGTAACCAAGGAGAAAGTCGGTTGATCTGGGTCGCCCCCATTATCTTCAGTAGGGGTGCCTAGATGCCATGAATAAAGAGTTAAACCACAACACTGTTGAAAGCGTACCAATATCATTTTCAGAGTCTCCAGCGAGGATTTTCTCGAAATCTAGCACGTATCGCCCACTCCAAGTGCCTTCAGCTTGAAGTGCAACCTCGAGTTCAAAAGGGGTAACGATCGGTCTTAAAAATTCCTGTGCGTCACAGAGTGAGTAATTCGTTGAATTCGACGAGGCAGGCCAACCTTGGAATCTATCACACTATTTTCAGGACATGCGATCAAAACAAAACACTCGATCTCCATGAAATTCGCGAGCTTTGCAGGATTCAGCTTGCCGACGCTAATCGTATAGCTTTTCTTCTGTGCACGAGCTAGAAGCTTTCTGACGTGGGAAATGAGGGGTAGATATGATGCTAGTGATGTATGTTAGTGATTACAAAGATGACGAGAAATCAAAGCACTGACTAACTCCAAGAGTGCCTATAAGGATACCAAAAACATCTGCATCTCGTGCCCTCTGGACCATCGCGAAGCGTCGCATTAACAATTTATTAGTCCTATGTGATTTCAAGTGAGCGGATCTCGTAGAGGGGTCGTATGCATACACCTGAAAAAAAACTCATATAAGATGCCAATATCAGATAACATTGTGGCAATTTACCTCGCAATGAGAGTGCGTCATCAATACATTTGTCAGGTTGAGGCTTTCGCCACCAATATATGCGATAATGATATTCGTGAAACTATCTTCATTGGACCCTGCACCAATCTGCTCGAAAATTTCGGGACTTTGCACAGTGGTCTTAGGATCAAGCCTAGTTGGAACTGGGTCGTGCAAGACCCTAGTAATTAGGCTCTGCAGTTCATTCTGCAGCCTATGGGCAATCACGTCTGCATTACTGGTAAGATTATGTTGCATAGCAGCATCCCAAGAAGAAACTTGAATCACCTGCACGGCAGGAATATCCAACATCGTAGCGAAGTAAAACGGTCGGTCGATTGTTACTGTTACTAGTTGTATCTTGCTGTAATTGAGTCGTTAAACATTGACCGAGTTGGTCGATACAATCATCGACATCAATAGGCTTCTTCCCAAAGACATAGACTACAGGCAGCCTAGAAGGCCTATAGTAGAACATCACATTGCATTCAATAGGGGATGAGTCTCGGGCACGCACTGGCTTAAACAAGCGTGGCCGTAATGCACGATTAGGTCTGCATCGACGTGTTGTGCTGCAACCTCGTCAACACAGCAACTGGAGTTCGAAGCAGGTCAAAATATGCCTTTTTCACTGAGTAGAGACTTACCTTCCGTAGGAAGTGTCGGCTAAAACATAGATGTCATGGCCCTCGCCTGCTTTACTTTTGAGTAGACGGTAGATTGGGACAGAATGGCACAAAAGTTCATCAGGAAACTGGAGAGCTATCTATGCTAGTATGAGCTATGATCAGCCTTGGTAAAGCAGGATGGATCGATCTCACTCGTTTGAAGTTCCCTTCTACGATCGCAGCTACTGTTCGTTCGATCTCGTAAATTTCAAGGAAGTCGGCCGGAGCTATGTTCTGCGTATTAGATGAATCTATATTCAACTCTATGGTGCGAGTAATCGCATCCTCTCCTGAGGCCGAGAAAGTAGAGACAGCGGGAACGTCTGTCATCTGTGTTTGTGTAGCCCTAGGGTTAATAGGCCATAAGCCACGATCCAAGTCAGGAATCAGAAGCAAGGAACTCTCGGCGGGAGTTGCCGAGATTGACGAGCCTCTCCAATTGCTATGTACAAAAATTACAGATGCTAGCGTCCTTCATGTCTGTCATGCAGCCTCACAGGGTGTTGTTTATTCCGGAGTTACTGGGAATCATCCTCAGCTTTGTGGACGAAGATGACCATGTAAACAATGCATGCGTTTGCAAGCAATGGTCAGAAATTGCTCTGGACATCATTTGGAAAGAGGTCGACGGTCTTTCCAGGCTTCTTACTCTCTTGAGGCCGTACAAGATAACGGGACGGTACAACGTGCGTCATCCTGTTTTCTTTACCATTCTCCTGTTCATTTTATTTTTGGTTCGATATTAAGTTCTTCGATGGACTGCCAGACTCAAGGGACTGGACAAGATTCCAGAGGTATGCCAACCGCGTGCGCATTCTGCGATTTCAGCAGGACACGGACATAGACTATTCTGGCCTGCTCGATGATATGGCCAGGACGAGGACAACCCTCGATATGCTCCCGAACCTGCATACTTTGGAGTGGATCTACGAAGATGTCGACTGCATGGAACGAGCCACATTATTCATGCATCAGCGCCTGAGGCACCTCGTTATATCAGCGCCTCCTTTACGCCACAAAGATAAAGTTTCATTTTTTGTCGATGTCTGCGTCCGCGCACCACACCTCCACTCACTTGATCTCCGTGTTCCCTACCGCGTGCAACACATTGAAACAGCCATCCTAGAACTTCTTCGAGGTCTTCCGGATCTGAAAACGATCATTTTCCCCGAATTTTTCCTCACGTCGAGCATTGTGTCTGAGCTTTCGCGGCTGAAGCACATCAACATCGTGCAATTCGAGTATGGGCATGAGCAAGGGTTTGGTGAAGAAAAGGATGTGGACGTCTTTGCTCCTGTCTTTGAGGAAGGAGCATTTCCAGCACTATGGGACCTGGCCGTCACTGCTCGCATTGAACATGTCATGCGATTCATGAATGCGGACTTTGCCCCCATCAATCTCACATCCCTATACATCAACACCTACGTTGAACATGAACCCGAAGAATTACACACGTTGCTCGTTATGCTTTCAGAGCGATGCCGCGGTCTCTCCCAATTGTACATCTTACTGGCGCACTACGTCGCTGGAGAATCGGAGCTAGTTCCCGCAAAGCAAATCACGTTCAACACACTTGCACCACTACTTTCGTTCCCGAATCTTGGTACATTCCAGGTCATGCACAAATACCCGGTAAACATTACTCTGGAGGAGATCGAGGAACTTGCATGCCGGTGGCCGTCTCTCGAGAGTCTAACTCTGAATGAGGAACCACTTATCATGCATGATTTTACACTTGATTTGCGAGCTCTCATCCCCTTTGCCCTCCACTGCCCCAAACTACGCCGGCTAGGTCTTTTCATTGATGCCAACCCTTCAAATATCCCTCCCATGCTAGAATTGAAGCCCTTTGCAGCCCTTTGTTTCTTGTCTGTAGGAACGTCGCGAGCGCAGGACCCGGAAGCCGTCGCTGCGTTTTTGAGCCACCTGTGTCCACCCAAATGCAAACTCGAAGTTGGCGTAACCTGGACATCGTTTGGTGTCCGTTCGTGTCGTTTGCTTGATGATTATTTGCGGGTAGAGATAACAAAACGTTTTCATCCTTGGAAGAGCGCTAGGGATATCTTACCTATCCTTATTCAACTCCGGAGGGAGGAAAGGGAGAAATCGAGGGCTCTACAAGAGGAAGTTGAGGATCTGAGGACTAGGACCCGCTTGTTGATGGACAAGACTGACATAAAAGCCAACGATTCGTGCATCGTTGCATAAGTGCTGTGGCTTGCTAATGCGTCTGGACCCGAACATTACTGATTATTTAAATTATCAGCTGAAACACATTGCAGATATACACTCCTTGGAGATGCTTCATATGTGATCACCCCAAATATGTCTTTGTTCTCGACCAACTATCGCGCTACCTTGTTATAATTGTTTCTTTGGAAATGTGTTATGGCTAGAATACCGAATGTGTCGTACTGGCATCTGGCGAGGATTTGCAAGACTGAAAATTCTAAAAGTAATGAGGAAATCTCCAGACCGTTGATGGGCTGATAGCCTTTGAGCGAAGATATCATGATCCATAAGGCCTCAAGTTAAAAACATGATACAATATGACCTGTTCGGACATATAATACCAATCAGAACTTTGAATTCCCTTCTCCACGATGATCCCGCAAAACGATGTAATAATATCCAAGGCAGTCCATTGAACATCTAAGCGTACAGCTACAGTAGTATCGATACAAAGCAGTTTCGTTAACGTTAAAGACGAGGGGGGCGTGATCATGAATATAATGCTATGTAAGTTGTTGCGAATTAGATTTGCGGTGGTTTGAAGGAATGGATATCCGGGGTTGCATAGATGTGTCAAATGAAGGTAGTTGGTAGAGTTCATAGTGAGCATCGCTTGGTGATATGTGGTAGTTTGTAGGCGGTAAGGACGACGGTCTTGTGCGATCTGAGCATCTTGAAACGTTCGAATCCGAAGTGAACTGATTTGTAGGCAACAAGGGAGACCAAGACGATTTACTTGGCGCTCGGGGTGCTCGAATGGTTTCTCCAGGTGGGAAAGAAGTCAGGCCAGTAAGAGATGAAATAGTATAAGGTGAGGGAGTTTGTGACCGTTGAGAGTATTCTGGCTCATCAGGGAATTCGCTGGGCTCGGGATAATTCGGTGTTGGAGTGGGGGGTGGTTCGTCTATCGCCTGAGAGAAAATTGATATAAGACAGAGGGAAGGAAAGGAGGGTGGCTGTAGCGTACCCATGGGTTAGGAACCATAGGAACAGGGTAGCGTGACCACGAGAGTCCGTCAAGGTCACTGAACTCAGTCTTAACTGACGCAAATGACATTAGGAGAGCTTGGTTGAGCGCCTTTGTGGACAGTAAGCGCTGTAGACCACTGAAGAGAATTCATAGCTACGCACTTCAGGCATTACAAGTGCCTCTTGTTCCCAGCGTTGCTGCTCCAGCTCTTCGAGCCTGAGCCGCTCCATGCGAAGTTTACTACGGTCCGTAAGATTGGCTTGTTGAGCAGTCATAATGATGAGCTCAGAGACGGGTAGGATAGAGTGTTTTTGAGGTGGCGGAGCGGTAATCCAGCCGTTATATATCGCCGACGCTTTTGTTGGGACAAAAAAGCCAAAGATCAACCACGCTACCACAGCATATGTTTGTTTTAGTGGACCACAAGTAGTATGTAGTTTGAATTCGAATTTAGAGACACAACTGTAGTTAACACAAACAACTTCAAGGACATTCATCAATTGCTTAGGTCAAAGCTCAGATCTAAACGAGTGTGGTGATAGTCGGTGACAGCGCTCGACTTGGTACTTTTTCATGCCGATCGGCATACCGTGATAGGTCCCGATTACGTGACAAATGTGACATGACGCGTAAAGACGCGGTCCATGGACTCGTCCGTCTCCGCTTGAAACCAGTCAACGCGACCCAGACGCGTCTAATCTCTCTCCCTTTCTCCTTGTTCTCTTTCTCTTGCGCTCATCATGTTGGAAGCAAGACTCCAAGAAGCAGCCCTTCTCAAGCGTCTGCTGGACTGTAAGCTATATCTCGTAAATACTTGTGGCGGGACTCATTCATCAAAATTTCGTAGCCATTAAAGAGTTGGTAACAGACGCTAACTTTGAGTGCAATGAGGAAGGAATCGTAGGCTTTGTTCCACCAGCAATCATTTCATTATGATGATGTGGCTTTTAGAACCTTCAAGCCATGGACAACTCCCATGTAGCCCTCGTTGCTGTCAAGCTTGAAGCAACAGGTTTCAAAAAGTACCGCTGTGACCGCCCAATGCCTCTGGGTGTCAATCTCAACTCCCTCACAAAAGTACTCAAGTGTGCCAAGGATGATGACATCTGTATCATCAAGGCGTCTGATGATGCCGACGTTCTGAATCTTGTCTACGAAGCAAGAAGTGAGCCCTTTTTGTCATATTCCAAAATGACCATGTCCATGAACGAGCGTACACCAAGGTTCTGACCGAATTGCGGAGTATGACATGAAACTCATGGACATCGATGCCGAGACCCTTGGTATCCCAGATACAGAGTACGATGCACGAGTTACCATGACCGCATCGGAATTCACGAGGATTGTCCGAGACCTGTCACAACTTGGCGAGTCTGTACGGATTGAGGTTTCGAAGGAAGGTGTGCGCTTTGCAAGTGAAGGCGAAGCCGCAAACGGTAATGTACTGTTGAAGCAAACTGAGGCTGCCCGAGAAAAATACGCCAACTATGGCAAGGAAGACGAAGAGGCTAAGGAAGAAGACGACGAAGACGATGAAGAAGGAAGCAGCAGTAAAAAGAAAATCAAGAAGGAAAAGAATATGAAGAAAGAAGATGCTGACGTTGAGATGGAGGGTGAGGATGAAGATGATGAACAGGAGGAGTTCAAACCTAAGTCAGATGATGAAGGTGAGGAGGAACAGGATGAGGATGAGGAAGATAAGAAGAGTAGCAAGAAGCGCAAGAAAGCACCCGCAAAGGTGAGTTGTCATCTTTCCAATTTTCATTCCACTCTTTGACCAGTGCTCTAGTCTAACGGCAAGGCCGCCAAGAAAGTGAAGAAGTCAGACGAAACTCCCACAGATGGAGGGGTCCTCATCGAAATGAATCAACACGTATCGTTAACGTTCAGCTTAAAATACCTCGTCAACTTCTCAAAGAGCTCAGCACTATCAAACACGGTCCAGCTCATGATGAGCAACGACGTGCCACTTCTTGTACGTCTGGTTCTTAATGTTGCTCGATTGTTCTTAACAAACTGTGCTATGGTTAGGTATCTTACAAGTTTGGACAAGGCGAGATCAAGTACTACCTCGCACCAAAAATTGGCGAGGAGTAAATTGTATACCACCCATCCTGCATGTCACTCTGATTTTGTATCTATGATAATTCATGTCGCGTTTCGTGCTTTTTGTGTACAATAAGGTTGAGACAACTGCGCATTCTAATAATACCATGATATAAATTGTAAAAAATCTAGTTCATATCCTCCACAGATCTTGGTTCCCTGAGTCCAAACCATTCCGGAATCAGCTCCCATACCTCTAGCCTTGCCTTCTTAACGGCATCCACAAATTCAGTCTTACATACCGAGCACATTCTCAGCCCGCACGTCTTCACCCCATCTGAAAAATCAGTCCTTTCCAACATTTCCGCAGCTTGTAGAAGTGTGTATAGCGGATCTGCGTCACGTCCGCATGCAATCCCACCGACAGAACGCAGAACGTTGAGGTGTATGAAGTAGAAAGATTCAACGCAGTGCACGGCACTCAACTTTCCCACGTTTGCACAGTTGGTGGACGGACGGTCGCGAAGTGCAGATTCGAGGAAGGTATGTATGTACAACTGCGCAGCCTCACGACCCAGGAACGCAGCGCACAGGTGATCGTCCGAGAGGCGGGCAAGCTGACCTTCGGGATTGCCTTCAGTGAAGAAAATTGGCGGCGGACCACGAGTGCCGTTGAGGATCTTGCTGGGGCCGTAACGTGAGAGGTCATAGAACGCACTGGGGAGGAAAGTGTCGAGGTTGAGCTCGTAAGCGAGTTGAAGCATTAGGATGGGGTGGGGAAAGATCTCGCGAGGGTTGTAGCGGCCCTCGCGATCTGTCCCGTCGTGCTCCCTGCGATCCCATTCAGAGAGTGATGTGGGCCAGTCTATCGCAAGACGAGCGATGCAGCGTTCGCGTAGGTGCTCGATGAAGTATTTCGTGGAGAGACGAAGTACGGCAGAGATGGCAACGAAATCTGCTGCAGTGTGCTTCTGGAAGTAGCTATGCGTAACGCTGTAAGCATTGATTCTGAATACCAGACAACGCTAGATACTCACATTCCATCATACAAAGCGATGAGCAGGTGGTATAAATCTGTCGGACGGTCGTATAGCTCAACCGAAGGACAACCGTCAACGAGGTTCTGGTCGACGGGCTGTGGAACGGAAAACAAGTCGCGGAACACCTCGGAGTGCCTTTCGAGTTGACCGTGGTGGACCTTGAAGGCTGCAGAGTCGGCAATAAGGACGATATTGCCATCCGCAAACCAGATGTCAGATCGGATGAGAGCCTTGGGCGAAGCGTTGCCATGTGGACTACAGGGGCTGTCGCAATCCATAGCGCGCCGAGTTGTTCAGGACCCTTGAGCAAAGGGGAATTCTCGGAAGGCGAGCGGCAATTGAGGCTAAGGTAGTCTGCATTTCTTGCATTCCAGGACGTTAAATAACTCCTGAGTGTTTCAAACGAGACGGAGGAGAGATTCGACATTCGAAAGAAGCCTAGCAGACCGAGTACTTGTACTTTGTCCAATATGATAGGTAGTCGGATTCAAAACATGAGAGTGTGCGCCTGGCGCCAGCCTGAGTGTCCGTGGATGACCCAATGGTAGCGACGTACTGTATTATTTCGAGCTGGTCACTAGTCTATAGCTATGGATTCAGAGGTTGAGATCATGAGGGTATCCGGGTCCAAGTTTTGATGTTTCGCAATGTCAAAGGACGGTGCTCCCGAGTTTCCTTGCAACGTGTTTGTACATATTTAGTGGTTTTCACACTACATTTCTGAAGCTCTCTTCCAGGAGCAAAAACTGTACGGTAGCGTTAGGGGACACCAAAGACTTGCGCACGAGGGCGGTGAGTAACATCAAATACAAGAAATGCAACACAAATCAAAATCAGAAAAGATCCTTTTCGTCATAAATTATGAATCAAATGTGTTGCCACTTGTCGCTGCCTTCGAGTTGTGGTTGTGTCAATGGCGCACTGCAACGGAGCTTCGCCTTTGGTATCACATCTTTTCCAGGCCCTGGAAATGGTAGAACCATGTTTCTACGTACGGGGACAGTAGGAAAAGCTGACAAATCTAGGCGGTGTATGCTCGCTCATCAAATAACCTTGCTGTCAATCCGGTGCTCAAGTTGCTCACTAGCACTCTCGGGCCAGAACTGACAATCAAATACTTGGCTATAGCCTACAATTCTAGCAAGTACTGCCAGATCTTGGCCAGGACGGTAAGTGAGTCTCCTACAATACTGTGGAGTGACTTTAAAGATGTTTGCATACAAAGTGTGCATTGTAGGCATCACTCGAGGTACTTGCTATCATACAGTTATACTATGTGGCTGAGTTACTAATCAGTACTCAGTAGCGTAGTCAGCCAATTAGAAACGTTGATCGAGTAACGCAGCTGCTTTGTCAAGCTCGTGTTCTACAACATGTCGATTGACGCGAACATACTGCCATTCCCCAGGCACAGCATATCCGCATCATCCTCCGCAGCAATCTTAGGGGTATCCCCTGGTCTCCCAGGTATTCTTCAGGTATCACTGCACGTCACTACCGTCTCACACATCAAGATGGCAGTATTGATGATCACCACCGTAATACATGCGACAGTGCAGGAGGTAGAGTATAAAGGTCGGTACGGTCATCGACAAAAGCAGTCTAAAACTACACAAAACAACCCTCTTACCAACACAATATGTCTGAACAACTCTTCAAGTCTTTTGCTATCATCGGCGCAGGCCCTAACACCGGGATTCATATCGTGAAGGTGACGTTCGTTATTATATTCTTGCAGCTATCGTCCTTAGCCAGCTATCAGGCTTTCCTTGCCATTGGCGCCCCAATTATCGTCATCGCACGGCCAGCTTCCACGAATGTCGCTGCGCTCCCTGCTGATGATCCCAACCTGACGGTTGTGCGCGCAGACTATACGTCTGCATCCGAGATTTCTACAGTTCTTCGCGAGTATCAAGTAGATGTTCTCATTTCGACTGTCACGCTTGTTTTCGGCGGCGTAGTCGGCCAGACTGTTCTCGCCGACGCTGCCAAGGAGGCAGGTGTGAAGCTCTTCGTACCCAGCGAGTTCGGCATCAAACCACAATTAGCCAAAGGTGGCTTGGCCTTTCAAAAGACTGACTTCGCAGGCAAGTAATAATAATAACATATCATAACATCAACTCATCCGCCATTCACAGTTTATGCAAAATCAATCGGACTACCAACTCTCCGCGTCTTCGTGAGTAGTCACTTGTTGGACGTCGTTGAAATAAGCACTGAATACAATAAATCGACTACAGAACGGATTGTTCTATGAATTCGTCCCCTGGCTCACCGCGTTGGCTGATACTGGCAAGTTCCATATCGTGAACAAAGGAGAAACGCCAGGGTCCTTCACTGCAGTATCTGATGTTGCAGGATACGTGGCTCATATCCTTACCACTCAACCTCCTTCTCGTCTGCTTGATGTTGAAATTCAAATCGAGGGCCAAAGGGCGACACTCTCAGAAATTGGGGTCTTATATAAAGGCCGTGCACCTGCGGTATA